CAATTAGAGAAAGTAAAAGGTAATGGTAACCAGTGAGAGACATGAAAAGTGATCAGATTCTGTATGGTATATAGTTGGAGGGCCAACAGGATTTGCTGATGGATAGTGTGCGGTGAAAGAGAAATCATTCCAAGGTTTTTGCCCTCTGCTAAGTACAGAATTGCCCCTCTCCTAATTATGAAGACAGTGGCTGGAGCATGTTTTCTATGGAGATGGGGTGGGATGGAGATTAGGAACATGGTTAAATTTGAGGTTTTATTTTATTATTTTTTTTTATTTATTTTAAGCCACTTAGTTTATTACTCCAACAATAGTAACTAGAACAACAACTGACATAAATACTTCTTTCTAGGTTCCTATTTTTCCATATCATCAGATAGATTCAGGTCCATGAAACCTTGTTTCCAGCCCACATGATCCCTTCTTTGTGCTGTACATGTATTCAATACTATTTTATTCCTTTATTTATTCATTCTAAGATAATTATGTAAGTGGGACTTTTCTGTCCCAACTACATTATAATGTTTCAAAACATTCATTTAACAAGTACTCATCTACTGCCTCTATGTGCCAAGTACTGTTCTAGCTGCTGGGGATACATCCAGGGGCAAAGACAGATACAAACTTCCAGTCTTAATGGGGCTTACATATTGGTGGATGTGTTTTTTACTGTACAGTGGCTGATATGGTATTACTGATAAACATTGATGTTTAGCTTCTCAATATTAAGACTTCTCTGGATTTGAAATTAAAACTCTGATTTTGATGGAGAGAGACTGATAGCTTAAGTTTCTGTAACTATTTTGAGTCAGAATTTATTTTGCTACTGCCATATTTATTTGTGCTTCCTTTCAATTTCAGTTAATACTATTATCATTATCTTTTTTTGATATTTGCAATACTTTTATTTATCCATCAAAGACCTTGTATCTAGACTGCATAAAGAATTCTTTTTTTTTTATTCATATGTGCATACAAGGCTTGGGTCATTTCTCCCCTATTATCATCTTATTTTAAATTCCTGTTTTATCCAAAGTAGTGTTGATTTTACTTTTTTCTATCATTGAGGAGGAGCACTGTTGGAAGTTTTTATTACTTATGTCAAATTTGTATTAGACCTCTGAGTAGGTAAAGAAAAACCTTTCCTGGAATTCCTACTATGAAGGCAAGCATGCAGATGAACGAATGTCTACCAGTTGGTTTTCCTCAGCCCAGGTTGGCAGTGAGTAGTAAATGGTTAGTTAGAAAAGTGGGAGAGTCAAAATTTGAGGTTTTTAAAAACATTGAAGTGGTGAGGCTGGAATAGGCAACTGAGTGTATGACTCTAGAGTTGACTAAATACATACAAAGTCCTGATCTGGGGTGTAGCTCAAGGGTAGAGTGCTTACTTAGCATGTCAAGGCCCTGAGTTTGAGCCCCAGTACAGAAAAAAAGTATATGAAATCTTGAAACTGGACAACATCAGTAAGAGAATAAGTATAAATTAAAAGGAAAAAAAGAAGCCCAAAGACTGAATCACTGGAAATTTAAATATTAATAGACGAGGAAGATGAAGTGAAATACAAATAGTGAGGTAAGGTAGGAAGAAAACCAGAAGAGTGTGGTGACCTGGACTCCCAAGTGAAGGGCTTCAAGAAGAGAATAGTTAAACCACTGCTGTGAATAGATCCAAAAACACAGAACTGAGAAATGAACACTGAATGTAGCAGTGTAGAAGTCATTGTTGACCCTGACAAGATGAAAATAAACAGGCTATATTTGGAAGATAGTAAGTAGACAAGAGTAGAAAGTTTATACTGAGAAATAATGGAAGAAAGACCTGAATAGATAGAGCAAAGCCACAAAATGGGACATTTTAATGCCAAGCATGGTGTTGCATGTCTGTACTCTGAGCACTTGGGAGGCTGAGGCAGGAGGAAGATAGAAAGTTTAAGGGAAGCCTGGGCTACATAGTGAGTTCAAGGCCCATTTTCCCCAAAAAAAGGTGGAGGGTGTTTAATGAAGAGGGCCATAAGATGAACACGACTAGATTGGTGGCACTATGAGATAATTTTGACTGCATTTCTGTGATTATTTTTGGAGAAGAGCAAGAGTGAATAGACTGGAAATATACTTAGGAAGTAAAATTGATAGGACTTGGTTATTGATTGATTTGGGGAGCCAAGGAAGGAAGAAGTCCAGGTTGACACCTAGGTTTCTGGAGTGGATTTTGCTGAGAGAATTCTACTTTATTTTTTTTTACTACATTACATTTTAGGTGATTTTAAAATACCTAATTAGACTCTGGCACAGTGACTCACACTTGTAATCTCAGCTACTTGGGAGGGTAGAGATCAGGAGGATCTTGATCTGAGGCCAGCCCTGGCAAAAAGTTAGTGAGAACTCCTTCTTCATTAACAAGCTAGGCATGGTGTTACATGCCTATGATCCTAGCTGCTTGAGAGGCCATAGATAAGAAGATTGTGGCCTGAAGCTGACCCCGGGCAACAGCTGGAGACCCTACCTAAAAAATAACTAAAGCATAAAAGAAGGGGGGGCTGGAGGCAAGGTTCCAAGTGGTAGAGTGCTTGTCTAGCAAGTGCAAGGTCCTAAGTTCAAAACCCAGTACTGAAAAAAAAAGTTATCTAAATAGAAACACCAAGAAGGCAGTGGGGTCGGGCGCCGGTAGCTCACGCCTGTAATCCTAGCTACTCAGGAGTCAGAGAGCAGGAGGATTGTAGCTCAAAGTTAGCCTGGACAAATAGTTCTGGAGACCCTATCTCAAAAAAACCCTTCGCAAAAAAAGGGCTGGTGGAGTGGCTCAAAATGTAGGCCCTGAGTTCAAGCCCCAGTACCAGAAAAAAGAAGAAGGAGGAAGAAGGGAGGAGGAGGAGGAAGAGGAGGAGAAGGAGGAGGAGGAGGAGGGAGAAGAAGAAGAAGAAAACCAAATTAGGAATTAAACCAGGCTCTTGTAGTTCTATGGCAACCAAAGAAGGAGAGAAGACAGCCGAGTCAGATGCTGCAGAGAAAGACTGAAAATGTCTGCTGGATTTAACAACATAGAAGTTATTGCAGAGTAATGGCTAGCGAAAACCACAGGGAGTGGGTTAAGGAAAAAGTGGAGAGAGAAGATACAGAAATAGTGAATAGTGACAACTCTTAAAAAGTTTTGCTGTGAAGAGGACAGATAAGAGGTGAAGGAGAGTCCAAGTGTATAGGAGAGATGTGCACATGATTAAAAGGATTTGGTTAAGAAGAGGTTTCATATGAGAGAAGTATTTTAAGAGATGGAATTCATAACTATCTGGGGAGAGTGGCCTTAGAGAAGAGAGACAGTGGAAGGAATGGGAAGAGGTTGTGCAGGTGTCGGTAGGTTTTTATGTTTGGTGGTTAAATGAAGAGACAAATAATAGGGGAAATTAGCACAATTCTGAAGAAATGTAAATCAAGACAAATATGAGCACTGGTTCTAAAAAGGGAATATGAGTGACCTTTATTCCTTTAAATAATTTGTGCAACATATACACATCTAATATTTGTAAGATGAAAGGCTCCAGCCTACACACAAACCTACATACACACTTTATAAGTTTTTTAGCTTAGAAGAGGTACTGTAAGTGTGTATGTGTGTGCTGCTGGGGATTGAACCCAGGCCTTTGCATGTGAGGCAAGTACTCTACAACATTCCCAGCCCTTTAAATTTCTAAATAATACTAATTTTTTCTGAGTACTACTCAGGAGATCAGATGATCTCCCTGGGTTTATTGGTCAAAGAAAGTTCCAAGTCTGTTTCATTTTAGATATTTTTGAGAAAAAGAGACATTTAGAAAAATGTTTCACATCATATTTGTAAGACGAAAGGTTAGCAATGCCTCAGGAAAGGAACCTGAGTGTTATAGATTGGTAGGAATGATGGATTTACTGTGTGTTTTGATAAAAAGACAGACTAAACTGGGCTCATGACTCACACCTATAATTCCATCTACTTGGAAGGCAGAGGTCAGGAGGACCTCAATTCAATGCCAGCCAAGGCAAAAAGTTACCAAGAGCCCATTTCAACAAATAAGGCAGACATGGTGGTGTGATTCTCAGGAGGAGAATCTCGGTCCAAGGCTAGCCCTGAGCAAAAACTCAAGAGCCTATCCAAAAAATAACTAAAGGAAAGAAAGGGAGGGAGTGATATGGGTGTTACTCAAGTGGTACAGTGCCTGCCTAGCAAGCACAAGGCCCTGAGTTCAAAACTCAGTGCCACCCTCCACCCCCACCCCCCCCATACATCTACAAGAAGAAGCTAGGGCAGGAACTACTGAATAGTTTATATCCCATTTAAAATGCACATGTTAAAATCCTAGTGTACCTTCACACAGTACACTGTATACAATATGACTCCTCAAGAGAAGCAGAAGATCAGGAACCTGGTCAAAGAAAAGGCAAAGAAGATGATAAAGGGATGAAGATGAAAGGGAAGATGATAACAGAGAACTCTATAAACTTAAGAACAGACAGGCAAGACCTGCATCCATGTATACAAAGTTGGACAGGACAAAGAGGAGCCATAATTAAAATCTTCAAAATTAGACAATGAGAGGAGAAACAGACCTGGTTTCTGTCTTAGTTAAGACATTAGACTTAAGGAAACATCTTGGAGAACTAAATAAGTCAATTATTTAGGCCAATTAGAAAGAAATAAGATTTATTTCCCTGGAAGTAAGTTGGGGAGATGAGCTCAGCTTGTGAATGACCTACATCTTGAGCCACTCCATCAGCCCTTTTTTGGGATTGGAACTGGAGCAGGATGGGTACTTTCCAGTCAAACCAAGTTAACATACTTAGATATCCAACGTTGGTCCTTGGTCCTTGGTCCTTGGTCCTTGTCCAGCAGTCTCAGGCCTGGACAATGCCAGAGCCTTTCTTGGAGAGAGCATCCAAAGAAAAAAATTAAAAGACACAGTCTACCTCCCTAGACCTAACCCTGGCTAGTTCTCTGTCCTAGCTGGTCACTGTGACAATCCAAGCAATCCTAAGGCCTTCCCCTTAGCCCTCACTGCAAACTTCTGGACCCAGGAGTCCTCATTCCCCATCTACCTTAGTCTAATTTCTGAGGGTCCTGGTATTGGACATTATCTGTCCTGAGTCCATGATCTGCACTGTTGCTCACCCACCCGGTCATGTGCTCGAGAGGCCAAACAGCCTTGAAGGGTAGGGCCTTGGAAATATTTGATGATGTCATCTCCTGCCATCAGGAACTCTTGCTGGCTGCTGGGAAAGAAATCTTGCCTGTGGTCCTGGCTGCACCAGCCTTTTCCACTTGGGTCTAAACTGATCCTGATTTCTGTTGTCTTATCCTCACAGAAAGTTGAGGAAGCGAGCGGCCAAAGCCTCGGCCCGACGCCACAAGCCCCTTGGAAGGTAATGGGGCAAGAGCCCTGGGACCTCCTGTTCGCCTCTGAGGCCCCAGGAGGTGGATGGATGGATGGCAGCCTGTCCATGTCCATCCTGAAACCCAAACTGATGAATTAGGAATGTCACTGGAAAATGACCATTCCCCCTAGGGGGGAGGGCAGGAGGCAGGTATGGACATTGGTGAGTTTTGATCGTAGGGAACACAAGGAGGAATGGAGGTTGCCTCAGGAGAAGCCTCCTATCTTTATGCCTCCCCCAAATAGCTTGGATTTCAGCCTTAGCCGCCTGCATTCCTCTCCCCAACTCCTCTCCTCCCTTAGTTCACCCACATTCCCATTCTCTTTCTTCCCTTGACCTTTCCAACACCTCCTCCCCTCCCCCACCTGGATTTCCATAACTCGATTTGCTGTCACTATGACTGAATGAATGCAAGAGCAATATGAGTTGCTGAAGTACATACACACCCCCATGTTGCTCAGCAGTCAGCCTGCGCTGGAAATCCAGCTGCCCTTCACTCTCCTCTGCATACTGCATGAAGAAAGAGGCCTTTCCAGAAACAGAAAATAACCCTCTACCTTTCCTGGACCACATCCCTGACCACTACCTCCACCAACATCTTTCTCCTTCTTGCAGATCAATCACCAAGCATAAAGTCAAACCCAAACCCCGAGTGGGCAGGGGGCCAATCAAGAGGTAAAGTTGGGCGAGGTGGATAGGAGATGGAGCAGAGTGGGGGGGAATAGAGATATGTTCAGGGAGGGGTCCAGGAGAGTTCTCTTTGGCCAAAAGAGCTGACCAAAAGGTGGGCGAGCAGCAGCTATGACAACCACCTTCTGGTTTCAGTCTCAGGGGAATTGTGCTTGTCATAGGATTTTTGGTCCTTGTTCTACATGGTTATCTTCCCACAAGGAGTTCTAGAAGATAATCTGGGACTTTTGTCCTTCAGGTACTGTACTTATCCCTCCCCAAGAGGCGAAGTTTGCCTAAGAGATCAGTGTTCCCATCTTACCTTTATTTGAGTCGGTTTTGTATTGTTTTGTATAATAGATGTTACCAGTTTACCTGCAGTAGAGTGACATTCCCTTCAGAACCTTTCCAGGGGAGGAATGAGATTCACACTCCCTGCCTCTCTGGCTCAGGTTATAGTTAGGCTCCCACTTCCATAATCTTCCTCCTGGACTCCTTCAGAACTCAGAGGAGAACCTTCCAACACTTCCATTCTAACTTGTCTCCAAAGGTAATTTGCACATGAGAAGTCTCCCTGAGAACTTGGTCAGCAGTGACTGAGGCTCAGAGAATTCATCTTTTTCTATTGTCCTCTTCTCTCTTCAGGCAGTTCCAGGGTCACCCAGTGGTCCCTGGTATCCCTTACTCCCCAAGCTTCTCCCTCTGGTGGCTGCAGAGGAGCTCAGAATTTGGGGTGGTTCTCGCAGTGCCTTTCTAGCTTAGGGTCATCTTTGCCCAACAGTAGCCTTAGTCTGGGCTTCCCTAAACCCCACCTTAAAGAACACACTGCCATTTTTATTTTGTGGGGAGGGAGGGAGTTCAGAGGATAGAAGTTTTTCCTGTGATAGCCTCTCTGACTTTTATTTTCAGCCAAACAGGACTTTGGGAGAGTACCTGGTCTCTTTGATCTTCAGGATCCATTTATCCTGAGCTTCCAAAGGTATTCCATAAAGTCTCCAGGCTTCCTTTGCCTGTTTTGTTTACAAACTTTTTCTCCTCCTTGTATCTTCCTAGCCAATGACTTCAAGTCATCGTATTTCTTCCTTCCTATGACGTCGAGTGATAGAGCATGTCACTACAATAATTCGCCATCAAATGAGCCTCACAGGCCCCATTCTGCAACACCAGGCCTCATCTGCTTCCCCTTCTCTCTGAGCTCCACCCAGCTTTTCTAAGAAGGTACTTCTGTCCTTCATACACTGTGCTATAATCCTTCATCCCATTGCTGTCTATAAATAAACCCCAGCCCTTCTCTCAAACATCTCTGCAATGCTTCCAAGCTTTAACATCTCTAGTTTAGTCCTGTTTTTCCTGCTCAGATGACTGTGGGACAGTTATACTGAAATTGCAGAAGCATGGACTGCCTCATTAAAGATATCTACAGCTTGGCTTAGGCCCCATGTTGTCTTTGTCATTTTGTTATTCACATCTACCTTTCTTCTCTGGCCATGTGGCCCCTCCAACTTTTGAACATCCTGCATTTATATGTCTCCATTTCTGTATGTGCCTGCGCCAGTCCTTCCTATGGCCACCAGTTGGTCTGTTGTCATAAAACTGTGTCAGGGTTTCTGACTTAGAAGCCCTTCTGGTCTCTGAAAAGTCATTTAGATCCAAGAGTTCCTCAGTCCTTTGCATCCTAACTCATTTGGTTATTTCAGTCTCAGCATAATAGAAGGGTATGCTCACTGGCTATTTTCCTGTTGTGTCATCTACTCCCCTAGACGATCTTTTCCAGCTGGTCCAGCTGGGCAGTCCTGGTTTCCAAGCCTTCGCTTCGGGCTTCTTGAGGGCCAGAGGCCTGAAAGCACTGGAAACAAGGTTTCTATCAGGCAAGTTAGGACTGGCCATCCTTCTCCTAGAATTCTTCTGCTACAGAAGTTCCCTCCAAGGACTCTCATGTCTGGATAGTGGAAGCTCTTTCAGCATACACATTTGCCAATCCCTTTGTCTCTTCCAAGGGAAACACAGGAGGGGGAAAAAGAAGGGATAAGAAGTCATGAGAGTTTGCGGGGAAGATGTTAGAGGAATGAAGTGTCTGAGGGTTGTGGGCAAGGAGGTAGGAGCACTATTTTACCTTACCACACCTCACTCCTGTCCCCCCAGGCTGCTGGCCCAACGGCAGCAACACTCCTTTGGTCTGCATGGGGTAGCATGTGTGGGCACGGAAGCCCACCTCTCCCTCTGTTCTCTGGAGTTCTATCGTGCCAATGACACCACCAGGTGCCCTGGGGGGGCCCCTGCGGTGGTGAGCTGTGTGCCTGGCCCTCTCTACACGGTGTCCAGTGGCCAGAAGAAGCAACAACAGTCGAAGCCTCAGGGGGAGGTGTGTGAGATAATCAATGTTTTTGTTCTTGTTTTGTGGTGCTGGGGCTTGTACCCAGGGCTTCATATATGTTAAGCAAGTGTTCTACCATTGAGCTACACCCACAGCCCAAGACAGTGACCTTTCCCAGGTGGAAAGTCCCCTAGCCTAGCCACTCCCCTCACCAAGCACAGCATTGACCTTTGAGGACAGAGAGGAATTTTCCAGGGGGTGGGACACAGACCTGATACCACCCATTCCCTGCCACCAAAATGTCATTCATCTCCCAGGTCCACTTAATCCTCTTCAGGCTGACACTTCCATTCACTTCTGTTGAGCACATCTGTCTCTTCTACAGGCCTATGTGCGTCTAAAGGGTGGAGCCCACCCTGGAGAGGGCCGGGTAGAAGTCTTGAAGGCTGGCACATGGGGTACAGTCTGTGACCGAAAGTGGGACCTGCAGGCAGCCAGTGTGGTGTGTCGGGAACTGGGCTTTGGCACAGCTCGAGAAGCTCTGACTGGTGCCCGCATGGGACAAGGTAAGAGGGCAAGAGGATAAGAAGGAAAGGGGAAGGAAGTTCATACTCTTCAGAGGTACATTCCTTGGGAAGGTAAGGAATGAAGATCTAGTTACAACCTCTTGAGGTTTGACTTCTGACCCTAGGTATGGGTGCCATCCACTTGAGTGAAGTTCGATGTTCTGGTCAGGAGCCCTCCCTCTGGAAGTGCCCCTACAAGAATATCACAGCAGAAGACTGTTCCCATGGCCAGGATGCTGGGGTCCGATGCAACCTTCCCTATACTGGGGTAGAGACCAAGGTCAGTCATACATTCTACCTTGGGTCAGGTCTCCATCTCTCATTCTATCTGGTCCTGGCCCCCAGTCTGCCGCTGATGGCCTCCCAGTCCATTGCCCCAGACATACTTTCCAGAACTTCCTCCTCATCCCACCACTTGCTAGTCCTTTGTGTCCCTCTGAATCACTCTTCAGCTGCATCCCTACTACAAAATACCATTCCTCCACCCAAAAGTTTCCCCCAGTGCTTCCATTCTGTGTCATGCTGCAGATCCGACTCAGTGGAGGCCGAAGCCGACATGAGGGGCGAGTCGAGGTGCAAATAGGGGGACCTGGGCATCTTCGCTGGGGCCTCATCTGTGGGGATGACTGGGGGACACTAGAAGCCATGGTGGCCTGTAGGCAACTTGGTCTGGGCTACGCCAACCACGGCCTGCAGGTAAGTAAGAACGAGGAGAGGGAGCTAAATCTGTTGTCTCCAAAGCCTGTTTTGGGCAAAGGACAGTGGAAATGAGTCCCTTGGCCCAGGAGGCTGAATCCTGGAGCCTCACAGAAACACTTACATATGTCCCCAGGAGACCTGGTACTGGGACTCAGGGAATATAACTGAGGTGGTGATGAGTGGAGTGCGCTGCACAGGGATTGAGCTGTCCCTAGACCAATGTGCTCATCACAGCACCCCCATCACCTGCAAGAGGACAGGGACCCACTTCACTGCTGGAGTCATCTGTTCTGAGAGTGAGTGAAGGGTAGGGTGTCACAAGTCAGGGAAGGGAAGTTCTGGGCCACCCCTTTGGAGGGACACAGGGGTTGTGACTTGGAGGATTACTCCTTCCCTATGGAAAACAAAACAACTCTAGGGAGTAATGGAAGCACCTCACCTATCCCTTCCTCAGCAGTGACTTCCGTTACTCTTCTTCCTTTCTCATGCAGCTGCCTCAGACCTGCTGCTACATTCTGCACTGGTGCAGGAGACAGCCTACATTGAGGACCGGCCCTTGCACATGTTGTACTGTGCTGCAGAAGAGAACTGCCTGGCCAGCTCTGCCCGTTTGGCCAACTGGCCTTACGGCCACCGGCGCTTGCTCCGGTTCTCCTCTCAGATCCACAACCTGGGACGAGCTGACTTCAGGCCCAAGGCTGGGCGCCACTCCTGGGTGTGGCATGAATGTCATGGGTGAGATGGCAGATGGAGTCAGGTAGAAGGGCAAAACTACATGGGATGGGACAAGCCTGCTGGGGCCAGGGAAAGAAACAGATGCCTTGTCCCTGCAGGCATTACCACAGTATGGACATCTTCACTCACTATGATATCCTAACCCCCAACGGCACCAAGGTGGCTGAGGGCCACAAAGCTAGTTTCTGTCTAGAAGACACCGAGTGTCAGGAGGGTGAGTTGGGGCCTAGGGTGGAATCCAGCATCTCCAAAGCACAGCCTTTCCTTTCATTGACATATGTTAATTCCTTCAGATGTCTCCAAGAGGTATGAGTGTGCCAACTTTGGAGAACAGGGCATCACTGTGGGTTGCTGGGATCTCTACAGGCATGACATTGACTGTCAGTGGATTGACATCACAGATGTGAAGCCAGGAAACTACATTCTCCAGGTACCTGGAGTCTGGGGCTTCCAGATTGCAGGGGGGGAAAGGGGAAGGTGTTAAAGACACCTTTGGATTTGAATATTACAACTGGGTCAAGTGGCCTTTCTCTCTCTCACACACAGGTAGTCATCAACCCAAATTTTGAAGTAGCAGAAAGTGACTTCACCAACAATGCAATGAAATGTAACTGCAAATACGATGGACACCGCATCTGGGTGCACAACTGCCACATTGGTATTTGATGGGACAGGCAACCCAGGAAGACTGGGGGGTGAAAGAGAAAGGTTTTCACCCTTCTCCCTATGTGGTTTTTGTTTCATCCCACCCACTTTTGCACCTCAGTCCCTCCACTTCCACCTACCCTTCAGCACAATGGTTTTGTCTTCTTGCCTCTGTGCAAGGTGTCCCCCCACACACACATTGTTTGTCCACTCTACAGGCGATGCCTTCAGTGAAGAGGCCAACAAGAGATTCGAACGCTATCCTGGCCAGACCAGCAACCAGATCGTCTAAGTGCCACCACCCTTCTCTGAAAACCACCACTGGCCCCCCCCAGTGGCAGGGGTCTGAGGCTGCCATTACCTCAGGAGCTTACCACAAACCCCTGATGTCAGCAAGCAATCTGCACTCATCATCTGTGCAATATGGATGTGGAAGTGTCAGGCAGAAGGTCTTGCCCTCCTCCTAGGCCAGCTGTCAGTATCTGTGGCCAAGCATGAGGAATCTGCTCCCAGGCCCAGCACCAAGCAGAGCACATGACAAAAAAACAGCATCTGACTCACTGCTCAGAGTGACAGATGGCAGCAGCTCATTTTCTTGAATAGGGAGATCAGATGGTCAGCTCCCATAGCTCCCCTAAGTTCAGGGGATACAGCTTTACCTCTAGCCTTTTGGTGGGGGAAAAGATCCAGCTCCCACCCTCCATTTTTGACAATAACATGTTGCTAGGTATTATTTTATTTTATATAAAAAGTGTTCTTGTGATTCTTGCGAGCCCAGGGTGCTGGTGGCTGGAGGGACCTGCCCCCCACTGGTTCATTGACTCCTCGGCCCAGGTGCCCTCAGAACCTAGGCTAGGAAGGTAAGGGGGAAATTGGAGCAGGAGCCTCATACTCTTGCTAATCCAGTCATTCTGTGACCTCAGGGGTCACATATAAGGTCAGTGTTTCTGAACCCCGCCGGATCCGCACTGCCAGCTGGGATTGGGTTCGAACAGCTTCATAAACATCTTCAGCATTTTGTACCAGCTGCTCCCCAATGGCCAAGATCACATCACCAGGCCGTAAACCAGCCCTATAGAGTATGCACAGAAAGCAAGGGGAGATTAGACAACCTGGTTCAAGGCGACATGCACACCTCCCCCACCCCACCTCACAGGGCAGTCTCTCCTTCACCTGTGTGCAGGGGAGCCCAGGATGACTTTATGGATGAGTACACCATGCTGAACATCGGGAAAGCTTGGTTCTCGAAGCTGTAGTTCAGCAAGAATGCTGCAAGGGCACAGATCACACTATTAACCAGACACAGGCACTCCCCATCTTGGGTTCATTTCAAGTATTTCATCAACACACTGGCAAAGTATGGTCAGGACACATACTAGGTACCATGGACGTGAAAGTGAATTCACTTTCTGCTTCTAGCAGATGGGAAGTGGGATATATACATAAAAAGCAACTAATTCCAAGTGATATACAATGTTGAATAAGTAGCATAATGTCATTCCAGCATCCAAAGAGAAGCTTTAAAGAGGGAATAGAATTTAAGCTGGGCCTAGAAGGATGGGCCAGATATTAACTATATGAAAGAATAACACCATAAATAAAGACGTGGGAGTGAAAAATCAGAGTATTCATATAAAAGTAACAAGCCAGATCTGAAAGATTAATTTAGAGACAGGTATAAGATGGCCCTTTAGTTCTAGGCTAATGGATTGAAATCACATCAGTAATAGGATGGAATAAATCTGATAATAGGGGTGCAAGATGGAGTAGTGTGAGAAAGCCAAGATGATGAGAGGGAACAGCTCTCATGCTAGTGGGAGGCAGCTCAGATAAAGACAGAAGTGAGAAAAAAGCCCAACAGAGGGGACAGTTATGCACCACTGATTACACCAGTGGTCCTACTTGTCTCTACCCCAAACATTCATACCTGGGAGTAAGAGTCAGCATCATCACCCCAATGTAGCGGCGCTGGGACCCACTGATTCCAAACCAGGAGTCTGTGAAGGAGGACAAATGAGCCCCACCCAGCTACATCTTCCCCCTCCCTCTCCTCTCAATCGATCCCCCTCCAGGCAGTCCCAACCACCATATTAAAGGAACCCCTTTCCTGTAAGGCAGGCTCACTTTTCTTTTCCCCTCGATGGAGAAACTCTCTCAGGCGATCAGAAGGGATGGCAAAGGAGATTCCCGCTGTGACTTTCATTGTGTTTACTCCAATCACCTCCCCATCCTGCAGGAACACAGCCCCCTGTTCCCTAGCCCAAACAGACAGTAGGGAATAGGGGTACCTGAACAAGAGTAGTAGGGACTGTTGGGGAGATCTGGTTGGATACCAAGTCTCTTGTCTTGGTACCCAAGACAAGAGAGTCACCCTTGTCACCCTTTCCATACTGACCTGGGGCATGGATTCTTGGAAGGATAGATATCACACTCACCAGATTAACCAGGGGACCTCCAGAGTTTCCAAACTGCAGGTAAAGGTGAAAATATGAAAGAGATCTGGGAATTCTAAGATTAGGGGCATAACCAGGATGTAGGCACATTCTCCAAATTCTTTCTTCCCAGCTCACAAAGAAGTGGCCACACTTTGGCTGCCCAACATCTTAATATAAACTCATCTAACTTATCAGCGGGTTCCTGTATCATACAGCCTCTCTCCCCTACCCCAACCTAGTTTGTCGTTCCTCTCACATCCAGACGTACATCAATAGCTGCATCAGTCTGAATATATTCCACATTGGTTTGGGGGAGTCCCAAGTCTCTGGCTGGTCGCTGAGCAGAGCTAACAATGCCAGATGTGATCGTGTTCTGCAGTGCAAAGGGGCTTCCCATGGCAACGACAAACTCCCCTTGCCGCACATCAGCTGAACGTCCCAGGGGCAGTGTGGGGAGAGGCTCCTAAGGGAGAATGGGTACAAAGAGATCTGTCATCTGGAGATGGGAGCAAGTCAACAGCTCCAATTACATCTAACCTACTCTGACCCCACCTTGGTCTGAATCCTTAGTGTGGCAATGTCTGCCACGGGATCCACAGCTGTGACCATGGCCTCATATGTGTCTCCACTAGGCAGCCTCACACGGACTCGGCGCCGATCAGCTACCACATGGGCGTTGGTAACAATGAGCCCATCTGCAGCTACCACGAATCCTGAGCCATTTGAGATAGGGACTTCGCGACCCGAGAAAGGGTGCCTGGAATGGAGAAGGTGGGGACACGGACATAAGGAAGTTCCCACCCCTTCTCCTCACCTGCCCTCCAGCCCATGGCTACGATGCCTCCCGTTCTACCCCACCATTACCGGTCCAGGATCTCGATATAGACCACGGCAGGTGCTGTCTTCTCCACCACGTCTGCGATGAAGTTATACTGGCTCCGAGGAGAGGTGGGCGGTGGAGCAGGGACCGCCGCAAGGACCGCCGGCGGTCCCCGCCCCCCGCCCCACAACAACAACAGCACTGCCCACCCAGCGCCCAGCGCCACAGCCAGCCACACGCGCCGACAAGTTCCTTGGGTCCCCAAGGTCTCCTGGGTTCGGGGATCTGGGGTCCCCGCAGCAAGGCGTGCCGGGTGATCCGGAGTCCCAGATGTCAGACTTGCTCGCGGCTCAGGGACCCCCACAGACAACCGGGCCCGGAAACTGGGGGTCCCATAAGTCACCCGGGCCCGGGGGTCAGGAGTTCCTGACGTCATCAGGGCCCGGAGGTCAGGGGTCAACAGGGGTCCCTTCCTCCAAAGAATACCCCCCAAAGCCCGCCATCCGCGGAGGCTCCAGCCAGTACCCCGCCCCGCCCTCAACGCAGCCATCAGCTCCGCCTTGGCCGCAAGCTCTCCCGCCCTACTCAGAGGCGGTGCCCAGGACGGGATCTGGCAGACAGCAGGACGCAGAGCACGCTGGTATCTGAAGTCCGTCAGAAGTGCACGCCGGGACCCAAGATTCCCGGAGGCCGACTCCGCCCCCGCCTCGTGAATGACGGGAATTGTAGTCCCTGTGGGACGCGAGTTCTCTGGCTGCCCAAGAGGCCGCGAGGCATGCTGGGACCGCTAGCCCTTCCGGGGCGCCTCCCGGACTTCGGGTCCTGGCACCCTGGCGGATAACCAAAGACTCCGCCTTCCCAGGAGCCCCTGCGGCCCGGCTCGAAGATGGCGGCGGAAAAGGTCCGGCTTCCCTGAAGCAGCTGCGATGGAGCCTCCCCCGACCCCGGGGCCGGAGCGCCTCTTTGACTCGCACCGGTAAGAGCTCGGGAAGGAACAGGCCGGCCTCCGCGCCCTCTCGGCCTTCCGCGCCTGATCACCTTGCCTCTCGCCACCAGGCTCCCGGGTGATGGCTTCCTGCTGCTTGCGCTGCTGCTCTACGCGCCCGTCGGGTTCTGCCTCCTCGTCCTGCGGCTGTTTCTCGGGATCCACGTTTTCCTGGTCAGCTGTGCGCTGCCAGACAGCGTACTTCGCAGGTTCGGACTCTGGAGCTGGTGGAGTGTCTGGGTTGGGCCCGGCCCGAGGCCGTCCAGTCAACCACCGTATGTGCCCCTAGGTTCGTTGTACGGACTATGTGTGCGGTGCTGGGGCTCGTGGCCCGGCAGGAGGACTCCGGACTCCGGGATCACCGCGTCAGAGTTCTCATTTCCAACCACGTGACACCTTTTGACCACAATATTGTCAACCTGCTCACCACCTGTAGCACCGTGAGTGGGGACGAGGTTGAGAGCGCCACCGGGTGGTTCCCTGTGCCCAAACTCAAGACTCCCTACCTCTGATGGCTCCGGTTTCTCTTGGGGGAATACTGAGCCTTACTCTTAACCCCACTACCTTACCCCACGTGACTTTTTCGCCCTCATTTCATACCATTCTTGCTTTCTCTTCTCCCTGTTCTCAGCCTCTACTCAATAGTCCTCCCAGCTTTGTGTGCTGGTCTCGGGGCTTCATGGAGATGGATAGGCAAGGGGAGTTGGTGGAATCACTCAAGAGATTCTGTGCTTCCACGAGGCTTCCCCCCACACCTCTGCTGCTCTTCCCCGAGGAGGAAGCCACCAATGGCCGAGTGGGGCTCCTACGCTTCAGGTGGGTAAGCGCAGGTATCTGGCTCCAACTGGGTAGGTGGTCAAGCTTGTGGGCCCTTGGATTTTTAGAACCTTTTCAGCCCCTGTGCCACTTCACCTCTAATTCATTTCCTTTCTGCCCACTTTTGGTTCTTTCCCAAGTCTCTTAATTCCTCCTTTTATCTGCTTATGCGGTTTGACAGTTTCCTGACAGGTATGCACTGCTAATTGATCTGACTGAACTTCTGTTCTACTCTCTTTTCTAGTTCTTGGCCATTTTCTATCCAGGACGTGGTGCAGCCTCTTGCTCTGCAAGTTCAGAGACCCCTGGTCTCTGTGGTGAGTGCATGTTGGACAGGGAATGTCAGGGTTTGGAGGGGAAATGTCCCACCCCTGACTCTGGCTTAGGCCTCACTTCATGCCCTCCCCTCAGACGGTGTCAGATGCCTCCTGGGTCTCAGAACTGCTGTGGTCACTTTTCGTCCCTTTCACGGTGTATCAAGTAAGGTACTAACTGTCCTCACTTTTTGGTGGCTGGGAAGAAGTTTATCTCAAGATCAAGGAAGTAGTGACCTTTGCCCTGTTTATAGATTTGTTAACATCAAGGTTCTACCTCGGAGATAACACTGTTGTCTCCCACCTGTACCACTACTGTTCCATTAAAAGAGGCATCAAAGTGGGAAAGAAATGACAGCCACTGTCCTGGGTGTCTTACCATGGCACTGGATTGTATTTTGCAGGTGGCTTCATCCTGTTCATCGCCAGCTGGGGGAGGGGAATGAGGAGTTTGCACTCCGTGTACAACAGGTGGTAGTGGACACAGGCAGGGTGGAGGTGGGGTTCCTCCTTAGGGAGGGGAGGAGGAAGGTTTGAGAGCTTGACCTTTGACCTTCTAATTTCCAATTCTCCCTAGCTTGTGGCCAAGGAATTGGGCCAGACAGGAACACGGCTCACTCCAGCAGACAAAGCAGAACACATGAAGCGACAAAGACACCCCAGATTGCACCCCCAGTCAGGTGTGTGGTGTCTATACACAATTTTCAGGGTTTTTTTTTTGTTTTTGTTTTTCAGCCTACTATTTCTTCCCTATTCCTGTGCTAATCTGCCTCTCAGTCATCCTAGTTCTTGACTTAACCATATTTGTGACTTTTTTTTTTTTTTTTGTAGCCCAGTCTTTACCTTCCTCTCCTGGCCCTTCTCCTGATGTGCAGCTGGCAACTTTAGCTCAGAGAGTCAAGGAGGTTTTGCCCCATGTTCCTTTGAGTGTCATCCAGAGAGACTTGGGTATGGGAAAGGATGGCCTCATACAAAGTGACAGACAAGGGAGAAAAAGTGGGCTGTGACAGAAGAGGGTAAGGAGGGAATGGAATACTCTTCTATTCTCTTCCTTTCTTCCCAGCCAGGACTGGCTGTGTAGACTTGACCATCACTAATCTGCTTGAGGGGGCTGTAGCTTTCATGCCTGAAGACATCACTGAGGGAACTCAGTCCCTGCCTGCAGCCTCTGCCCCAAAGGTGAGACCCAGGAAGTAGTTAAGCCCAAGACTTAGGGTAGGTTGGGACAGTTTACCTACTCCCTCTCCCTGACTTCTCTTTTTGATCCTGAGACCCTAGCACAGTGCCTCTCTTACAAAGTAGGCATTCGATGCGTGTTTAATGCTGATGACTTCGCAAGCCCTCTGACATTGTGATCACCTCAGTTCCCCAGCTCTGGCCTGGTGACCCCTCAGCCCACAGCCCTAACATTTGCCAAGTCTTCCTGGGCCCGTCAGGAGAGCCTGCAGGAGCGCAAGCAGGCACTGTATGAATATGCAAGAAGGTGAGGGGTTAGAGGACAATGAGTAGAAAGCAGTAATTTGGAGAAGGGCATTATGGAGCTGATATGACAAAGCCCACATAATGTCTCTCCCTGTGTCCCACAGGAGATTCAGAGAGAGACAAGCCCAGGAGGCTGAATGAACTCAAAGGAACAGGATGGCACCCAGATCGCAGGACGGAGACTGGGGGCAGCCCTCACCCAACTCACAACTGGCCGGATGAGTGGGTGGTAAAAAGGGAAGGATGGGGCTCCCCCAATCTCGATTAAATTCAGGGTTTTCACTCAAGGTCTCTGTTGCTTCTCTGGGTTTCAAAAGCCTCTTGAACAGGCTCGTTTTCCTTGGTTGGAGGGTATGAGAATGAGGATCACCTTTTAGGATTGTGAAGGATGGTCAGAATGGAACAGTTTGAAAATATCTTCTCATGCCAAGAAATGAGTGATGCTAAAAAGTATAACTGAACTGAAGATAAGCAGCAACTGGATCCCAACTTGGGTGTTGAGCCCAAGTTTGTCATACTGCTGCTGCAAAACTACAAGTCCCAGAATGCCTTTCACAAACACAAACCTCTTATCAAGTTCACACATCATTGTGGTGACAGGAGCCTCCTATCCATGGGTTCCTGCTAGGTTAAATAAGGTGGAGCAAATAGCCACACCCTAAAAGCAAGCTCCAGGATTGGAGTTTGAGCCTGTGCCCAAGGTGGAGCCGGAACTTACCTTTGTACTTCAGGCCCTCAGTGTTTGTGGTGACTAGCTGGATGGGTCCAGACCTTGCTGCCATCCTGACACAGCACAGAGCTCCAAGCAGGTTTGAATACAAAATCCTTGTAGCCCCACTGTCCCCATCCCCTTCTCTGGGTATTTATTATTTTACCCTCGGTACCTTCTCACAGATTGCTCACCTAATTCTTGCTACCCCCAAGGACTCTTATGTTACTACCCAATTACAAACAGGGTAAAAGTCCACTTTTGATGGCCCCTTAGAAATACCCAGCACTTCCTTAGCAAGTAAGAAATGCTGGGAAGGAGCTGGGGGCATGGTTGAAATGTTAGCAAGCCTTCCTAGCAAGCAGAAGGCCTTGAGTTCAAACCCCAATACCACCAAAAAGAAATTCTGGATGGACCCTTGGGCAATAGCACCTGAAGGTAGAAGTTAGGGATCAGGGCTGAGGTGGGAAGATGGTGTCAATCATGAAATACAAGACCTTACTGGCTTCCCTGACTTCTGTAGGTCTTGCGGACAGCCCCCATGGCCTCTCTTAGGCTGGCAGAAGAGTCTAGCCCCAGTCCTGGGGAGTCTGAATTGGCTGTGAATCCCTTTGATGGGCTCCCCTTCTCTTCTCGCTACTATGAGCTGCTTGAGCAGCGCAGAGCCTTGCCCATCTGGGCTGCTCGTTTCATCTTCTTGGAGCATTTGGAGAGTAGCCCCAGTGGAGTGGTGTTGGTGTCTGGAGATCCTGGCTCTGGCAAAAGCACCCAGGTGGAGGTTGATTCTGAAGTAGAGAAAGGGAGGGGCTAAAGAATTGGTTTTTCCCTGGGTAAGGGATGGGCTACTTGGGGATATGGGGGAAGGTGGACAAAGATGGGTTAGACTGGTCCCATGATGTTGGCAAAGGACCAGGGAACTCCCCAAATAACAAGAGAGAAAACTAGCCATAGTTTTCAGCACCTCCAACTAAAGTCCTGCATCTCCCTGACTGGTTGTCCTTTCCTACCCCCAGATTCCTCAATGGTGTGCAGAGTTTGCTCTGGCCAGGGGATTCCAGAAGGGCCAGGTTACTGTCACTCAGCCCTACCCTCTGGCAGCCCTGAGCTTGGCTTTGCGAGTTGCTGATGAGATGGACCTGACCCTGGGTCATGAGGTTGGATACAGCATCCCTCAAGAGGACTGCACAGGGCCCAACACCATACTCAGGTGGGGCCCTCTGCAGGCCTGACCCAAATGAAACTCCCCTCACCACAAAAGCAAGCCCAGTTGCCTGCCATCTCACCACACCCTCTTTCAACTTAACTTGCTCTTTAAGTCATGCACAGTGCAACTGCCTAATTAAGCTCCTGAACCCCAGCCATGGGCCTCAGACATTCAACTTCATCCTCACCACAAAAATCTCACTTCTCAGCTAGAGTATAAATTTGTGGACCAAGTGTCCTCAGAGGGGTTGTAGAGTCAACAGTTATGGGTCCATAGGCTCAGAAAGTCAGTCACTGACCACTATCAAAATCCAAGTCCCAGCTCGGTGCCAGTGTCGCACACCTGTAATCCTAGCTACTCAGGAGGCAGAGATCAGGAGGATTTCTGTTCAAAGTCAGCCTGGGAAAATAGTTTGCAAGACCTTATCTTGGAAAATACCTAACCCAAAAAAGGGCTGGCAGAGTGGCTCAAGTGGTAGAGTGCCTGCCTAGCAAGCATGAGGCCCTGAGTTCAAACCCCAGTACCGCCACACACACCAGAAAAAAAAAAAAAATCCAGATCCCTTGAGGAGAATCCTGGACTTCAGGGGCTGTTCAGTGTCCACTACCAATGTTAACAGGTTCTGCTGGGACAGGCTGCTTCTGCAGGAATTGGCCTCAACCCGGGGTACTGGAACCTGGAGTGTGCTGGTGCTGGATGAGGCTCAGGAGCGGTCAGTGGCCTCAGATTCACTTCAGGGGCTGCTTCGAGATGCCAGACTGGGAAACCTTCCAGGGGACCCTAGAGTGGTTGTGGTTACTGACTCAGCCCTTGAACCTAAGCTCCAAGCCTTCTGGGACAACCCGCCCATTGTGCATGTACCCAGAGAGCATGGTGGTAGTCCCACCCCTATCTACAAGGACAAAGTCCCTACCAATCGGGTGGAAGCTGCCTGCCAAGCTGTGCTTGATTTGTGTTGGAAGGAGGCTCCAGGAGATGTGCTGGTGTACCTGCCCAGTGAGGAGGTAAAAAAAAAAAAAAAATTGCAAAAGTAGGCACTGATATATATACTACCTTCCTGTCCTAGGAGTGGGTGTAATGCATTTTAGGAACAATGGAGTGCTAGTATGTACTCTCTGGCGAAGAATCCAAGATTCCAGGATAAAGATTTGCCATCCACGTTTTCATTCTTATAATGCAGAAATTCGTGGCTCAGTGAACTCCTGAAATTGTAACATTCCCAAATTTATAAGTATGTGCATTTTTTCAGAGGGAAGGGCCATAGCTTTCATCAGTTTTTCTGAGGTCTATAACCTCCCCACCCACTCAAAGGTGAGAATTGCCCTAATGCCCCACCCCTCTCCTCAGGAAATTTCCTTGTGCTGTGAATCCCTGTCCAAGGAGGTGGGGACCCTCGCTCTCCCAGGGGCTCCACCACGGGTGCTGCCCCTTCACCCAGGCTGTGGTCAAGCCGTTCAGGCTATATATGAAGACACAGACACAGGTGCCCGGAAGGTTGTGATCACTCATTGGCTGGCTGACTTCTCCTTCTCCCTCCCTTCCATCCGACATGTCATTGACTCAGGACTGGAGCTTCGCAGTGTGAGTGAGAGAAATGAGGGGGTGTGGGACCTAAGACAAAAATGGCCCATTCTGATCTGTCTTTACCTTGATTGGGGGTGGTGGGTGACAGGTTTACAGTCCTCGGATCCGAGCAGAATCCCAAGTGTTGAGACCAATTAGCAAGTGTCAGGCAAAGGCAAGACAACTGCGGGCACGAGGGTGTCCACCAGGTAAGAGCCTTTGCCCTCAGATTAAGCATCAGAAGAGTCACAGCACACAAGCCCTGAAAAAGCTACTTCCCCTGGTCTTTCTCCCCTCAGGATCCTGCCTCTGCCTATATCCTAAATCCATCCTAGAACTAGAGGCTCCACCACTGCCTCACCCCAGAGTATGTGAAGAGAATCTGAGCCCTCTGGTGTTATTACTAAAGAGGAGACAGATTGCAGAGCCGGGGCAGTGCCACTTTCTGGACCGGCCTGGTGAGAACCCATCCTGCCCAAGTGCAGCCCTCTATCACTCAGCTCAGAACTCACATCCTGTAAGCCCTGTTTCCTCCCCAGCACCAGAAGCACTGATGCAGGCCCTGGAAGACTTAGACTATCTGGCAGCCTTGGATGATAATGGGAACTTGTCAGACCTGGGAGTCATCCTGTCAGAGATCCCCCTGCCACCTGAGCTGGCCAAAGCCCTGCTCGCCTCCTGCGAGTTTGACTGTGTGGATGAGATGCTCACCCTCGCTGCCATGCTCACTGGTATATTTATAGCTTTAAACTACATGGGGGTTGGGAATTATACTACTTGTTAGTTGAGAGTTTTTGGTTTGGGTTTTAGTTTATGCAGTGCTGGGGGTCTTGTACATGCTAGGCAAATGCTCTGCCACTGAGCTATACCACAGCCCCTCATAAGTATAAATCACTGCCATGAATCAGTAGCTTTTGTAACCACTTCAGCCTTTCCCCTTGTGTTTCTATGCTCCTATGGCTAGCCCTTTCTTCTCTGCTCTTGTCCCCACCCTCACAGTGCCTAGAGAACCAGACCTAATCACCTATCCCTCTCTTGTCTCTGTAGCCTTTTCTCTCTGCTCCTTCTTGCCCATCAACATGCTTAAATCTCACCCATCTGTTTTTACTAAAAGCCACACAGCTCTACTCCTCAACCCTACCTTCCTCCCTTCAGTTATAAACATAATTGCTATCCCATCCTATATAATGCATTGCTCACCCACTGCATCTCAACTTAAAAACCACATACTGCTGAAATGGCTTTGAGCTCACTGTGATATTCCAGAAACCTAACCCAGTGGACATTTTTGAGCCTTTATTCATGAACTTTTGACATCCAAGTGCTCACCAATCCCACTTTAAAACTGTCTTCTCATTATGCCTCGGTGATGCCACTTCTTGTAGCTTTTTGTTTATTTGGGGGTTTTGGGGGGGAGGTGGGATTTTGAGACAGGTTCTCACCATGTAGCCCAGGCTGATCTTGAATTTGAGATCTTCCTGCCTCAGCCTACTGAGTGCTGGTATTACAGGCCTGTACCACCATCCCCAGCCTACTGGGGATGAGTTTTCAACCTACTTCTCTGACCATTCCCTTCATCTTTTCCTTGGACTCCATTGTCTGCTTGTCCATTGTAAATTAGTTCTCAGGTTCTATCCTTGGCCTTTTGTCTTGTCTCTCATTCCCTGAACTTTCAGTAAATTCATTATGCCCATTGTTTAAAGCACTGCCTTTATACTTAAAATTCCCAAACTTTGTACCTTGTATCTCTCTGCCAGTACCATTCCTCTAGATTGTAGGAAGATGGGGAGGGGGAGTTGAAAGAGGAGATGAATGGGAGAGGGAGAAGGAAAGAGATCCAACTCCTGATGAATAATTCTGCTAGAATAGTACTTCAACTCAGAACTGAACATAAGCACTCTATTAACCTAATCCTCTCACCTCCATTACCACGAAATCTCTTCCTCTCTCTGAATCAGTTTCATTTTTATCTCCTTAATGTCTTTTTTTTTTCTAATTCATCTGCTTTTTGGCTACTCACTGCCAGTGTCAATGTTAGATTTTCCATTATTGCTCATCTGGATTCCATTGGTAGTCTCTGAGCTAGTCATGTAAAGGTTTCCAAACACATGAACTCTTACTTAAAAACTCCTCTTTGACTGGGGGTGTGGCTCAAGTGGTAGAGCACCTGCCTAGCAAGCACAAGGTTCCAAGTTCAAACCCCAGTGCCACCAAAAACAAAATAAAGAACTTTTCAATAGTTATTCTTCACAAGACAGAATGTAAAATCCTTTACACAGCACATCTGGTCTCTCATGACCTAACTGATACCTACCTTCAGCTTTATTTTCTGTCATTCTGCCACAGGTAAGTCACTCCACCCAACCCAGGTCACTTGCAGTTCCCCCAAAATGCCATGCCATTAACTTTTGTGCCATGTTGTTCCCACAGTCTCAAATATTCCCCTGCCCCTTTTCCACTGAGCTAATTCAAACTTCAAAATTTGACTCAAAGGTCCTCATCCTTTTCTCTCATTCACCTTATTGCTACAGCCCACTACAGCCCAAAGCCTGAAACCATCAAGTCTGCTTATTTGCTGTTCTCTTTCACTAGACTCTAATCTCCTTGAGGCAGAAGCTTTCATTTGCAGCCATCCCTCAGTATACATGGGAGATTGGTTCCTGGACCCTATATAGATTCCAAAATCTGCTGGTGCTTAAATCTCTCATATAGTGTTTATATATAACCTATGGACAGCCCCCTGTATGTCTTAAATCATCTCATCTCTAGAGTACTTATGATACCTAATACATTGGTATACTATATGGTTTAAAGAATAATGACAAAGGGAAAGTTTGTACATATTTGGTACAGATGCAATTTTTCTGAATATTTTCAATCAACAGCTGGTTGAATCCACAGATACAGAACCCACGGATAGGAAGGGCTGACTGTTTTTATCCTCAAAGTCTAATAAAGTACAGAGCACCTAGAATTTACCACTCCTTTTGAATAAAGTTCCCAAAGGAACACTCCTACTTTTTCAATATTCCACCTGTGCTACCATCCTTTCTCATCCCCCAAACCACCTTCCTCTCTTCTCCCTGCAGCTTCCCCTGGATTTACTCAACCTCCACTCTGTGCAGAAGAAGCTGCCCTACGTCGGGCCCTGGAACATGCAGATGGTGACCATAGCTCTCTGATCCAGGTTTATGAAGCCTTTATACAAAGCAAGTGTCCCACTCTGTACCCACTTATAGAATCCCAGATTTTCCAAAAGGGGAAGTGGTATGCAATCAGCTGACAGATCTCTGTGCCCAGGAAGAGGAAGGTTTTGACTGGCAGTTACATTCTTCCAGGGGTCTCAAGAATTTTAGTTGTGACTAGTCTCTTTCCTCTCCCAGGTGGAGCAGATGAGTCTTGGTGCCGGGCTCGGGGTCTAAACTGGGCAGCTTTGTGCTACGCCCGCAAACTTCGGGGAGAGCTACTGAACTCATGCGAAGAATTGAACTTCCCTTGTCACAACCAGCCTTTGGCTCTGAGCAGAATCGCAGAAACCTTCAGAAAGCACTGGTGTCAGGATACTTCCTCAAGGTTAGGGGAAGGGGTTCGGTGAGGGTGATTAAAAAAAAGCAAAATTCAGAGAGAACAAATAGTAGGTAGCCTCTGAAATCTGGGTTCAGGTGACCATTCAAAAGAACCTTTAGAACCAGGAAAGACTTTTTCCCCTGAGTCTTTGGGGAACAAAGAGTTATGGAAAATGCCATATGGTAAAGTAGGGACCAGACAACACCCAGAGATAATGCTTTGCTATTAAAACTCTTACCACCCTTGCTAATTCTTTTTCCTATTCTCTGCCTCTTCCCTCTTATTTATTCTTTAAATATCTTTCTCTTTCAATGAGGTGGCCCGAGACACAGATGGGACTGGAAATTACCTACTCCTAACCCATAAGCATGTGGCCCAGCTCTCTTCATACTGCTGCTACCGAAACCGCCGGGCTCCAGCCAAACCACCATCATGGGTGCTATACCACAGTTTCTCCATATCCAAAGACAACTGCCTTTCCATTGTTTCTGAGATTCAACCTCAGATGTGAGTTCCCTGGCACCCACTGCCCATTCCTCTCTCTGGGAGCAAAACAAAAGCTGAGGAGTTAGAAAGACTTAAAAAGAGATCTTAGTGGTTTGTAGTAACATGATTTGAAGAGAGAGGGCTTGTCGCAGGGATTGCAGAAAGAGAAGATACAGGTCATCTAATTATGACTCTCTCCGTCAGGCTGGTGGAATTGGCCCCTCCATATTTCCTGAGTAACTTGCCCCCCAGTGAGAGCAGAGACCTCCTGAACCAGCTGAGGGAAGGAATGGCAGACTCATCAACAGAGAGTGAATCTTTCTCCCCCCAACAGTTCAGAGATGCCTGCATCCTGCAGTGACCACCTGCTTAAAGAATGAAGCTGAGCTCATCTGTGGCATTAGATCTCTCTCAGACTAGCACCAAGGCAGCCAGTCAGATTTAGAAGCACAAAGACCCAAGAAAAGGTGGGCTGGGAGAGAAGGGAATGAAGTGAGCAACAATCTAGGACAGGACCCTTTCCTTAGCCTGGTCCTGTGTATTGTGGGAGTAAAATGCTCTGCTCCACCAACTTATGCCAAACTCATCCTTGTACCCTCTTTTGGTCTATAAAAGATTTATGTATGATACCAAATTTGATTTTGGTTCTGCAATATCCACGAGTCAGAGATGACACTGTATCAAAGATCCAGGGTCAATTCCTGTAGCTATAGCCTCTTGCCTGGCTCCCACCTCCAAACCTTTTTGCTATGACTGACATAGCTGTCACTGTCCAGAAGATGAGTAGTCTGGCTACAGTTAGTCTCTGGCCCTGCTTCTCTTCCCTCTGTCACAATGTTCTGCCCTGTGGGGGAAGAAAAAATGAGGGTGCTAGAAGAATTAGACAAAACCTTCTCTTTTGGTGGCTTGCACCTGTAATCCTACCTACTCAAGAGGCAGAAATTAGGAGGATTGCAGTTCGAAGTAAAACCAGGCAAAGAGTTTGTGAGACCCTATCTGGAAAAAATCCATCGCAAAAAAAGGGCTGGTGGAGTAGCTCAAGGTTTAGGCCCTGAGTTCAAGCCCTGGTACTACCAAAAATAATTTTAAAAAATAATAAGTAAACCTGAAGGCTATTGCAACCATCCCCTAATTCAACTCACCATCAACAAGCTTCCTAGCAGCCTCTGGACCTCCCACAAGTTGAAGTCTTTCCAGCAACTTAAGGGACACCATGCTTTTCTTTCTTTCTGGCTCGGCACTCCCTCCTGTTCTGCCCCTAAACTATTAATTTTGGTATCCTCTATCATCTTGCACATTGTAAATGTTTTTGTAGAATTTCGTGGAAATGTTTAGTCCTTAGAACTCTCCTTTTCTCCTCAGAGTTCCCTGCCTTGGGAATTCTATTTGTTCTCATCATTCCATCTATCTCCACCTCCATGTGGATGTCAGCTGATTTCCCTCAAAGGTACTTTTTCAGAATCTCTATGTCTAACATTTAGTTTTGCCTAGAGAGTTAATCAAGCTACAGCTGTCTCAATTTCCCCTTCATCATCAGCACCACTGATTTCCTGATACTCAACATTTCCAATCTTGAAATTATCTTTGATTTTTTTTAGGATTGCCAATTTTGAAGTATTTCCCAAATTCTGCTTACCCCACAGACAGATTTTCTTCCTAGATTGTACCTTTCATCGAGTATTTAAGTATCCAGTCTTACCTACAGCCCAGGCACATTGTGAAGCTCAAGTGGAAAGATGTGGCCAGCAGGTTGAACACATACGACAACATGGGACACAGTCAAGAAGAAGTCCTTAGCGATTATTTTACAATTGAAGGATAGAATGCCCAGCGTGGACAGCCTTCTCATAATCAGCCAGATTCTCACGTTCTAGCACCTATTCCATTACTCCGCTGCCCCGGGTGTCTTCCTTCCTTCACTCCTTTAGTACATACCTAGAGAGCACCAACTTCAGCCGCCTGCCCTTTCTCCGCACCTTGTGTAGTGTAATGTAATGCTGCTGGTGCTCACAGTACCCCAGCGGGAAGCCTACTCACTTCAGAATCCGAAGTCCCTCTGGAGAGCACTTCCCATTGGCCAGCCCATCCCCCTACACTTCATTGCCTGTAAGTCCCGCCCTTTCACACCCCAGGATCCAGTGGTTGCTTAACAACCATTCTAAGAAAAATGGCGGGAAAGGCCACGTCTAAGTGCTCTTGGCATCCATGCGCGCGCAATGAGGGACTGGGGGCCCGCTGGTGGCTGGGGAGCTCTCCACCATAGTCTCAAAAGACCTTCAAATCCTCATACGCTCGGCTGCCACAAGGCCGAGGGCGCAGGCAGCCACGCGCTTTACATCCCCAGGCAGACGCTCACTCCGCCGGGGTACAGAGAAGAGCGTTCAGTCGATTGTGCAGGCAGGCGTAGCTCACACCACCGAGGCGAGCCCGGACACGGAAGCCACTTTGTTGTCCTCGGCCCAGGGCTGCAGGTTCTGTAGCGCGAAGAGTGACGAGTTGTGCAAGCAGAGGGGATCCGGGGGCAGCGGCGGCCGAAGAGGCCGCGGTAGTGCGTCCTGCTGCAGGTGCAGGAGCAGCCGGCCCGCGCGGTGCCGCTCCGCCTCGCGCTCCTCTGCAGTCTGGCGCCTGGCGGGCGGAGATGCGGGGTCAACAAGACCGCCCCTACCCACCCCACGTCTCACCGCCACTTAGCCAGGCCCCACGGGCCCCAGTCCGCCCTCGCCGCGCCTCACCGCCACTTGGTGCGTCGATTCTGGAACCAGGTCTTGACCTGTGCGTCGGTCATGCGCAAGGCCTTGGCCAGAGCCGCCCTCTCGGCAGAGGCCAGGTACTTCTGCCTCAGGAAGCGCCGCTCCAGCTCCAGCACCTGCGAGCGGGAAAAGGACGTGCGCGGCTTCTTCCGCTTCGGAGGGGTCCGGTTTTGGTAGGGGTGGCCTATCCGGCGCGTCCCAGAGAAAGGCGACAGCGCGGCTAAAGGGAGGAAGAATAGAGCAAGGCTGGGTTTGGGGGTAGTCCAAGGTATCGCTGAGAAGAAAGCCCTGGATCTTACCCCTGCCCCAGGCCCGGCCCAAGGCGTCAGCAGAGGCCTAAAGACAAGAAAGGGCCCCAGAATAACGGCCCTCCCCGCGGTGTGTACAGTGGAACTGTAGAGGGGGGTGCGGGCACCGACGGCAGCTCCCTCCCCATTCTTTGCCTCTCATCTGCAGGACCAAGAGATGCGGGTTGGGGAGGATCTCCTGGGATCATCTGAGGTGAGGTTTGAAAAGGATCTGGACTTGGAACAGAAAGATGAGGAAACAGGGTCAGCGTGGGGCAAGACGCTGAAAAGGTTGGACAACCTCACCCGTGAGCCTGTCCTTGGCAAAGCGGCGGCCGCTGTCCATCCAGGGGAAGGTGAGTCCCGCCAGGCCCCCGGCGCCGCCCAAACCCGAGGGCCCAGGCACGGCAGGGGCGCCACCCGCGGGCGGTGGCACCGGCAGCGGGCGGTGCGCAGGAACGCGGATCACGCCACCCGGACCCACTCCTGAGCCGCTGGACAACGGGGCCAGTGAACCTGCAGGACCATAGCCCGAGGTTCCATGAAATCCACCCGGGAACGCCGCACTCTCTCCATGGCTCTGGCCCGCACGACCCGGGCCTAGGCCGACCCCTAGGGGTTCGGGGCCGCTCAGGATCTGATCGATGCCGAAGCTGATTGGCTCGTGGTGTGGAAGGTTGTGTGGAGCCAGCACCGCCGGCTCCATGGGTCCAGACCAGGGAGGACCGCAGGAGGTTCCGTAGTTAGGAAGGGTGTCTCGGACAGCTCCGGGAGCCCAGTGGTGGCTCGATCCAGACATCGGCTTCAGGGGCCCGCGGGGCTGGCCACAGCCGGGCGCCGGGGCCCCCGCAACGGCAGCATCCCAGTGCACCGGGAGCAGCCGCGCGGGTACTCGCCCGTGCCGGGCGTCCGCGCAGGGACTTGCATCCCGGAGGAGCGTGGCCGGCCGGGGCCCCAGGAGCTCCCTTCCTGGCGCTGAAGTGCAGATGGACGATAGGCTGCAGAGGCCGCTGCCCGGGTCCCGGGTGGAGAGGGTTGTCCAGCTCCAGCAGGGGCAGTGACTGACAGATCAGCCCCCGGTGGGTAGTGGGGGCTCAGGGTAGGGCAGGGGCGGGGCCCGGCTGTTAAAGGGGAAGAGATGCCTGTTTGTGCCAAGCACCGGCCGGGATGTGCGGGGCGGAGACAGAGGAGGGTTGAGGGTGTTAGGCACCAGGCTCAGCGCGGGAGGGGCCAAAGCGTGGGTAGCTGAGTCAGCCGAGATGCTCACCGCGCCTACATCCTTGCGGGCCTCCTTCTTTGAGCTGCCTTTTTTCACCGGCTTCCTCCGCAGGTGCCTAGCCCCCCAGCCCCCAATCTTCGCCTCCCGATGGGTTCTGCTTTCTAACTCCTGGATTCGTTGTGGCCCCTACCAAAGTGCTCTTTAAGACCAAATCTCGTTATGGCTTCCCGGCTGCGTAAGAAGCGGCTGGAGAACGGCAATCGGCGATCTGGAGTCCAGGAAAAGGACAGGTGTGGGAAAGGGATGGAAGGGCGCTTTCGGCGAGCTAGGGTGGAGAACAACCAGTCAGGACTCGTGATCCTGGTGTGCCTCCTGGCCTTTCCTTTAGAGTTCCCAGCCTCGTCCGCGCACGCTAGTAATTGTTGCCCTGATTCTTAGAATTTCGATTTTCCGAAATCGCTGATCCGTGGCTCAAAGGGGTCAAATGGGGCACGAGTGCACGGGGCTCCCAACACAGGTTTCTGCACCCTATTCTGCGCCTAGGAAGTCTATTCCCACACACTCTCCCCCTCTCAAAGGCCCAGAGGACGACAGGCAACACGTGGGATTCGCTGAGGCCTTGGGAGGATCCCGGCCTCCTCGTTTTCCATGGACACTTCATCCCACCCAAGCCCCAGAAAATGCGCCTTGGAGTGTGCCAGAGAAGGGAGGTGGGGAAAGGCTGACCTTGTGACCTCTGGCCGCGGATCGCGGAGCTGGGAGTGTGTGAACTCTGCATCTATCCCCGGGATGGGACCCCTGCCGGGCGGGCCCCTGAGCCTTAGACCCGCCCTCGCCGCCACCCTGCCCGGTGCAGGCCGCCATAATCAGGTTAGCTGGGCCGGAATTACATTACCTTCCCCAGCCCGCCCCGGCCCTGGGGGGGGCCCTGGCGCCTCCGAGCCGGTGAGACTGGGCTCCGGGAGGAGGGCGCTCCTGCCATCCCGCAGCGGGTGGGCACCGACAAGCAGTTCAGCCTGCCCCAGACACGTGGTGGCCAAAGGAACCCGCCCAGATGTGCCAGGCCTGGACCCTCACCCCCAGCGCTCTCCAGTGCTTAGCTCCACACTGTCGGCTTCCCGCATGAACCGAAATGCCTTCTAAGTCTGTACTAGATGGATCTTCCTGGGCGCACCGATCTTCCAATTCATTCTCCAGGATCCCCTGGGAAAGACTCCCCCTCCTTTCTCCGAGCAGATGGGCTGGCAGCCTGGCGCCTGGGGCAGGGTTGAGGGGGTCTTTTCCCTCCTGGGAACCAGGAATGATATTTGGGCATCTGGGCAGGAAGATAAAGAGTGGGCTTTCTCCTCACCCAAAGCCACCAGCTCTCCAGTGTTCTTGGAAGCCTCAGTCTGAGGGAGATGACCAAGGAGACATTAATAATATGTGATAACCTCCCCCACTTTGGCTACCTCTATCATCAGCCCTTCTTCAGCCATGCTCACAACCCTTTCTGAAACAGTGTGGGGCTCTGCCAATTTGGCAGCTGTGCTTTTATGTGGTGGAGAAACAGACATCATCACCTCCCCTACCCTCCACAGAAACCCTCTCCTTTTCTCAGCAGCAGAGGGAGGCAAAACCTTCAGACCTAGCACAGGCTAGGCTCCACCCATTGGGAACCCAGAGCCTGAGACAGCAGAGAAAGGAAACCTCTGAGGTGGGCTGGCCTGCATGTTAGGAGTGTGCCAGTCCCTTTCTCTGCTCAGGATAGTGGTGGAGTGAGGGAGAGTAAGAATATAACAGAGTAGCAGTGGAGAGTAATTACAACCCAGCTGAATAAATCCTTGAACTAACCAGTGTAACAGGGTGCAGACCTGGCTCACTGTGTATCCCCACTTTTTTCAGTGGCACCGATGGCACTGACATCCAGAAATGGTCCAACTGACTTTTTGAGGGGAATCTTCACAAACGCATTTGGGGAGTTAAAGAAAAAAAAATTTTACTGCCCCACTTCAAGAACAGAGGGCATCCAGTTCTGTCATCCACAAGCCTAGGAACTCTTTTCATGACTCTACCTCTGATTCTCAGGGAATTGATGGTCCTGTTAATTCAAATTGAAGATGGAGGCACTATGGTGAGCACCTCATCACACACACCACTTTGGATCTGTCTCACAATGCCCTATGTGTCTGTGTCTCCTAAGTCTTTAGATCGTCAAGCTTGTAGGTTCACAGGGAACAGCCTCACTTCAGGCCTCAGCTCCTGCTCCTTCCCTTCCTTCCTGTTGTTAGTTCTTCTTTCAAGATGGTCTCTACTCCTCCATCATCATTTCTCTCATCAGCTTAGTTCCTACTCCCAACTGTCTAACATCTTTAGCATATGGACAGACTCTTTGCCTGACTCCTCATGAAAAATTATGTTTTTCTTCTTCTTTTTACTGCCCATTCATGCCCAGTTCATCGTGTGTTCTTGGTTTAACCCAGTGCAAGCCAGTTTTCTTACACTGACTTGTTCTTGAAGAGCTCCAGTATCTGGTGTTCCTTCTTCAGGACTTTTCTGACATGTTCTACTTTGTTGATCACCAACTGTTTCTTGAAATGTCCTTTCTTTGGGCTTCTGTAATTGTCTTAATCTACATTCTTGATCTTTCACTGTTACTGTGATGACTTTTCTCTCCACTGACTTTGCTTCTACTGAAGACTGTGAGCATTCTTCAGAGCTCAGACTTCAGCTTTCCTTTTATCTGTACATCTGTTCAGGTTTCATCTATTCCAACAGTCCCAACTCTCACATCCACCCAGACAACTCTGACACTTAACACTTCAGTACCACCCCTCTCTTAACCTTCTGGCCATCCCCATTCATCTTTCCTGCAGCCACCTAAAGTCCAACAGGCTGGAGGACATGCTCACATCCCAATCTTTTCTTTCACCAAATCAGACCCATGGGTACTTCCTTCTATTATACTTTCCTTTGAAGTTTCAAATGCAACCCCTCCTAAAAACCTAATCCTGGCTGTCACAACCATCACGTGGATTTATTCATTTGTTCAGAAAATTTTAACATGCATTATGTGCACTGTGTGCCTGGCACTGGAGATACATCTGTGGAAATAGTAAGGGGAAGAAAACCTACCAACTCTGAAAAGCTTACATTCTAGTGGTAAAGGTAGATGAAAATTAGCAAAATACAATAAATACATAATAGAAAAAGATATATTAAAAAATAATAAACCCAGGCATGATGGTACATGCCTGTAATCCCAGCAATCTGGAAGTCTGAGGTGGGAAGACCATGAGTACCAAGCCAACCTGGGCAACACAGTGAGACCCGCATTTCAGAAAAATGATAATAATAAATGCTAACAATGATAATAAATGCTAAGAATAAAAATAAAGGAAATGAAAGATTATTTATCCAGAGTGATCACAGAAGCCTCATGGAATGAGGACTTAAAAGAAGGAGAGAGCCATTTGGATATCCAGCATTTCAAGTTGGGGACACAGAAGGAGCGTATTCTGGTGTCTGTGGAACAGTGAGGGGTTCATTGGGGTCACAGAGACTATTCAGGGCCTTGCGGACCATTATAAGGACATTGACCTTTATTCTGACTGCAAAGGGAAACTATTAGAGGTTTATTTTTTATGTTTCTTTTGTGGCACTAGTGGTGAACCCATGGACTGGTGCAAGCACTCTACTACTGAGCTATATATCACCAGCCCTAACGAAAGGTTTCCAATAGAAAAAAAAGAAGAAACAACCTGATTTTTTTTGTCAATTTTATTTTCAACAGCTTTGTTGACATACAATAAACTGCAAATATATATTAAAGTGACAATTTGATCATTCTTTTCATACAAATAACCCATTATACTATCACACAGTCAAAATAATAACCATATTCATCAAAAGCTTTCTCTGTATTTTTGATTCATAATTGATCAGAATTAGTTTGAGCTGCTGTGGGGAGGACAGGTTAAAGAAAAGCAAAGTTGAATACAAGAAAAGCAGTCAAGAAGACACTGAAATCAGAGGAGATGATGGTGTCTTGGACCAGGGGAGTTAAGCCATGGCTGTTTATATGAAATGGGGTTTGAACTCAGGGCCTCACCTTGCTAGGCAGGTGCTCTACCACTTGAGCCACTCCTTCCAGCCCTTTTTTTTTTGTGTTGGGTTTTTCATAACTTTTGCTGCTTATCCACTGCAATTTATTTTGAAGAGAAACGGACATTTTGTTCTATTCATAGGGTAACACACACACACCTGCTTAGCTCTCTACTGCCCTCAGGGTAAAAATCCCAACTTCTTTAGTCCCCGATTCTATCACTACCTTTCAAATCCACACCTTGACCTCCTTCCTGTCCTCTGGTGGGTCCCCTCCATTCTGCATTTCTTATTTCCACCACACTTCCACCTACTGCTCCACTTCCCAATCGTGGGCACACAAAGTCCCGATTTCTCCAGAAAGCCTGTCAGAAGAGGTCTCCACTGGTATCTCATCCTTCTCCGATCTCTAATTGCACTAGGTGTTAACATTTCATAGTAAACTTATTCTCCTTTAAACTTCACTGAAGGAACTCAGGGATGGCGGTGTACAAGCCCTCGGGACCCCTGCGTCATCCCCAAGTGCGGGGCTGGGCCTATGCTACTGCAGGCGCTCATTGCCCAAGCGTGTGCGGCAGTGTCCTAGTCGTCCTCCCCTCCTCCTTCTGCATCTGCTCTGCATTAGTCTGTCCCAGGCCTCCGCAGGCGCCGATGATTAAATCATCATCATTAACCAGGGCCTGCCCCCCCATCCCCGGCAGCAGGGGGAGTGTGGGGGGGTGGTACGATCACTACCAAGTCCCTGAGGGTCTCTCCCTCTCCACCCCACCCTACCCCACCCCGAAACCCTTCCCGAGGCTCCGCAAAGCCGGGAGAAACTCCCGCCGCGGAGCCGTGAGAAGGCCCTCCATCTGGGTAAAACTCCGTAACGCGGACACGTCAGCCGACTAGGACGACATTGCTAAAAGAGGACCCAGGAGGGGCTCCTTCAGCGGAGTCGTCGTCACAGGAGACAGACGTCCCTGTGCAGTAGCCGGCGGTGATCGCTCAGCCTTTTGGGGTAGAGGGGGCAGTCTTTCGCAGGCTCAAAAGTTAGTCCCGAGGTCGGGTAGGGTCTGTTACGAGGACTCCTACAGGAGGTCGAAGAGATAGGACCCTTCCCCACACACACCACCCCCCCAACTCCCTAATTACGGATTGAGGAGGGGGAGGGGCCAGTGGGGCTCAGGTGAGTACACGGGGGAGAAAGGGACATGGGCGGGGCCTTACAGAGGGTGAGCGAATCCGAAAAGACCTAGGCCCGCGTTGCTGGGAGACAAGTCCCGCCCCGCAGGCGGCACCGGAAGTGGCAGGCCGGGATCAGCCTTTAAGATGGCGTCTCCTCAGGGGGGCCAGATTGCGATCGCAATGAGGCTTCGGAACCAGCTCCAGTCAGTGTACAAGATGGATCCACTACGGAACGAGGTGCAGGGGCAGCAGGGTTACTGCTGTGATCCGCTAGCGGTGCGAACTGGGGAGAGCTAGGGGACAGGCGGTGGCTGGCCAAGTGCCCAATGCGCCTGCGCATAGACAGGGTGTCTGGTACGCATGCGCGATTGTGGTTGAGTTGCCAAACTTCGGGCTAGAACGCCTGCGCATTGTGCAGCCAACGTCGTGTAGTCTCCCTTGGGAAAGGAGGGTGAGGCGAGTCCTCTTGAAGGGAGTCCCCGCAGTGCGCGGAGCCCTCTGCTGGGCGGAGGGGGAGTGCCAGCCCCCGGGAGTTAATCCCCTTCTGACAGTGCCTTCGGGACTTGACGGTGTAGTCTGATTAAAGAGAGGACTCCCGAGCTGGGAAGGTGCACAACGTAGGGTGGGATGGGGTGGGGGTGAGGGATGGATGATTGGTAACAGAGGGTGTGTCCGCAGGAGGAGGTCCGAGTAAAGATCAAAGATCTCAATGAGCACATTGTTTGCTGCTTGTGCGCTGGCTACTTCGTGGATGCCACCACCATCACAGAGTGTCTTCATACTTGTGAGTGCCCTGGATCTTGCCTGTTTCTTTTAGTCCCCTAGTGCTCACCAAGTTGACCAGCCTCTGTGGTGTTTGCTCCACCCATCCCATGAATTGGGTTCCCAGAAAGCCTGACAGTCTGTTTTTTTCTTCTTGCAGTCTGCAAGAGTTGTATTGTGAAGTACCTCCAAACGAGCAAGTACTGCCCCATGTGCAACATTAAGATCCACGAGACACAACCGTTGCTCAACCTCAAACTGGACCGGGTCATGCAGGACATCGTGTACAAGCTAGTGCCTGGCTTACAAGACAGTGAGTGATCAAGTTGACTTGGGGGTGGGGGTGGCTCTAGCATGTCAGCTATAGGTGACAAGGGTTTGGGTAGTACTCATACAGGTAAAGAGGTCACAGCCAAAGGAAGAAAGAGGGCTAATACTTTATTCCCATACTTCACCCCCTTCTAGGTGAAGAGAAACGGATTCGAGAATTCTACCAGTCCCGAGGCTTGGACAGGGTCACCCAGCCCAGTGGGGAAGGTATGTCCTTTGCAATGGGAGGGTAAAGCAAAACCTTCAGAGCATTCCTTTTGCCCAGTTTTGTTCTCTGTGGAACCTGTACCAGCCTCCTCAGTACCCCATTTTTCTCAGAGCCAGCCTTGAGCAACCTTGGCCTCCCCTTCAGCAGCTTTGACCACTCTAAAGCCCACTATTATCGCTATGATGAACAGCTGAGCCTATGCCTGGAGCGGCTAAGGTGAGAGGCAGGGCAGGGGTCCTGTGAGGTGACTGTGCTGATGATCAAGAGAGAGGGAGGGGCCTTGGGGAGAGGTCAAGCAGTGAGGAAGTATCTGTTCCCTTGAAGAGCATATAGCATGGCTTTGCAGAGAGGAGAGAAGGAACGATGGGGCTTCCCTAACCTGTGTCTGTTTCTCCCCAGTTCTGGCAAAGACAAGAATAAAAACGTCCTGCAGGTGAGAGGGAAGACCTCTTTAAGGAGACCTCCCTCCCAATAACCCTTCCCTCATTCACCTTGTCTCTTCCCTTCCTTCCCTGCCCCTAGAACAAGTATGTCCGATGTTCTGTTAGAGCTGAAGTACGCCATCTCCGGAGGGTCCTTTGTCACCGCCTGATGCTAAATCCACAGCATGTGAGTAATCTCACTCAGTTTTTGAGGGAGCAGGGACTGAAAAGGGAGGGACTAAGTCTAGAGTGAACCAGGATAGCTCTGGACCAAGATGAGAGTTCCTAAAACTGTGTTCTCATATCCCTCCTAGGTACAGCTCCTTTTTGACAATGAAGTTCTCCCTGATCACATGACAATGAAGCAGATATGGCTGTCCCGCTGGTTCGGCAAGGTATACCAGGGCCAAGGCAATCTCCAGGGCAAGGGTGGGCTGAGGGACCCTTCAGAGAATAAAGATGCCCACTGACTACTTCTTCCCATTGTTCTCTCCTTAGCCATCCCCATTGCTTTTACAATACAGTGTGAAAGAGAAGAGGAGGTAGGGGGCCAAGCTCCCACCCATTCCTTTCCCCTTTCCTTCCCAGATATTTATGTGAAATTAACTGTGGCTTTATTTTTTGAAATAAAAGCTTTTAAAAAGCATCTCGGGATGGGGATGTAGTTCAGTGATAAAATGCCTGCCTAATGTGTGAGGATTCAAACTCCAACACCACACAAACAAAAAAAAAACTTCTTCCCTTCTTCTTCTTTGTCCTTTCTACCACACATTCAGGCTTTGTCCTGTGTCCTGCTTCCCTGAAAAATCCTCTACATACCATTGTGAAGAGGGGCCTCTCCTCTATCACCAAGCACCCTTGATGTCTTGCCATAGAAGAGGGGTAGAGCACCCATTAAGTGAAACTCAGAAACTGAGCTAACCGAAACCCAGCCACCTACACCAGCCTGCCCTTCTTGGTGAAGGAAAGCTTTCTGGAAGGTAGTTCTGAACTGCAGCATATGGTGCTGGCCTAAGTGGAAGCATCCTAATTCAGTATGGGGAGAGGAGGGCTAGGCTTGAACAGTGGCTACTGCAGGACTGAAGAAGATAAGTGATATTTAAAGGAGAATTCAAAGAATGCACTCTGGTTCTCTAACTTGGAAACAGAGAAGAGGGAAGAATGTAAAAAAAAACACAAAAAACAGGGGGGGGGGCCACAGGAACAGTTGGAGTTTGGGACCTGGGTCCCCATATAGGCACCTTGGTGATTGGGTCTAGGTAAAGCCAGGATAAAGAACCTGTAGCTGAGGAGGAGAAGGAGCTGATTGTGGAAGAGAACAAATGTAAGCGGCAAGGCACTGGCTCCACAGATTGAATCAGCTAGCATTCCTTATTTTGTATAAACACATCAATGCACGTTTGTCTGTGGTAATAAACCCAGCCAGTGTCCATGTTCTATAGGCCTGTAAGTGGGGAAGCCAAAAACTTGCCCAACTGGAATGGTATTTCAGAGGCCAAAGCAAAAACTTCCTAAGGGAAGCACTGGAGCTACATGGGAATCTAGGACTGGTGGGATGGAGCAGGCTGGCTGAAGTCTGACTTAAAGGGGGTCTTGGCGCATAATGGCCCATGAAAGGTGGAAGACAGCTTGCTTCCATGGATGGAGGCCCAAGGCATAGTCCAAGACTGTTGGACCTGGCTCGACTAGTGGAGTAAAGAGGCCCAAGGCATAGTCCAAGACTGTTGGACCTGGCTCGACCGGTGGAGTAAAAACCTGAGCTCTCTTCTGGAGCTTTTGCTGCTTCAGTTACTGCCTGGAAATCTGTCACACCTTGCTGATGAATGTAGAGAGGGCTGGCGCGCTTTGAGAGCACTCTGAAAGAGTGCGTGGGGCAGGCAACTAAGACCCTGGTAGAAAGACCCACGTAGCCACCAGCCTGGGTATAATTCATGACCCAGTCTCCAAGATCCCTAAAGTTTTCCCTATTCAGGGCCTCGAGTCTGGAATGCGCCTCTCCTTGAAGCTCCTCTCAACTCCTCTAGGAAATCCTCCCCCACCCAAATCCGAGCTGCTTCCCGCACCTTTGAGCCTGCCTAGACACCCTCACGCGTCTTGAGGTTTTGGGTGAAGTATATACATCCCAGAGCTCCCCAGTCCCTTCTGAATTTAAACCCTGAGGGGTCCGCGGCCTCCACCAACACGCTGCCTTCCCCTTGCCCCGCGCTGTTTTCACGGAGTTTGTGAGCCAACAGGCATTTTCTAGAAGTGACAGGGGAGTGGTGCACTCTGGGATCATTTCGGGGCCTTGCAGCTGCGGGAACTGGGGAGCAGTCTGGCTGGGTCTCCATAGTTCCTCTGGTTAGGGCTTGGGTGCCAACCCGGCCACATCCAGATCCGGCCTTAAAGATCAGAGGCCCGGGGCTGGTGAAGTGGCTCAAGTGGTAGGGTGCCTGCCTAGCAAGCACGAGGCCTTAAGTTCAAACCCCAGTATAGCCAAAAAAGATTAGAGGCCCGCAGACCTGAGCTCTAAGCTTTGGGATGAGTTCTTTAATGACACATGCCTGGAGGTTAAGGAGCAGCGGATGGCGCTCAGGCTTGGATCTGGGATGAAGCGATTGCTGCGTCTCCGCCCAGCTCCGCCCTTTTGCGAGTCACAGCCTTCGTTTTGTCCATCAGCGCAGTGGTGGCGGCAGCTGCCGTGCGTCTCCCTGGGTAGCTGATGCTGGCCAGCTGCGGACTCGGCGCTGCTTGCCTTCGGCCTGTAGGTCCATTTCCCCTTCCCTGTCCGACCCTGAGGTAATTCAGGTCTTGACCTGTGCCAGGGCAGAATCACCACGCCCACGGTTCTCGGACTCCTGAACGCAGAACGCGCCGAAACTCAGCATTCTTTGGAGTCCAAAGAGACCCAGCATCAGCTCCGAGGTGCAGCACGCCGGGCCTCTCTGCACTTGTGGGAAGAAGTCTCAGTCTCCCCTGCAGGGCCAAACCCGCCCCTGACCCTGCCTACTTGTGGTTTTCGTTGGTTCACACTCTACCTGGAGAGGGGCACCCCGCCTTTGGCACAGAAGAGTACTGGTCTCTCTTTCAGCTTGGCCAGTCTCTCCCAAGATGTGAGGGGAGGGAGATTGGAAAAGGACTTTCGTAGAACTTGGAGCAGAGAGGGTCTGAGTATGCCGCCGCTCCTCTCATCCCAGCCGGCATACCCAGGGGACGGCGGTGGGCGTGCACCGTCCTGTGTGAACCAACTGACAGAGCCGAAAAGAGTTCACAGACCCGCGGCTCCAAAGCCGTGAAACTACAATTTAAGTGTCTGAAGCAGGTCACCCCGCAGTAACATTTTCTGAAAGAGAAAACAATCCCAAAAGTGTGCGAGATGGGCTGACAATGTATTTTCCTGCCTAAATTCCAGTCTTTCGCACTCTGGTTCATGGATTTTCCCTAAGTGTGGGGAAGAGAAGGGCAAGAGCATATCTGAGATTGTTTTTGTCCACCACCCCACGGGCGTTATTCTGAGGGTCTTCCAATCCCCCCTTTACACTCAGAATTCAGAGGAAAGCACGGGGCGGGCAATCGGGAGACTTAAATATCGTTTATTGAGCAGACCTAGTGGTGGTGCCGGTGAGAGGTGGAGGGTGTCCGGGAATGGCAAAGAAAGAGCCATGGGGTTGGGGAATGAGAATGGGAAATCTGAAAGGGGGTGACGAAAGGAGGTGTGAAAAAGCGTCCTTAGGAAGGCACTGGTGCCTTCCCTAGGGAGTAAAGATCGGAATATGAGGGTCTCTACAAGGAGAAGGAGCAGGAGACCTAAAGTGGCTGACGGGAGAGGGGGAACCCAAGAGAGTTGGAGAAATAAGTAATTGCCTGAGAGTGATGGAAAAGGAAAACCATGGGACCCAGAGCAGGCTGTGTGAAAGCATAAATCAGTGGATTTCCGGGAAGGCGGGCTGGACTTGCAGGTGGGAGGCGGGGTGTAAAAGGCACAAGGACTCAGCAGAGCTAACATGTCCCCAGCTAGGGTGGGGGTGAGTGTATGAGACAGCTGAGGCCCCTCCAGCCCAGAACTGAGGTTTTATCTCTTAATCTCCCTCATTAATCAACTCACCCTCCTCCTACCCTCCTCTGCGGATCCAGTTTCACCCCAGCTCTCCTTCCAGACGCCTCACTGGGAAAAGCCCCCTCTTGTGGCCCCAGGACAGTCTGGAAGAGTCCCTGGCTGGTTGGGTGACCTTCATGGGACCTCTGCTGTCTGGGGCATCCTTCCTTTACTATTCTGTGCTTCCCTCTACTCCCCCAACCCCTCCCCCAGGACGGTCCAATCACATTACCTGAGTCCAGTTGCAGAAAGGAGAAGGTAGGGGGGAAAGGCAGAAGGCAGAGGCCCATCGGAAGAATCCCATACTCTTTACAGGCGCACCAGATTAATTGAGAGCAGAGGTAGAGACCGACATAAAAAGCCATACAGTGGATGCATGAGGAAAGATTGCAGTGTCTGCTTGGTGACATGTCTGGGTAGGGCAGTTCCTGCTGCCTCCTGGGATCTGCTTTATTGAGGATTAAGTGAAACCACGAAGATGGTGCTGAGGACTGAGGCCTGCAGCAGGAGGATCTCTCCTGCCTTCCCCTGCCCCCCACCATTAATAACTAATTAACAGGATCCTGAGGCAGCTCAGTTTTCCACTGTGGCCTAGCTGTGCTCTATTACCCAGCCCACCAAGCTTCAAGTGTGTTGCCCAGGCTGCCATGAGGGTACTATGTGAAAGTCTGGAGGCTGGGGGTATCATTAGAGGGAGCTCTTTACCAAGAACCCCCTCCCCCAGATATGAAGCTGCCTTCTCATCTTTGTCAAACAGTCTTTGGTCCAGGCTCCCAAATCTCTCCTAAGTATTGTTTGGGGTACCCCAACCCCAGGCTCCACTTACTCCAGGAAATAGGTAACACAGAAGGACATTGGACAAAATAATGGGAGATGCAGAGGAGTATAGGGAAGGTGATATAATGGACAGTCCAGAAAGGACTGGCCTGGTTCTTCATGACACATTGAAACAAAACAAAATGTAAAACAAACAAAAAACAACAACAACAAAACACAAAACTTAGAAGAAAATTGGTTTCCCAGTGTCAGTGAAGCAGCATGTTCTTTAAAAGTGTCAGGGATTCTCTGCCTCTGGACTGTGACACCTCCAGCTATCTGAAGTGGGACATAAGAAGGAAGCCCACACCTTGCTGAGCCTCCACTGTGTGCTGTCCCAGAGCAGCCTTTTGTCATGGAGCGATCACTCAAGTGTGAGCCCAGGACCAGAATAAATGTGGGAGAGAAGGGAGAGAGCCAGGACCTGAATGAAAGAATGAATAGATCAGACCTTAGAGTTTGTGCCTGGCAGGGTGTCTCTACCAAGATCCGGTTGGGTCTACAAAGTCTGCCTTTCAAGTCAGTCTTCCATGGTTATAAGTCCTTGTTCTTTTTGGTTGTTTCTGAGTCTCTGCAGGCTGGGAAAACCACACCTGAACTATAGGAGCTTAATAAAAAGACAAAGATCCACTGAAAGACTGAGAAGGACTCTCTCAGGGGGACAGTCCTCACTAGTACAGACCCTTTCTGAACCATAGCGCCTGCTTCGGGGTCTCCATGTCATTTCTTCTGGGCCCAGCTCTCTGGCAGCTTTTCCATGTGATCTGACTTAGTTTGGGACTTCTAAGCTACGGTAGGACCACCTTGGGTCCACTCACCTACCCTTGCTTCCTTGTGGCACCCCTACTCTTGCAGTAGCTCTGCCAGGCCTGCTCCTCCCAATCTCTTGTCCAGCACTAATCACTTCGAGCCACCTGGAGCTCTTTAAGAGCATATCACAGAGGTTGGTGGGGTCGAAAAGGGCCAGGTTAGGAGAATGAGGTAGTAGCTGGGATCACGATCCTAGCTGCAGTCAGCCTTGATCTTCCTTGGGTCTTTGCAAATCCTCAGCCACTGGGGCCAGGGAAAGCAATTTTATCGTTCGTGAGTTTATGAGCCAGAGCGGCGGCCTGGCGGGGAGTCGGCGGCACACAAAGTCTAGGGAACCAGTTTTACTGTGGACGGGGCTACACTCCACAGCAAGTAGCAACCGATTTTGCCTCTTCGTGCCTCTCCACCCTGTAGAAATAAGCTGCTCAGATATGGACTCCAGACTCACCGTGGCCCTTAGTGGGGTGGGGGTGCAGAAGGAGGGGCACACCCGGCTCCAGCCCAGCGCCGGGGGGCGGGTCCGAGGCAGGGGGCCCAGATGGGGAGGGGAGCGCTGGGAGCCCTGGCGGCTGTGGAACCAAGCTCAGCGGGCTGCTGGACCGCCACATCTGGGCGGGCCATGAACTCGGGACGCCAGCCGCGGACACCCTTCAGCATCGCAGACATTCTAGGCCCACGCATGGTCCCTCGAGAACCCTCTGCGCCACAGTTTCCTGAGTCGCGTCCGGATCCCGACCCCACGTCGCCCCTGTGGGCACTGGAGGAGCTGACTAGTAAAACTTTTCTCGGACTTGACGCGCGGCGCGCTCCGCAGCTTTCTGAAGGTATAGCGCAGGCAAGGTCTCGGACTTTAACTCCGCGGTCTCCCCATTTCTCTCTCCTTGGTTCTATGTCTCAAACCTAAGTCCCACCCTGGTCCAGTCGGTCACCCTTATACGGTCTGGCCCTCAGTCCACGTGTCAGAAGTCGCTTCTTCGGCCCCTCACTTCTCCCCATTAGCCCCCAGACTTCGCAGCGGCCGCTCCTGTGTATCTCCAGCACCGCAGGGAAAGGCCGGGCTTTAGAAAACTGAGCGAGCGGGTGATCTGTTTGCTGTACGCGGGGCAACTGCTACAGTGGCCAGGGAGGAAACAAAGGGGTTGAGCTACAGGCAGATGAGTGAACTCCGACAAAGCAAGTCAGAAAACGACAGAGGCTAGGCGAGGTTCGGAGAGGCTCGGGTGTCTCTACAAGACCAAGCACAGCTCCAAACCATTCTCTTCTCAAGGGGGACGCAAGGGGCAGAAGGTCCTTGGTGTGGCAGGACTCTGCATTCCACCTTTCCTCACTTCCTGTACTATATATCTCCTTTTTGGACTTACGGATAAGGCGCGAGTTGTCATTGAGGAAGTGCAAGCTGAGGCACGACCTGCTATCTTCATTAGGTTCCCATTCCTACTCTAACCTACATCTCCTACCACCCCTAACCTGCTACCTTGCTCAGTCTTGGCCTTTGAAAGGCCTCGAAGGCTGTGCTCCAGGCGGCCTGACACTAGGTTACATCTCCTCTGGCCTGCCCCCATGCACCCTTGTCCCACTCCCCTGCCCAAGCAACAGGCCCTCAGCCTGCTGATTTCAGTACCCCAGTGGCTAGCTGCACTTTGAGCTTCCTACCCCCACGTTGGCCTGAACCCGCGCTTCAGTAAGGTATGGTGTTTCTGGTCCTCATCTGCCCTCCTGGGTTCCTCCCTCTCTGCCACCTCACTGGCCTGACCCCCGTCCCAGTTTTTCTTCCCAGATCACAGCCTGATTCCTGATGTTCAGAGACTGACTGATCCCTGCCCTATCCCCGCAGACAGGGCGGCCCCAGAAGCACTGGGTCCTAGCCCGGCTGGCCGAAGACGGCGCAAGTCACGCACAGCATTCACAGCGCAGCAGGTGCTGGAGCTGGAGCGGCAATTTGTCTTCCAGAAGTACTTGGCACCGTCAGAGCGTGACGGACTAGCAGCGCGACTAGGTCTGGCCAACGCACAGGTGGTCACTTGGTTCCAGAACCGCCGTGCCAAGTTCAAACGCGACGTGGAGGAGATGCGAGCAGACGTGGCCTCGCTACATGCGTTGTCACCGGGAGTCCTGTGCCACTTAGCGCTGAGAGAAGGTATTCCAAGCCCTGGCCCCAGCCCCAGTGGGCCTACTTCTGGGTCCAACCTATCAGACGAAGAGATACAGGTTGACGATTGAAGGCAAAGCCGCTGCCAGCCCTGGGCTCTGGGGCCCTGGACTCCTTGCCTCCGTGCTCTGTGCCTTGTCCCGGTTGCGGTTGTGGGGTGGAGGGAAGGAAGGCCGCCCAGATCTGTTCTGGCCCAAGGTCCAGACGCCCGCCTTTCCTAATTGTTGAGAATAAAGTTGATGCTGTGCTGTAAGAGGCTTCAATCCGGGACGCCCTGATCCAAACCCAGCAAAATTTGCTGATTATTGGGAGATTTGATGCTGGCGCTTTGAGGAGCTCTTGAAATGCCGTTTCTTTCCACTCTCATAGCAACCCTATAAGGTAGGTGTATAATTATCTCCATTTAATAAAGGAAGAACCCCGAGGTCAGGATTTGGACCTAGGTATTCAGCCAACTGTTAGAGCTGGTGCTTGTCCTCCTGCTCCTCAGACACTGTGGGGAAAAAGGGGGCAGGAGTGCAGCAGTGGCTTCCCGCCACCAGACTCCCACTGCCACTTTCAGTTCCCAGACTGCCTGTGAGCAGTTGCCTGGGGATATTAACCTGAAGGCTGGCCCACAGAGTGACAGTACCATGCTTGAGAGGTCATGTATTCATGAGTTCCTGACCTTTCTCCCCACCTGCATTAAGAGCCCTATGCTGGAACAAAGTGATGGGTGTCTGGAAAGAGGGCATACCCTTATTTCTGGGAAGTATTCCCACCAGGATCAGAGGACAGAAGGGTGGGAACTCCTGGCCGGCTGAGGCAGAGCTTGGAGTAGTTGGACTTGTTGTGAGGAGCTCCAGTTGACTCTGTTGGCCATCAGTTACCCTTCTGCAGAGTGATGGGGGAGGGAGGGGAACACTGCCTGAACAGCAACAGGGCTAGCCCATCCTTGGCAGTTCCTCTCAATCTTCAAGAGACCATGCTTAGGTTTTTTCCTACATCCTTTATCTCCCCTCCCTTCAGTACTCCCAGCCCTCCTCAGACCTTTTCCTGCCTTTGCCCAGATTCAACAATCTCACTTTCAAAGATGCTCCCAGGGCTCAAGGGGCGGGGTGGGGGGGGTCCTCTAGGGCCTCAGGTGGAGAACTAAGCAGTGGGTAGTCTAGGGAGGGAAAACAAGGCTGGAAGGCAGAAGGGATCATGGCACTTTGAGACAATAACCACCCCTTATTGAATAGTTTCAAGTGCTTTGCATAGATTAATCTTCATAACAACTCAATGGGAAAGAGGTTTTCTGTTTTTTAAGGATAAGGAGGCTGAATCACAGAAGCCTAAAGAAGCTCGGCCAGGTCACACATGTAGTTTATAAGAAGTCTTTATGCTTCTCTGACTCAGAATTGCATACCTTTAGCCACTACAGGTACTGTCCCTATAAAGATGACTAAAAGAAGCAAAGGATTTACGGAGACAGGAGAAGAGAGAGGGCCAGAGGAGAGAATTTAGGTATTGTACTGTAGACAAAGCATGGTCCCAGAAGGTATTAGAGAGAAGGGACGAGACCCAATATTTAGGGCAGGCTAATATGGCAGTACATTCAGGATGGACCAGAGACCTGAGGAAAGGAATGTGTCTCAGGTCACCACGGAAGGTAAGAGCAAAGAGAATTCAGGGCCAGATTTGGGGGTGGTAGGGAGGTGGTCCCAGAAGAGGAACCAGTGATTCCAAGGACTTCTCCCAGTGTACAAAGGCTGTATGAGTCAATGACAGCCTTACAAACCTGAGCTGGAAGAAAAATGGCATCCCAAACAGAAACAATGACCATTGATGTAAAGCTAAGAATTTATCCAGCATTATATACAAAAAAAATTATGGGGGGGGGGTTGTTTACTGGGGTTTGAACTTAAGGCCTCATGTTTTTGAGGCAGGTGTTCTACCACTTAAATCACTCCACCAGCCCTTTTTCTTGTATTGGGTATTTTTGAGATAGGTTTTTTTCAAACTATTTGCCCGGACTGGCTTCGAACCAGGATCCTCCTGATCTCTGCCTCCTGAGTAGCTAGGATTACAGGCATGAGCCATCAGTGCTGGCCCACAAAAAATATCTTTTATAAATGTGCCATCCCCCCCTTCAACACATATATAATGGGCATACCACCCCTGGCTCCTGTTCCTCCCTTATTCCCCCCATTACTAACTAAAGACTCTGGAACCTTTCCAGGTGATCACCAATCTCTTTGCTCAGCATTTTCCCAGTTTTAGCACTGTGTGAAAGACCCACACTCCAGGAAAACGAGGATGATTGGTCTTCTACTTCCAAATCTGAAGACTTGGAACTTAGGCTGCTGGGTCAGAACACTATCAATTGGAAGTGGTGAGTGTGGAGCAAACTGAGGGTAAGAGTCAGAGGTCTTGTAGCTCTTGGGTAGAAAATTCAAGTCCAAGTCAGGCTAAGGAACCAGCTCAGTTTAAAGGTCACATAATAGTGGGAGATAGCCTTTTTTTTTTGGTGGTGGTGGTATTGAGGTTTGAACTTAGGACCTCATGCTTGCTAGGCATGTACTCTATGGCTTGAGCCACTCCATCAAGCAGATAGCCATTCTTTAAGTGGAGTCCCTAAAGCGCGCAGATCTTCCAGGAAGGCCAGATGGACAGAACTCTGAAGGAGCCACTGTGATATAATTACCCCTTAAACTTCCTCTCCCCTACCCAACTCCCCAAACAGGGATGAGCAAGTCCCAGAGCAAATGATTCTAGCTAAGAAGATATAGTCTAGTCAAGCTAATTGGCTCTGAACTATACCCTACTTCCTTTTGAGGTTTCCTAAATTCCGCCAACCCAGCCAGCCTTGGATTTTTTTTTTTAGGTCAGGATCTCCTTATGTAATCAGGATGGCCTTGAACTTGCGATCTTCCTGCTTTTACCTCCCAAGGGCAAGATTACAAGCATGTACCACCATGCCTGGCCAGCCTGGGATTCTTGTACTCAATCCTTGTGTAACAAAACTGAAACATGAAACTGGGCATGGTGGCACTTGTCTGTAATCTCAGCATGACAGATTGAGAGTTTGAGGCCGGCCTGGGCTACAGTACAGTGAGATCTTATCTCAAAAAACAAAACCAAATTACTTGAAACCTGTCCCACCAAAATGGGCTCTGGATGGATGTCTGCTCAGTTAGGCCCTAGAATAGCTTCATGATCACCTGCTAGGCCAGCTTCTGTGGTTTCCCGATTTGGACATGTGCCTGGAGCCTGCATTTGCCATAGTTTCCCAGGCAATGCTACTGGTCCAAAGACCACACTTGGAGACCTACAGTCCCAGAAAGTCTGGATTTTATGAATTTAAAAGCAATCTACTCATCTGCTCTCTTTCCACCATGGGAGTCATGAATGTATAGGACAGTTGCAGGCAGAAATTGGTTTATTTAGCACCTATTATGTACAAGGCACTTCATAGCTATTTTCTGTTTCACTCCTCACAACAACCCTATGAGGTAGGGACTGTTCCCATTTTACAGATGATGGAATTGAGGCTTAAATGTTGAGAGTCCTGGCCAAGGTGACCCAACCAATAGTGGCAGACTTCATCCTACTGCTAGGATGAAGGGGCTTAGGCCCCTTTCAATGGGGGCTTAAATCATAAACAATAAAAAGCATTTGGGAAAGTTCTGTATAAAGGAGATGTTTCAATGCCTCCAATCTTCAGGTGTAAAGGATATTGGGTTAAGACCCATAGGGCAGCAAGAATCATTTCTCCTCATGACTGATTCCTCTGGGGAAGGCACTGGGGAAGGGGTGCAGGTGGGGCTAAAAGTCTTCTGTAGATCCACACTTACAGGAGTTGAGAGTCCCAGGCAGGCCAGAGTGAATCCGGCCAGCGGAAGCTTCCAGGATCTTAGGGAAGCCAAAATGAGATAATTTCTACATAGGAAGTAGAGAATTATAGCCATCTTTGGAGCAGTGACCTTCAAGAGGAAAAATTCACATGGGGAAAGGCTAATTGTAATGACAATCACTAGGTGGAGATAGAGAGTGGCCAAGCTAGCAACAGCCAGGGCACCATGCAGCAGAAGAGCCAGTAGTGAAGGTATAGAGATGTGTGGGCCCTACCAGTTCCAGGCAGAAGCCAGTAAGGGACTTCCCAAACCCTTGAAGAATCTTCTAGCAGTGGAAGGAAATGGAAATCAGACCACTGGACAAAAGAGAGGTCAGAATGTGCACAGCAACAGAGATAGGAAATGACACAAAGGGCTGTGGCTAAAGAAAACAGGGCAAGAACTGGGGTGAGGAAGTGGTGAGCATCCATTATGCTGAAAGGTGGGATTCAAGCCTTATTCATCAATGTGACCCATTACTTAGTGGAGATCTGGCTGGCGAATGAGTCACACAGGGCCTAGAAGCAGAGCAAGCCCCAGATGCCTACTTGCTGGCTCTGCTATAGTCTGAAAACCTGAACATTTATATAGTTCCTGTCTTGAGCCTTGGAGGATTTTATTTTTCCTTACTGACTCCAGGAGAAGCCATGTGCTTGAGAACTAAAGACAAGAGGAATGAAGTCTCAAGATATGCAGTAAACTGTCACCAGTGTCTCCCATCTAGTGGGATGTAGCCTTGCCCTGTGAGGGACAAGTCCCCCCTCATCTGGCTTGAGGTAGATGCTGGGGTCCAAGTCCCAGGATGCTCCAGCCCTTAGAGGGGTCTTGGAGGTGGAGAGGGTATGGTCTTCTACTCTGAGTCTGGGGGAGGGGCCAGCTGGGTTGGCTCAGGTGACATGGGGGATAGAGCAAGGGTGGAGACAGAAGACCAGGGGTCCTTGGAGCAGTACTTCGAGGATGACTGAGGGAGAGAAGGCCTGAGGCTCTGGGCTCACAATAGGAAAATGGCTGGGGGAACCCAGTTGATTGAGGTTGCACACAGATTCTTTGCTGATCCTGCAGAGAAGGGAGAGAGACAGGTTACAGGATCCTACTCATCCTGCACCCTCCTTACCCATCTGAGGCAGGGTAGCACTATTTAGTGCTTCAGTCCCTGTCAGTTCTCCCTGATGCCCCCTCAGCCAGAAAATGGCCTGGATCCCTTACCAGAGCAAGCTGGAGAAGGCAAGAGTGGAGCTCCCAGGCTGCATCTGGCTGAGACCCACCTTTCAGAGTCTCCTGAAATACAGCAGCTGCCTCCTGGAAGCGCTTTGGTCCCAAAGGGATTGGAAAAGGGAAAGTTTAGGGAGTGTTGGAGGGGGGAAAAGGACTAGGAACTTAAAATCACTCCTTCCCCAAACTGGTCCCTCCTTCAGTATCACCACCATTGTGGTATACTAGCAGCTTATCTAGAAAATGTCAATGTAGACTACTGGCTCCCCACCCCATCCTACCCTACCCAAATCTCTGCTGTTCTCAGCCTCAGTACTATTACCTGCAGTCCCATCAAGGCCTTGCCCAGGCGGAAGAGGCCCCGGGGCCAGCCAGGTCGTAGAGTAAGGGCCACCTGGGCATCAGCCAGGGCCCATGCTGGTTGACCCAGTCGCTCATGGCAGAAGGAGCGATTTCCAAATAACCTGATAAACATACAAAGTGGCCAAAGGTCCAGTCTTCAACATCCTGACTTGCCCTGACCTCCCAGCACAGTGGCCAAACCCCCACCTACCGGTGGTCCTGGGGGTTGAGCTTCAAGGCTTGGGTGAAGAGAACCACAGCTTCATTGTAGAAACCATTTTGAGCAAAGCTGGTACCCAATTCTGGGAAAGAGAGAAGGTGGGAAGTTTCCAAAGAGGCTACCCCAGGGAGGCGGGGTGAGGAGAAAGACAGAAAGGATCTCACGTGCCAGTTCCTGGCTCTGCTGTAAGGCAGCTGCCAGCAGTCCTGGAGATGCCTAGGGATGGTGAGTAAAGTTAAGCACAGTTTCCCCAAATCTTTCTCCTTTATTCAGTTACATAGCAATTAACATCACCCAACTCCTGCAGTTCTAATGACAAACCTGCAAGAAGATATCTGCCTTCTCTTCCAACACAGAAAACTACCCAGGGCAAGATAATAGAGGTAGAGACTGACCCCAGGTCTCTTGACCCTAAGGCCAGAGATCTCCTAATGGACAGCTTCCTCAACCCTCAGAGCATGTGCTTCTGGTTCCTCTGCCCATCTTACCTGTGCCTTAGGACTCGGTCTGGGCCTCTCCTCACTTGGAGGGGTTCCTTCCTTTTGGTCCATCTTCTTCTTGGGTTCCTGGCCCTTGACTTGGGACTCCTGACTCAGTTCCTTCCCTCTATGGGCACTGGAGGGCCAATCCCCAACTTTGCGCAAAGCCAGAGACACAAAAGAACTAGATAGATCCAATGAGTCCTGTGGACAAAAACAAAGTTAGGGGCACAGAAAGACAAATACTACATATTCTTATTTATATGTGGAAGCTAAAAATGGGTCAGGGAGCTGTTGGATAGAAGGAATCACTTTTAATGTTTGATACAACGCAGTAGGATACCCATGATTGACAACAAGTAACAAATAATTGAACATCAAAATATCTAACAGAGAGGATTTTGAATGTTTCCAATACAAAGTGATGATAAATGTGAAGCCTGGGGATGTGCCTCAAGTGGTAGAGCACCTGCCTAGCAAGCATGAGGCCCTGAGTTCTAATTCCAGCACTGCCCCTCCACCCCAATATACAAACTTCAGTTACACCCCCACACCCAAATGAAATATAAATGTTGGAGGTAACAGATATGCCATTTCCCCTGATTGGATCATTACATTTTATATATACATACTAAAATTTTATACTGTATTTTATATCTCAAAATAAATTTTAAAAATACATTTAAAAAATTTTAAAAGAAAGTTGAGAAGGGGTGGGGATGAGTTATATCCTGAAGTAGGAAGAGGAGAGGGTGGGCAAAGAACAAGAAGGGAAGAAAGGGGCCCTCACCTCTTCCTCACCACACTGTCCCTCAGCTGGGTTCCCAGGGCTGGTTGGAGGGCTCTCATCCCCATCCCAGGTAGCGTTGGCCTGGAAAGAAGGTTGACAAGTACAGAGTTGGGATACCTTGATTTGCCTGCCTTCTCCACTCCTGCCTGCCTGCTCTACCCAGGTTCCTGCCTGTAGAACTCACCTTGGGCTCTGTACCATTCTTCTCCAAGCGCTCCTGTCGCTTTCGTTCCTTTTGACGCTGCAATGATGATGACAGTAAAACAATATGGTGCGTACTTAACAGTTTTGGATGCACTATCTCATTTAATCTGTATGACTCCATGAGGCAGGTATTATTATTATTATTATTATTATTATTATTCTCATCTTATATGTGAAAAAGCAGACAAGAGAATCACCAGCCAAAGGCCTCACAGTGAGGAAGAGGCAGCTCCAACCCTGGAATATGGTAGGATTCCAGAGTCACTGCATTAGATGGCCTCTGGGAGACCCTCCAGTTCAGGGGCCTCTTGGGCCCATCTGGCAAGGGGATCTGCTGCAGGCTACCTTGAATTCCCTCCGTTCTCACAAAGCTTCCCACTTTCCCCTAAGTCCTTTCCCTCCCTCTACCCTCCAGCCACCTTCTTCTTTAGTCGTTTCTTCTCTGCTTTCTGTTTCATGCGCTCCTCCTCAGCCACCAGTTCCTCAGCCAGGCGGTTGGCTTCCTGGAGGAAGAAGGGCAGGTGACAGGAAGAGAAAAACAGAAACATGGAGAATGAGAGCTGTGGAAGGATCGTGAAACATACAGATTAGGGAAGGACATATAGGTGGGAACCTAGGGATTGAAAGGACCCTGGGTGGCCATGAAGTCCCTTCCTGAGAGTCTCACCTCTTCAGTCACCAGGAGTTTCTGAGGCATGGCCACCTGAAGCAGGCTGTCTGAGACACTGGAGAAGGATACAGAGGCAGAGGGACTGTGAGGGCAGAGCTTAGACCTCTGGGGAGGGTTCAGGAAGGACTTTCGGAGACCACAGTAGGTGCCCTGTCCCTTGGTCCCCTTGCCCCCATCACGCTGTCCAGCTGTGTTTCTTGCATCATAGAAATGGTCTGGGAGGTAACCTATCAGGAGCGAGAAAGAGAAAGGAAAGGAAGAGGAGCATAAGAGGGCAGCACTTGAGGGCTAGCCCTCCCTAGGGTTTTAACCTTGACCCCAGCCCAGCCATGCACTCCCTACCATGGTGCCACTGCTGCAGCTGCCCACTGCTTCCATCCACATGGATCCGGTGCAGGCCTTGGGGATCACTCTCCACAAGCTGGCGAAGAAAATCCACTATGTCCTGGGGTGGGGGGAAGGGAGGCTGGTGTTGGGGGGAGCTCTGGGAGAGAGCAAGGCGTTGGCTGGCTGGACCATAGCACCCACAAACCAGCCACCCAGCCCAGAGAATCCTCTGGCTCTGACCTCTCCCTTCTCCACACCTTAAAATTTGTCACTTCCAACTTTCCTGACGTAGCACCTCCCTTCACTATCTTGCATTGCCAAGGGCTGAGCATGGCATTCAGCCCAGCCTTCTTCAACATCCAGGATCTCCTTTGACCCGCCACTAAGTCCGCTGCACTGAGGTCCCTGGAAAGCGGCTTAATGACTTGCTCTTCAGCTGTACCCATCATATCCTTGAATATGAATAGCTCCTCATATAACCCACCACAAATGAAACAAGTACAGCAGTTGTCCTCCCCCTGCCCGTCATCTGTTTCTCCCTTAAACCAAGCTCTAAGACATACTTTCCTACTCCTACTCAAAAACTTCCAGTATCCCCCACCCCCCAGCCGCCCCCATTGCCAGGACAGAGGTAGGACTGAATCTACTGCCTCAGCCTAGGACTCTGAGCCTTCCAAAAAGCTCCATGGCTGCTCTTTCCAGCCCTCTCTTGCAGTCCTCCCCTGCTTAGCTCATCCTCCTTTGGCCACTAGGCTCCCTGTAGTCTTGGGGCCTCCTCTCCGCTACCCTCCAATCCTTCCTGGCTCTGGAATTTTTTCTCACCACGTATGTTTCACCTTGAAGAGCCAGTTCAAATTCCATCCCCCCCAAAGCCTTCTCAGATCCTTTCACCTCCAATTTTTTCTGCCTTCTCTCAACTGAGAAGCACCTACATAGTCCATGTTACACAACTTAGAATATGTTATTCATTGCTTTTTATTGCTCTCTTAATTGGTGACTAGAAAGCACTGTGCTACAGTGGAGTCACTTGCATCTTATGTTTTGACTCTGCCACTGCCTGACGTTCATTTTGGAGAAGTTATTTAACCTCATTGGGCTTTGGACTTCCCATTAATAAAATGAGGCAAGACTCCTCAAGGCTTGACATGCTGTGATTCTTTCTCTCTCTTTCTCTCTCTCTCTCATACTGGGGACTGAACCCAGGGCTTTGCTCACTCTACCACTCAGCTATACTCCCAGGCCCCTCACCCTGATGAGTCATTTCTTCAGAGAATGTAAGCTTCAGAGGACAGGAATCATCAAAACCCTATGTGGCCTATGGCCACACATGATCTGGTCCCCCACAAGCTTTGTGAATTTTCTCCTACCTTCTCACCTTCCTCCAGCCACAGCAATGTCCTTTGAAATTCCCACAACACAACAATTGCACTCCAGTCTCAGTGCTTTTGCACCTTGCTAATTCCTCTGCTTGGAATGCTCTTTCCCCAGCGAATGGCTCACTTCTTTGTCCCCTTTAGATCTCTGCTTAAATGTCACTTTCTCAGGGAGGCCTTCTCTGATAATGCCTCTTAAAAAGAGAATCCTCCCAAGTCTACTCAGTGCTCCCTATCCTCCTTCTTGCTTTTTTTTTTTTTTTTTTTCTGTACTGGGGTTTGAACTCAGAGTCTACACCTGGAGCCACTTCACCAGTCCTTTTTTGTGATTTTTTTTTTTTTTTCGAGATAGGGTCTCTTGAACTCTTTGCCAGGAATGGCTTCCAACTGTGATCCTCCTGATCTCTGCCACCTGAGTAGCAGGATTACAGATGTGAGCCACCGATGCCCGGCTCCTTCTTGCTTTTCTTTGTACTTATCATATGTGACTGGCTACCTCCAGTATATACTTCTAATTCATGGAATACAAGAATTTTTGTTTGCCTAGTTTACTGCTGTCTTTCCAGTGCCTACAACAGTGTTTGGTACACAAGTGGAGTTCAGTGGGTGTGTGCTGAGTAAACAGAGATTGGTGAGGAAACTATTCCAATAGAGACTGTGTTTGTAGAGCCTGTGCGGCCCAGTGAGTTTGGGCTTTGTCCATGATGGGAGTGTCTTGCTCTGGGCAGTGAACCACTCATAGGAAATAGTGCTGGGAACAGAGATGAATCTAGGGTGTAATGTTTAGTTAGCAGGCCATTACAACTGCCAAGTCAGAGCTGAGGGTGTGGCACAAGTAGTAGACCTAAGCCTGAGGCCCTGAGTTCAAAGCCCAACACTACCAAAAAAAAAATTACTGACTAGTCTGTGCGGTAAAGAAAGGATATAAAATGATTTTTGGATTAAGCAATTAGATAGAAGTTTGTGTTATGAGCCAAAATTAGGATTAGAAGAAAAGCAATTTGCAAAGAAGATGAATTAACTTTTGGACTTGTTGAATTTGAGGTTATAGAGATGACCAGAAAGCAGTTTGAAGTTTAGCTCCTCAGTGCTCCCAAATCTGATCCTGTCCCTCCCTCAATAATCCTGTCACCTACTTAAGAACACTCAAACCCCTGCCAAACGAGGCCTTTCAAGCCACTTTCTGTCTTCTCTCCATTTCTTTTACTGTCTCAACCAAACCCTCCACTGTGGTCTCACTTTAGTGAAGTTCTCTTAACTTTTCCCCGGTTTAGTGTCTTTACTTACGCTGTCCTCTACAGCATCTTTCCCCAAGGCACTTGTACCACTTCCCAGTCCTCAACTCAGAGATCCCTGTCTGCTCAATGCTGCCCACTTCCAGCATTCATTACGGCAGTATCTTCCTTCCGGTCCCTCGCCTCTTATTTGCCTAAGATCCTCAGGAGCAGGGCCCAAGCTATTCCTCCCCAAAGGCGCCTTGCGGGGTGTGGCGCCGGCCAGTCTCAAGTCTCAGCACAGCTGATTGAAAGAAAGCATGAAAGACAAGACCAGGGCGGATGGGAACTGCAGTCTCTTTTACCTCTTCTTTGTGGTCTTCTGGACCGAATTCCTTGCAGAGTTTGGGAACAGCAGCACCCCCCAGCGGGCAGCCAGGCCGCAGAGGACAGTCTACAGGAAAGAAGGGTGGTGCGGCTTAAGGCGCACGGGGTGGGTAGACCAGAGCTCTCTCTCCCCTCGTGTCTGAAGCATAAAATCCTACTGAAAACGTCCAGAGCACAGTACACTCAAATGGGGGACCTCTCCTCCTGGGCCGCCTGCCGTCTGGTCACACTACTTACCTAGCTTGATTCGCCCCTCAGCCTTCGGAATAGGAGCCATCGCTCACCAATAGTAACACGAAAGTGAAAGGGAGCCTAGAATTTTATACCGGCCGAAGGGCAGGGTAGGCTACAGCAGGCAGCCATCTTTGTTAGGGGCAGAGGCAGCGATTACGGAGCGCGAGGGAGTCCATGGCGGTTCCCTCGGCTCGGGAATGAGATGGCTCTGGGGATGGGGCGGAGTCCCGGCCACTGAGGGAGTTGAGCGGTGCAGGGCTCCTTAAGGTTGGTTTCCGTCTCGCCGCCCTATGGCCCAGGCGTCCCGCCCTGGTGGTCTTCTGCCTCCACTCGCGAACGTGTCCCCGCTGTGGGGACAACCGGGAAGCGCTGGGGAGAAACGGTGGGAGGGCTGGCGGGCGGGCGCTCTCCCCCGGGAGGTTCGTGACTGGCCCGGGCTGCCAGGGGTTGCCTGGAGCAGCCCCTGCCTGGACCCACAGCCAGGCGGAGCTCCGGGAGGGCAGCGGAGGTGGCCGGCGCGGGCAGATGCAGGTGAGGACCATGAGGCTGACGCAGCGGACTGGAGGGGGCAGCCCGCAGCAGGCGGCTCGATCCCTCCCGCGCTGCAGCGTCTCCGGACGGTGTTGCTGCGGTTGCACCACGAGCGGGAGCAGCTCCTCCAGGCCCGGGATTGCGCCCACCACCTACAGGCGGTTGTGCGCCTACTGAGGACCCTGAGCCCCGGCATGCCTGCGCGCAGCCCTGGCCTCTTGCTCCAGTTGTGCCGTGACCTGCAACTGCACCTTTTCCAAAGGGCGGTCCTGCGAACCGGCCTTCGGGACACTCTTGGGCCGCTACTCCTAACGCGTCCCATAGGACTAGCTGCCCAGTGCCTGGATGCTGCCATCGAAATGCAACTTCGCGTTCTAGGTCGGGAACCCACCAGCCTGGGCTGGACGTGTCAACTTACCGAACTGCAGTTGGCGCTTCCCGTCTACCACAGGCTATTGGAGAAAGCCTTAAGCCACGTCCCAGGGGCAGCGCGCCCATTCCCCCGGGCCCGTGTACTCCGCCTCCTGACTGAGGAGCGGGGTTGCCAGATATCTGGTCAGCTGGATGAGGCTCTCAGCGGATCGAACTTGCAGGGCCAGATCCGCAGGTGGTGCCATGAGGAGGGGGAGCTGCTACCTGGGCTGCTGGGCCTAATCGGGGGCATGGTGGACTCAGACAGCAGCGAACTGGGGCTTGGAGGAGCTGGAGCCCTGTGGAGCCAATATCGGACACTGCTGTGGGCAGTCTGTGCTCAAAATCTGGACCTAAGTCTGGGACCCTGGAGGGACCCCAGAGCAGTGGCTCAACAGTTAAGTCAGGCACTGGGTCAGGGTAAGTGATGGGGCTGGGTGGGCATTTGGGAAGGCTGGGATCTCTTCTTTCTCCGTGGTCAGCCCACTCTCAGTAACAAAAGCAGGCCCTTTATTTTTATTTATTTACTTGTAGGACTGGGGTTTGAACTCAGGGCTTTGCACTTGCCAAGCAGGCATTCTGCTGTTTGAACCACACCTTCGGTTCATTTTGCTCTGGTTATTTTGGAGATGCAGGATCTCCTGAACTATTTCCCCAGGCTGGCCTGGAACAGAGATCCTCCCTATCTCAACTCCCAAGTAGCTAGGATTATAGGTGTGACCCATGGCACCTGACTGAAGCAGGCCCTTTAGATTGAACACCACCTAGGTTCAGACTGTAACTTTCTGGACTCAAGGCAAAGTCTCTCTTACTGCCCAGTCTTGAGTTGTGGAGGACCTAGCATTGAGTGGGTAGAGGTTGTGGAAGGACTTGTTTTCAGGCTCCAGAGTCATTTCTCTCACTAGCATCCCTGCCTCAGGAGTGTGAAAAGGAGCTGGCTTCTTTGTGTTGCAATCTACGTCATCAGTCTCTTATCTGGAGCTGGGACCAAGGTAAGAAGAGAGGGACATGGGGGATAATACAAGTCCCAGGTTGTCCTTTCCCCATCAGACTATAAGCTGTCATCCTCAGGTTTCTGCCAGGCTTTGGGATCAGCCTTTGGGGATCAAAGCAGCCATTTCTCACCCTCTAGTACTACTGAACTGTTGCAGCAGCTTTTTCCTCCTCTCTTGGATGCCCTTCGAGAACCTAGGTCAGAACTGATCCTCTGTCCACCTCTAGGTGAGATGGGGGCCTGGGGCTGGGGAAGGGGAGAGAAAAGAGTTGACAATATCCCTTCATTCTGTTCTGAAGTCTGCTTCTTCCCAAAATGCCCATGACTCCTAAAATACTCTGCTGCTTCCCTTCCAGGTCCTATACATCTTGCTCTGGGCCTCTGTACCCTACAGACCACCTTGCTCTGGTTCTTGAGCAAAGCTCAACAGTACCTGGCAGTATGGACCCCAGGTTCCTTCCTAATCCTGATCCAAAAGGATTTACCAGTGAGTGGCTGGGGAGTGGGGAGGGGAGGAGCCTGGGTTGGGCTGAACCTTCACTCTCTGTTTCCACCCAAAGCCTCTACTGCATGAGGTGGAAGCTCTGTCCAGCCTGGCCACAGAGGAAAGTTTAGCTCTGGAGGTGGAGCATCAGCTGAGCCTGGAGATTCAGAAGCTGTCTATACAGATGCAGGTGAGAACTGGGCCTCTGAGTGGCAGTTTAGGATCCTGTTCTGTGCCATCTTAGGGCAGTGGATAGGAAGGGCAAAGGGAACATGTCAGTGACTTGGGATCTCCTTAGCATCTCCTCCAAAATTACCTTTTCTTGTTCTGCTAATTTTTTGTTCTCTACTGAACTTCATACTATGGAAAAATTTCAAACGTATGCAAATACAACAAGAAGAGTATAATGGACCCTGATGTTCCCACTACCACAGCTCTAACAATAATCAATTCATAGTCAACTTTATTTCACTTATATAGCCTATTGCCTCCCTTCCCCACTAATAATGTCAGACTCTGTCTGTAATGTTAATAGCCACTGACAATCATTGCTTAGACTCATTCATCAGAGACTGCAAAGGGGTGATATTCTAATTCTATCATTCCCTCTTTATTTGTTAGTTGGAATACTCCTATAAAGAGAAACCTGCCCTTATCAATGATTTTGTTACCTGAGCTATACTTTGTAGTGAAAAATCAGGTTAAATGATTGCATCTTTCCCTTTTCATACTAGTGTTCAAAACAATATTTCTCCTCTCTTTAACATTTTAATTAAAGTACTATATGTCCATAGTTTAAGAAGTGAAAATCAGGCAGGGCTTTGTGGTACATGCCTGTAATCCCAGCTACTCAGGAGGTGGAGGCAGTAGGATCACAAGTTTGAGGCCCACCCAGGCAAAGTTAGTGAGATCCTATCTCAAAAAAATAAGGGGGGAGGGGGTTTGGGGTGATGGCTCAAGTGGTAAAGACTTTGCCTAGCATGTTGGAGGCCCTGGGTCCAATCCCCTGTGAGAGAGAGAGAGAGAGAGAGAAATACAGCTGAGGATGTAGCTCACCAGTAGAATACTTGTATAGCATTCATGAGGCCTTGGGCTCAATCCCCAATACTGAGAGGGGAAAAAGTAAAAAGTTGAATAGTATTTTATAAGTCTTCTAATGAAAAATTAACAGTTTATTTGCCTCCACTTTGATTCCTGTTTCATTCATGCTTGACTTATTTTTTTGTGGACTAGGATCAAATCCAGGGCTTCACACATGCTAGGAAACCACTGTACCACCACATCCCCAGTCTCTTTTTCTGTTTCTTCTAAGATTGTCTTCTCTATTTATGAATAAAGCTATTAGGTTTTTATTTTAATTTTATATTATCTATTCCTACTATGGAAGATGTATGGTCTTTATGTTTTCTCTTCCTACCCAATTTTCTCTTCTTTGCTCTGAATATTAAGGGAAATGGCTGTAGAGATCATGGTTCCCCTCTGCTCCTTTCCTCTGCATTTCTGCTTGCCCACAGCATCTTAGTGCTGTGAACTCCCACTGGCCTTCTGGCTTCCAGAGTTGTAGCCCAACATTTGTTGGGCATTTCTACCTCCATTGTCTGTGAAGTCTTATTAGTAGAAAAGACAGTGATTTATGGGAGCCCTAAAAAGAGGAAGGACAAGGTGGGCTACGGTTTATACAAGACTCCATACAGAGGCTGTGGCTCTGTATGGTGGTTGGGCAGCTTCAGAGGAGTAGCAGGGGTTACTAGAGGTTGGCAGTTTGTATACACTTGGGGGAGTTAGCAGAGAGACAGCCTGAACAAAGTAGATGCTCTGTGTGTGTGCGTGTGTGTGCACGTGTGTGTGTGTTGTGCAAGGGCTGTGGAAGATGGAGGAATAAGCAAATTGGCACCAAACTGTGGAGAAAATTGAACTCCAGTCCAAAGAATGAGTTTTGTCTTATGAGTGATGGGGAGCCATTGTAACTGCAGAAGTGAACATGGTGATGGAAGTTTGAGCTAGCTGTACTTGCAGCATAGAAGGGAGCTGAAGACACATGACATGAGAAGCCGGGATGGAAACAGAACAAAAGGGGCAGGGACAGTGTACCCACTATGTCAGCTAAACACTATGCAGAGCACTTCACATGTCTTGCTCTTCTGCTTGGTGACTGTACTCTTGGGCATCTACTAGGTAGGCGCCTCAGCACATACAGCCCTGGATGACAAGGAACGAGGTGGTGTGCGTTTTCTCCTCAGCTGGAATGCAAGAACCCAGAAGGGTGGGAGCAGTTCTATACTATGCACCTTACATGCCCTCAGACAAGTGAATGTGGAAAGTTCCTGTAAATTTTCAGTGAGGAAAGGATAATTTCCTTGACACATAAGAAAAAAGGAATGAGAAGGGGAAAGAGTTTAGATGTAGACAGGCTGTTGTGCCAGGAGCCCGTTGGGCTCCCCCCCATACCTATCCCCTGAGCCGCCCGCCCTCCCCCCCGACCCCACCCCTCGCCAAGACTTTCCTCTCTTTAGGTTCCCTGGCATCCACATTTTCTTTTCTTTTTTCCTTTTTCTTGTGTTTCAAGACAGGTTCTTGCTATGAATCTGAGGCTGGTCTTGCACTTGCTATCAGCCCAGACTGGCTTAGAACTCATGATCTGCTGTCTCGATCTTCCCAGTGCTGGGATTATAGACATATGCCACCATGCCTGGCTGACATGTTCTTTACAGAGCTGTTGTCACATACCCCATTTATTTCTTTTTTTTCTTTTTGGTGACACTGAGGTTTGAACTCAGGGCCTCATGCTTGCTAGGCAGGTGCTCTCATCGCTTGAGCCACTCCTTCCTCTGAGATGAGCTGTAGAGAACCCTTCTTCTTTTTTTTGTTTTTTTGTGGTGCTGGGGTTTGAACTCAGGGCTTACACCTTGAGCCAGTCCACCAGCCCTTTTATATGGTAGGTTTTTTCAAGATAGGGTCTCACGAACTATTTGCCTCTGCTGACTTTAAACCTCGATCCTCTTGATCTCCGCCCTCCGAGCTGCTAGGATTATAGGCATGAGCCACTGGCACCTGGCTCTTCTTCTATCTATCAGGTTTGAATTCAGGCCTCACATTTGCTATGTAGGTGCTGTACCACTTGAGCCATTATCTTTTCTCCCTCCAAAAACACAACTTACCAAACAACCCAAAACAACAAACAAAACCAGCATATGGGCTTTTTCTTGTGTTATGGGTGATGTTGCTCTGGAGAAATGGTAGGTGTCATTTACTGTAAGAATATTCCAAAGGTTCCTGAATCCTGGAATGGTAAAATAGTCATTGCTCCTGGTCTACATAGGGTTCCTGCCTTTCCTTTTAGATAATAACCCAATCATTACAATTCCCCTTTCTTTCCTTCAGCCTCTGCCCATTCTGACCTTCCTCTCTGGCATGTGCTTTTAAACTTCTGTGGTAGGTGGTTCTGTTGGGGTAACTTTTTTTTCCCCTCACGTTCCTTCAGAATAAAATTAATCTCAAGAATTCCACTGGATCAAGCTGAGGATAACAGGATAATCCTAAGGCAGTTGTTTGTAATTTAAGTCCAGTCTTTTTAGAAAACTCAATGAAAGCTATCGCATCTGTTCTCAAAAAAGTCCCAGGCGCAAACAATTATGCATACAGTTCTGAGGATTTTATGGACACTAAATTAGAGGAGCATCATAATCTTACCAGTCTAACAGATAAGCCTTTTTTACTTTCTTCCTATTCCCACAGCTCCTGCCTGAAGAGTCACTAAGTCTCTTTTTTCAAGAATGTCATAAACAAGCCACACATGGCTTCAAACTCTATATGCCACGGGGCCGGTACTGGAGGCTTCATCTCTGTCCGGGTAACTTCTCATCCCAGGTTCTCTTTCCAGGGTTCCCAGGGGGTAACAGTGTCCCACCCCCACCCAAGTCCTGGCCATACATTGTGTCTCCATCCTTCACCTCACCTTCTGTGCCCTTCCCTTCTGAAATCCTATCATTTTCTCCCAAACAATCCCATTTAGGGGGCCATTAGATCATCATAGACTTACATCCTGTCCTTACTCTTCTCTCACTCCAGAACTTCCCAGTGTTCCTAGTGAGTATGCTGGGATGGTGGTCCGCACTGTACTGGAGCCTGTGTTGCAAGGATTACAGGGATTGCCACCACAAGCCCAGGCCCCTGCCCTCAGCCAGGCACTGACAGCCATACTGGGTTCTTGGCTTGACCACATCCTCATTCATGGCATCCGGTTCAGGTGAGGAGAAAAGGCAGCAGTGGCAGGGGGATGAATGGAACTGGGAAAAGAGAAGAAATAGGTGGGGGAGAGCAGTTTGGAGGCAGAAGTCAGGTGGCCACACTGTACCTGGACATTCAGCCTGCAGGGGGCGCTGCAGCTCAGACAAGACTTTGGAGTGGTCAGGGAATTGCTTGAAGAGGAGCAGTGGGGTCTATCCCAGGAGCTTCTCCAGACTCTGCTTATGCTCAGCATCTTCCAGCAGCTAGATGGGGCCCTGCTGTGCCTATTGCAGCAGCCCCTGCCCAAGAATGGAGTCCACAGGAGGCACTGTTGCTGTGAGTCATTCCCCCTCCCAATTCCACATTCTCCTCACCCTTTCCCTACTGCTTTAAGTGACCCACTCCCCAGACTCAGTTGACCAAGTTTTAGCATCTCTCTAACAGCCCCTTGCCTTCCACTCCTACCTTACCAGGTATTTGTAATGAGGTCCAGACCACGGAATTGTCCAGCAGCAGCCTCAACAGCCTGGAGAGCTTGGAGCCCACTCTACGGCCTGGAGCACCCCCAGCCCAGACAACTCAGCGGTTAAGCACTCTGGGAGGAGGACCTAGCCCTGAGGCTTACCTGTTGGAAAGTCAGCAGGCCTGGCTTGCCTTGAGACAGCACCAGCACCCCCGTTGGCACCTGCCTTTTCTTTCCTGCCTGGGAACCAATGTTGAATCCTAAGGAGCCTAAGACCAGGAGTTCCACGTCCTGGTTGGAAAAACCCATACATATGGAACTGCATGTTAAAGAAACCTAGAATTGGGATTCACATAAACTACATAGAGCCTAGAATTATAAACTAAGAATCCACAGTCACCCCAGCATTTGTAATCCAGAGTAAAGGGCAAAACCACAGCCTGTAATCTGAACGTCAGCATCCTCGGGAGGCTCAGGCCTAGTTCCCCCTCAATGAAGACATCTCAAAGTTAGAAGTGGAAGAAGGTCTATAGGGTTGGATCTCAGGAGACAGGGAGAGGGAAAAACAATTGAAAAAAAAAAAAAAAGAGAGAGAGAGGGACTAGATTCTACTTCCTCTTAAATCCCAGAAGCCAGGCTAAAAACAGTTCACTCATTGGGAATCACAGAGGTAGACAAGCATTTCTACACATGTATCAGCCCCAGTGCTTGTTTTATCTTGTACTCCCCTCTCCATTACTATTTTCAGTCATTTAAGAATATTAGGCTGGGTTGGGGGCATGGCTCAGGGTGTAACAACTGTCTAGCATGCTGCAGGCCCTGAGTTCAATTCCCACTGCAAAACAACAACAGCAAAACGGCTGTAGGACCTTCACGTTTAAACTTTGGTTCTTCAGTTATTGGAATGGGGTTTGCTGGTAGGTGGCTGTGGTTGTGTCCTCTCCTTGGAAGGAGCCATGACTTAAGATGGTATTAACTGGATAGGACATAGAAGGAGAAAGGCTGCAGAAGGTGGACATGTTCTCGCACAAGTGGGTTTTTTTTTTTTTTTTTTTTTGGGTGCAACTGGGGTTTGAACTCAGGGCTTCACACTTGCTAGGCAGGTGCTCTACTGGCACAAGTGGGTTTTACACTATGTCTTCACCATGGTGTGACAGGACTATTAATGACAGACAGATAGTTTTAGCTGTGAAAAATCCACTCACCTACCCAAACTCAAAGAATGGACTCAGAGACCCAAAGTACAGTGAAAGGGAGACTTTAATAAGTCTTGCAAGTCGGGGTATTGGTAAGCACACCCAAAAACAGTTACAACAAGCCATTTTATTCCCTGGTGCACAGGTGTCTGCCTCTGCCAAGTCCTCATTGGCTGAATACTATGGGGTGTACAGTCTTCCCAGATGTCCCTTAAGTTTTATTATTTCCTTAGAGGATATTCTTTTTCTCCCTCCCCAGTTTAAGTTCCCTTGTCACAACATCCTGTTTGTGGGTTTTCTGGTGCATGAGCTTTGTCATGTCCACAGCATGCTATGCAAGCAAACTGCCAGTAGTTTTCCACTCAGGGTCAAATGTCTTGCCCTGAAAATTGACAACCACTGACTTTATTTCCAACAATTCCCTCCTCTTTCCTTTTTTACTCTTACGGGTCTTATTTTTACTCTTATTTTTTGTGGTTCTGGGGTTTTAACTCAGGGCCAGCACCTTGAGCCACTCCCTCCTGAGTAGCTAGGATTACAGGTGTGAGCCACTGGTGCCCAGCTTCATATTTTTTGCTTTTGAAATTGCTCCAGAACCTATTGATTTTCCCCTCATAGGAAAGTGAGTCTAATTTAGTTTTTAATAATAGCAAATTATTTGCTGGTAGGTCATGGGCCATTTGTTTAACAGCTGTCTCAATCTCTACCCTTTTAGGATTGTTATTTGGGACATTAAACTCCCTATCAGGATCTACGGTTGTACTGGCACCAGATGGATGTGAGGTTGTGTTCTTGACCAACTGGAGGGTTAGTTCTCCTAGAGGGTCCCTTCCTGAGACGTCTGCTCCTAATCTACGTACCCGTGGTGCTACTTTAGGTTCCTGGTCTAGGGTGGTTGAGTTGTCTATGGTCAAAAGTATGGGGTTACATTGTAAATTCTGGCAATTGTTTGGTGGACTGCCTTTAGATAAATGCAATTTAGCTTGTAAGGGGGCCAGTTTGGAATTAACCCCTTGGGCAAAAGCAGTTCAACCCTGGTATTCAGTTGTCCACCAGACTTCACTCCAACTGGAATAGGGAAGGCTGACTATGCCCCCTAAATTCTCTCCCCACATAGGTTCTGAGCAAAAGTACTTATTCTCCCCTGAGAGTTGCCTTTGATTTTTCTCAATTTCCACAAGGCAAAGCCTGGCAGGCATCAAATTTGATAGTTTGAGACCCTAAAGTCCTGGTTAATCACTAATTAATCACTAATTTAACCAGGTATCCACCTTTCACTCCTTGTATAACTACCCACAGTAACCACATCATTGCCCAGAGATGGACCCATCTTGTACCTGCCATCAGGAGGGCTTTTCTCAGAGTTACTTTTAGAAGTTCCTTGGGAGACCTATATACTTTCCACCAATTCTTCTTCCCTTCTCCCTGGCTTTCCTTTACCAGTCGTTTGGCTCAGGTGTAATGAATCCACCCTTTTTCATCTGTTCATATAGCCATATAAATGGTCAAGAGCACTTGATAGGGGCCTTCCAGCTGGGTTGACCTTGTCCTCCTTCTAAGTCTTGACCAGCACCAGGTCTCCAGGTTAGAAGTGATGAATGGTGAATTCAAGAGGTAGGGGTCTGGACAAGGAGTCCTTTTACCTAAAGGATGACAGGGTACAAGATATGGTCAATATATAGTTCCTTCAGGCATCAGTGGCTCACGTCTGTAATCCTAGCTACTCAGAAGCAGAGATCAGGTGGATCGCAGTTTGAAGCCAGTACAGGCAACTAGTCCACAAGACCTTATCTTGAAAAAAACTATCACACACACAAAAAAAAGGGCTGGTGGAGTGGCTCAAGGTGTAGGTCCTGAGTTCAAGCCCCAGTACTGCAAAAAACAAACAAACAAAAAATGATCTTTGCTCTCCATAATAGAATGATCAGCATTCCTACCCAGGTATGGGAGCCCATATAACATTTCATAAGGGAACAGTTCCACATCTTTCCTTGGGGCTGTCGTAATCCTAAGAGCTATTGGGAGGCATTTGGTGCAGGGCAGTTTGGTTTCTAGGATCAGTTTGGTAATTTGTTTAAGGATCTGATTCATTCTTTCCACCTCTCCAGAGGAAGGGGGATGTCCAAACTCTCCACTATTCCCTTCAACATCTTTGAGGTAAAGTGACTCCTGTTGTCTGAGTCAATATTTTCCACCAGACCAAACCTAGATACAGTCTGCTCAAGGACTACTTTGACAACACTCCCTGCTGCAGCAGTTGAGAGAGGGAAGGCCTCCACTCAGCTGGTGAAGTGAGCCACTATCATCAGTAGGTATCTCTATCATACCACCCTAGGCATCTCTGTGAAGTCTACCTGAATACTCTGAAATGGTCTTAACCAGTGTGGTCTTCCCGTTTCACCTGTCTTCTTAACAACTTTTGTTTATTCTTTGGCAAGTCACACATTCTCTACATACCTGTTTAGCAATGGTATAAATACCACACACCCATAATTCCTGGGCATTACATCACACATAGCTTGGGAACTTCAATGACATCCCCTATGCAGTATGGACATCAGCTCCCTCATTAAGGGCTTGCTTATCATTTCTCCCCCATCAAGGAACGCCCATCTTCCACCTCCTGCTTTAGTTGCTCCTATTTTATCTAATTCCTTTTGTTCCTTTTTAGTAAACTGGGATCTTGATGTTACCTTTGGAATACTTGGGATCAAGCTAAAGCATCTTATTTCTTCCTCTAAAGAGGCTCATTTGTCAGCCTCGTCTGCGAGTCTGTTATCCACAGCCTCCATAGAGCCCAGGTATAAAAGCTGGGTCCTAAGAACTGGTCCAACTGTTCTGCTACACTCAGGTTTCCTCTCAAAATTTCTGACCTCTGTACTTGTGAGAGGAGCAGTCACAAACCAAGGTTCCCATGGGAACCTCTCAGAGAGAACACATTGGTTGCTTAAAAGGGATTGGGAAGTTTTCAATGTCTTCCCTGCATTGCTCTAGTTCTTTTCTTAGACTGGGGTAAGGGACGGTTGGTTTGGCTCCCTCACAATCTTTAGTTCTTGTCTCTTCTGGTTCTTTGGTTACCCACTGCTCCTCCTGCTCCATAGGGGGTAAACATGATAAGGGGTCTCAGGGTTTGTCATTGGGCCCTCTTCTTTTTCTTTAAGAGGGAACATATGGGCCTGTCCCTGTAACCAGCAAAGGATGCAATCTTTCTCCTCCTGGGTGGAGGACGTCTTCCATTTACATAGATAACCAGAGCTTGACACACCCAGTCTTCATCTGAGCCAAACTTAGGCCAAAAGACAGAAAGGTCTGCGAACTGGATCTTTAGGCCATATAAAACAAAAATATTTAATCTTTTTTTCCCCTTCTCCCTGATTTGGGGACTGTCTCCCCGGAATCTCAGCAATTCTCCCCAGTGAACTATCCGGAGGATGTCAGGGGGAGTCCCTTTAATTCCCCCTTTCTGTTTCTTTCCCCCTAGGCCTAGAATTTCTATTCCTCATTTTCGGTAGGTCCCTGTGACTATATTCTCTTATGCACTCAAACCGCCTGTACAGGAGGTTTCTTGGGCACACGCAGATTCATTTCGTCTGGTCCTTTGAAACTGTGAAACGGGACTCCGCACTCGCTTTGTGTCTATGATAATAAGTCTTAGTCACAATACTTAACCTCTGAAAATACCCAGCCACCACGGCAGTACTTACAGTTCGATTTTTCCTACCTTGGCTTATGCACGAGGTTGACTGGTTGTCACGGTGCCTGCTTTTCTTTCCCCGTGTCGCTCTTGCTGTCTCTCAGAAAACAGTCTCGGGCTTGTCTCTGGCTTCAGGGGAGAGATTGGGGCACCCAGCCAGGGCAGGCCACCTGAAATCGGGTGGGATGCGTGAGACCGCGGTCGCTCCACACAGGCACAGAGATGCAGGAAAGAGCCCCCAAGTTGTGACAAATACACTACTGACTTTATTTCCAACATTAACTGACCGCTTAGCTTGGGTTCCTCCGCGCCCTGGGGGAGCCACGTCTTTCCCTCCGGCCTTTTTTCTCCTGGGGCTGGGAATCAGAGGCTGCGGCTGGAAGGCCCGCAAGGCGGCTAGCTGCCAGAAGTTCACCTGCAAAGAGCACAGGCGGTGGAAGGCGGGGTATTCAGTCATTCGCCCCGGAAACAGCTCTGCCTAGTAACAGGTCCGCTGCGCGAGTGCTTCCGGAGCGAAGGTCAGCAATGGCAGCGGCCATGGCTCGGCTCGGGCTCCGGGCGGTCAAGCAAGTTCGGGTTCAGTTCTGCCCCTTCGAGAAGAATGTGGAGTCTACGAGGTACAGGAGGACAGGACGGGGAGGGGCGCGCCTTTTCTCACCCTCAACCCGGTGCTCACGCTGTTTTTCCCATCGCAGGACTTTCCTTCAGGCGGTGAGCAGCGAGAAGGTCCGCTCCACCAACCTCAACTGCTCGGTGATTGCGGACGTGAGGCACGACGGTTCCGAGCCCTGCGTGGACGTGCTGTTCGGTGGGCTTGCCTGAGAAGACGGTTGGGAAGGGCGGCGGGCAGTTCTCTACACCACACCCGCCGACCCCCGATGCCTGACTCGTTTGTTTGAATCTTCCCCAGGAGACGGACATCGCCTGATTATGCGTGGCTCCCACCTCACCGCTCAGGAAATGTTCACTGCCTTCGCCTCGCACATCCAGGCCAGGGGCGCAGCGGCAAGCGGGGACACGCCAGGCGCTGGTACTGGGCTCTGAGAGCGCAGGAGAGAACAAGAAGCAGATTTTAACCTGTCTCCAAAGGCCACTTGTCAAATCACTGGAGGGCCATAGAACAAGGGGTGGAAGAACCCTGCCACCACAGTGCTTCTGGGGCAAGCCAGGACGGGCTGGGGAGGGATCTAGAGGAACTTGAATTGTGTTCTCCTTTTTACCATCCTTCGCCGCTTAACTCTTTTGCATTTCGCTTCTTCCGACACTCAAGGTACTTTTTAATCTTACTTAGAAAAGTAGTGCTGTTTTCTCTCCTTGTGTCTCCCTCCACTCTTAACTCACTTTGTGGAACCTCCCTCTCTCTCTCTCTCTCTCTCTCTCTCTCTCTCTCTCTCTCTCTCTCTCTCTCTCTCTCTCTCTCTCTCGGATCTTTTTCTTAACCTTAATGGCCAACTACTCTCTTTTTCTTTTTTTAATCCTTCCTAGGACATTCCATCCTCTTGAACTACTCACTGTGGAGTTTAAACCCTGCATTTCTGTTTGGTTCTAACCCCACCTTCTGTGCTAATTACCAATTTTTTCCAAATACCACCAACATGCTTTGTCTAAAATAGAACTGATAATCTTACATACACTCACCTCTCCCCCACTGACTTTCCCATTCCTTCCAAAGACACGTCATCTGCTCAGCCACCTGTGCGTGTAAACCTAGTGTTATTGTTCCTTTTGTCCTCTTCTTCCTCTGCAAGTCCAGTCACATTCAGAAATTCTTTTTTTAAAAGCTCCTGAAATGATCGCTCCATTTCTATTCATTCTCCTGCTTTGGTCTTCTTTTCCTAATCATTTTTTTGCTGCTGCTTGATTTTATCCTCCCAAATCATATGACTGCTTTTCTTCCACCAGTTCCGGTTTCAGAAAACGATGCCTGAAATAGTTTTTCATACTGGGTTACTATCCATTGATCATGAGATCAATTTAGGGATTAGAGCAACCTTTTTTTTTTTTTTTTTTTTTGAAGAAAAGGAAAATAGAATAAAAAGTATCCAAGTACTTGTCACATGGAATGGGAAGCATTCTTTTAGGAAACCTTAATTTTTTAAAGTGTATAATTGTAATGAGTGTGTTTGCAGGCACTGGCTTACAGTGTATTTTTTGTGAGTTATAGGAAAAAAGTAGCTGAAGCTGCTGTCATAGAGGACCTCAATGCTCAGCTGAGGGGCAAAGATCTCTTAGATATTGACTGCTATGTTCTTTGCCAAATATATTTCCTGTGACCCTTCTACAACATTCTATACCTTTTCTCTGCCTAAAAAGGTGTTAAAAGGACTGTCTCTCACCCTTTAAAGAAAGAAAACTACCTGGAGGCAATATAGTTTAACAGAGCCAGACTGCCTGGGTTTGAAATCAGTTTTGCCTTTAAGTAGCTGTCTTTATGAGTGGCTGCTTCCTCATTTGTCAAACGAGTAGTAGTACAGGCAGCCCTCTGTATCTATGGCTTTTATAGAGTAGGATTTAACTAACCTTGGATTGAACATATTCAAGAAAAAAAAATTGCACAAGTATTAAATACTCACAGACTTTTCTCTTGTCATTATTCCCTAAACAATACAACTATTTGCATAACATTTACAATGTATTAGGTATAAGTGATCTAGAGATGATAAAAATACTGTAGCATTTTATGTAAAGGTTTTGAGCAGGAGGTCCTTTATATAAGGGACTTTCAGGGGTCCAGATCGATCTTCAGAAGATACCGAGGGATGACTGCTTATGTCAGGTCTGAGAGGATTAAATGAGTTAACATCTGTAAGATGCCTATAACATTGCTGGAAATGTAGTAAGTGCTGTTATCTAAGAACTGGTTGCTACAACGAAAGAAATGGTCTCTAAACTGAAGAGACCACCCACAGAGTGGGAGAAAATATTTGCTAGCTATACATCAGACAAAGGACTGATAACCAGAATATTCAGAGAGCTCAAACTAAGTTCCCCCAAAATCAATAAACCAATAAAGAAGTGGGCAACTGAACTAAACAGAACTTTTTCAAAATACATGGCCAAAAAATACATGAAAAAATGCTCACCATCTCTGGCCATAAAGGAAACCAAAACCACATTAAGATTCTACCTCACCCCTGTTAGAATAGCTATCCATCAAAACCACCACTAACAACAAATGTTGGCAAGGATGTGGGGAAAAAGGAACCCTCATACACTGTTGGTGGGAATGTAAGCTAGTACAACCACTGTGGAAAACAATATGGAGTCTTAAAAAACTAAACACAGATCTGCCATATGATCCAGCATTCCTACTTTGAGGGATATACTCAAAGGAATGCGACTCAGGTTATTCCATAGGCACCTGCACACCCATGCTTATTGGAACACTTCACAATAGCCAAGTTATGGAAACAGCCAAGATGCCCCACTACTGACAAATGGATTAAGAAAATGTGGTATTTATACACAATGGAATTTTACTCAACCATGAAGAAGAATGAAATCTTGGCATTCGCAAGTAAATGGATGGAACTGGAGAACATCATCTTAAGCGAAGTTAGCCAGGCTCAGAGGCCAAAAATCATATGTTCTCCCTCATATGTAGATTTTGGACCTAAAACAAATGTAGTAATATTATTGGACATGGGTCACATGCTAAGGGGAGAACACATGAGGAATAGGGAAAGGTAGGAAACCCAAAACTTGAAAGTGTTTGATGTGCCTACTGTAGAGGAGCTAATACACTAACCTTAAACTGACAGAGGCTGCTATGGGAAGGTGACCAGGAAGTAGTGAGGAGGTCTGGTAGAGATAAACCAATGCAGGTTTCAATACACATGTGCATGGAAGCAGTGCTAGGAGTCTCTCTGTATAGCTATCCTTATCTCAAACTAGCAAAAATGGTATGTCTTTCTTATTATTGCTTATGTCTTCAACAAAATTGGAGAAGAGGGCAGAACAGGTTGTGCCTATAAGTGAGGGGGGTGGGGGCAGGGGGAGAGATGGCCCAAACAATGTATGCACATATGAATAAATGAATAAATAAACAAAACCTGTTGCCAAAGTGGAAAACATACAAATCTGGATTTGGTTCCCCAGCTCTATGATTAACTGTCTTTTTACCTTGAGCTAGTCGTGTGTGTTATTGGGGATTGAATTGAGGGACTTGCACTTGCAGCAAGGGCTGTAGCACCTAACCATGCACACAGCCCTTTTTGTTTTTGGCAGTGCTGGAGTTTGAACTCAAGCTGCACGCTTGCTAGGTGGGCGCTCTACCACTTGAGTCACTCCTCCAACCCTTTTTTGTATTAGGTATTTTCCAGATGTGGTTTCATGGACTATTTGCCAGGGACTGGTTTCAAACTAATCCTCCTGAGCTCTGCCTCCTGTGTAGGATTACAAGCATGAACCACCAGCGCCTGGCTGTTTTTGAGACTAACTTTGGAGTTGGCCTCAAAGTCGAGATCCTCCTTGCCTTGACCTCTCCAGTGTTGGCAATACAGACATGGGCCACCACACCAGGCTTTGGACCAGTTTTAACCACTCTCCTCATCTGTAAAATGATGATGGTTCAACATGGATTGAGTTCTACAGAGTGAACTTGAAATTGGTGCTGTTTTCTCTGTGGCCCCAGAACCTTGCATAGTGATTCAAGTGTACAATAAATATTGAAATTAATGAGTATTTAGCATCTGTCTTGCACATGCAAGTTCTGGAACTAGTATTAGGATACAAAAGGAATAAGTAAAACTCAACTATGTAATAAATAGAGATGTGAACCAGGTCTGGAGACATAGTTCAGTAGTAGAGCACTTGCCTAGCATGTGCAGGACCCTGGGTTCCATCTCTAGCACTACAAAAGAAAACAAAACTAAAAACAACAAAAAACCAGGACTGAGCCTTGAGTTCAGGTGTGATACATAGAAACCCTGTCGCAAAAAACTAAGGACAGTGTATGTAACTCAGTGGTGTGTAACTTGGGCTAGCATTTCCAAGTCGCAGGGTTTGATCCTCACCACCACAAAAAAAAAAAAAAAAAAAAGTGGGCTGACTGGAGATATGAGTTGACTTGAAGTCACAGGCAGAGTGTCTTCTCCAGACCCCAGGCTCCTTTATGGGTCCACTCTTTCCGTAAGAGAAGAATCCTGTGTGGGTTGGAAGCTAGCCACTTCCCAGCTCTGTGGCCTGAGCCAAGCACTTGTACTTCCTAGGCCATGATTTTCTGACACTCAGTTGGAACTAAGGTAAAATTGAATATGATCAAAGTACTTCATACAAATGTGTGAAAATAGAGTAATGAAACCTGTTTAAATTTTGTTTTAAATGGAGGAAGGGGGAAGGGAAGAAGGATAAGGAATAATAGAGGCAGTGAATTCGATCAAAGTATATTATATGCATGAAACACATTTGTATTATATACACTGACAAAAAAAGACCAACAGACATTATAGCAACTTTTTTTTAAGAAGCTCAAAATAAGATTATTTTTCTCTACTAGCCTGTGAGCAAGGCCTGTAGGTGCAGATCTGACACTAACCCGACACTGGCGAGTCATAGTGTACTTCCGTGCTCCTGCACTTGATCTGACGTGGCGGGGCGGGACTTCCGGATTGAGGCGGAAGTGGGACCGGAGGCGTGGACCCTAGGGTGCTGTGGACAGGTGGTAGCTGAGGCGCGGGCCGCGAGCCGGAGAAGCAAGGCAGTCTCCGGGCTCGGCTGCCTTCTCTCTGGGTTCCCGAGACACCGATCGGTGCCAGGATGGCTCGGGGCGAGCGGCGGCGCCGTGCAGTGCAGGCAGAAGGAGCACGGACAGTCGAGAGGACTGCTCGGGGCGGCCCCGGACGACGGGACGGCCGGGTTGACGGACCCCGCGGCACAGCTGGGGGAGCGGCGATGGCCGTCGTGGTCCTGGTTCTGGCTCTGGGCGTGTCCGGACGTTGGATGCTGGCGTGGCACCGTGCACGGCGAGCAATTACGTTGCACTCCGCACCCCCAGCGCTGTCCCCTGATTCCTCCAGCCCCGCGGTGGCCCCGGACCTCTTCTGGGGCACCTATCGCCCTCACGTGTACTTCGGCATGAAGACTCGCAGCCCGAAGCCCCTCCTTACCGGTAACCGGGCCCCGGGCGGTCAGTCAGGAAGGCGGACTCTTAATCAGGGGGCCCCAGTTTCCCGCCACAGCAAGGGTGGGGAGGCATGGATCAGGAGTGTTATAAAGAGGGATGACCCTAAAGTTCTCGGAGACCCAGAGGGACAGAGCTCTGACTTACCTGGCCATTCTACCCCCAGGACTGATGTGGGCGCAGCAGGGCGCCACCCCAGGGACCCCTAAGCTCAGGCACACGTGTGAACAGGGGGACGGCGTGGGTCCCTATGGCTGGGAGTTCCACGACGGCCTCTCCTTCGGGCGGCAACACATCCAGGATGGGGCCTTAAGGCTCACCACTGAGTTCGTCAAGAGGCCTGGGGGTCAGCACGGAGGGGACTGGAGCTGGAGAGTGACTGTAGAACCTCAGGTCAGGGCCTCAGGATTTCCTTTCCTCAGCCCAGACTCCCTCAATCCTTCCCTTGCTGCCAGCAAATACAGTACAAAATGGGGGTTGACAGCAGGGTCAATGAGTCTGGCTACCTAGCCTGAGTTCTGCCTTAAACACTTGTTTCTATCCATCTCTGTGTACCACCCCTAAGTCTTGATTTCCCTGTCTGTAAAGCAGAGATAGTAGTAGCACCTAACTCACAAAATTTTAAGAGTTAAATGACGTTTTATCTGTGTAGTTCTTAGTGTAGGACATAGCACAAAAGTACTTAACATTTCCCAGAGAATCTTGTGTAAGGCCCTTTAACTCATCCCACTGGTGTATCCACTTACCCTTAGTGACTCTTACTTAGCGCTGCCAGATATATCTTGGTTACCACCTTACTCTTGCCTGGGATCCCCTTCCCTCACTAAGACTGATTCTCAAGAGAATGCCAATCTAGTATTGTTGTTTTATATTCTCTTTCATCACCCAGGCCTCGGCTACCTCTGCCTTTCCTTTGGTCTCCCTGTTCTTCTATGTGGTGACAGATGGCCAGGAGGTCCTACTACCAGAGGTTGGAGCCAAGGGTCAGTTAAAATTCATCAGTGGGCACACCAGTGAACTTGGTGACTTCCGCTTTACACTTTTACCACCAACCAGTCCAGGGGACATTGCACCCAAGTATGGCAGGTAAGTGGGCGAACAGTGTGGGGTAGTGGGAAGCCTGGTATGGATACTGACTTAGCCTCATTTTCATTTCCTCCACACTGCCTTCTTTCCACCAGTTATTTCATCTCATCAGGACCCCCACATTCCTTGCACTGCCAAGGCCTTTCATCCTGACTCCTGGTCATCTCAAATTTCTCTTTATAATCCCCATCCCCTCATCCTGAAAAATATTTTCTATTTGTTCTTGCCTTCAAGCTACAATGTCTTTTGGTCCTCCAACCCGGGACTGCCCCTGCTGACAGAGTTGGTGAAGAGCCGTCTAAATAGCTGGTTTCAGCATCGGCCCCCTGGGACCTCTCCTGAACGATACCTCGGCTTGCCTGGATCTCTGAAGTGGGAAGAGAAAGACCCAAGTGGGCAAGGGCAGGGACAAGGACAATTCTTGATACAGCAGGTGACACTGAAAGTCCCCTTTTCCATGGAATTCGTGTTTGAATCTGGCAGTGCCCACACAGGAGGAAACCAAGCTCTGGGGCAGCTGGCAGGCAGCCTACTGACCCAGGCCCTGGAAAGCCACATTGACAACTTTCGAGAGCGCTTTGAGAAGATCTTCCGGCTTAAAGAGAAGGGCCTGAGCCCTGGGGAGCAGGCTTTGGGTCAGGTTGCCCTCAGTGGCCTCCTTGGTGGGATTGGCTATTTTTATGGACAAAGTCTGGTATTGCCTGATGTGGGAGGGGAAGGATCTGAGCAAAAGGTGGACCCAGCCCTCTTTCCACCCCTCCCTCTTTTTTCAGGGGTGCCCTCCCGGTCATTCTTCCCACGAGGCTTCCTTTGGGATGAGGGCTTTCACCAACTAGTGGTCCAGCGGTGGGATCCACATCTCACCCGGGAGGTCCTAGGCCACTGGCTTGGACTACTCAATGCTGATGGCTGGATTGGGCGGGAGCAGATACTGGGGGATGAGGCCCGAGCCCGGGTGCCCCCAGAATTCCTAGTGCAACAGGCAGCCCATGCCAACCCCCCAACCCTGCTCTTGCCAGTAGACCACATGCTAGAAGGTGGTGACCCTGCTGACTTGGCTTTCCTCCACAGAGCCTTTCCCCGCCTGCATGCCTGGTTCTCCTGGCTCCATAAGAGCCAGGCTGGGCCAGTGCCACTATCTTACCGCTGGCGGGGCCGGGACCCAGCCTTGCCTACGCTACTGAACCCCAAGACACTGCCCTCAGGGCTGGATGACTACCCCCGGGCTTCGCACCCTTCAGCAACAGAACGGCACCTGGACCTGCGGTGCTGGGTGGCATTGGGTGCCCGTGTGCTATCACAGCTTGCAGAGAGGCTGGGGGAGTCTGAGGCAGCTGCTGAGCTGGGCCCACTGGTTGCCTCACTGGGGGCACAGGAGAGCTTGGATGAGTTGCACTGGGCTCCAGAGCTAGGGGTCTTTGCAGACTTTGGGAACCACACGAGAGCAGTACAGCTGAAGCCTAGGCCTCCTCAGGGGCTGGTTCGGGTGGTGGGACGGCCCCTACCTCGCTTGCAGTACGTGGATGCCTTGGGCTATGTCACTCTGTTTCCCTTGCTGCTGCGGCTGCTAGAGCCCAAATCATCCCGCCTTGGGCCCTTGCTGGATGTTCTGTCTGACAGCCGCCATCTCTGGAGCCCCTTCGGTTTGCGTTCTCTTGCAGCCTCTAGCTCCTTTTACAGCCAGCGAAATTCTGAGCATGATCCTCCCTACTGGCGGGGTGCTGTGTGGCTCAATGTCAACTACCTGGCCTTAGGAGCACTCCACCACTATGGGCATCTGGAGGGTCCCCACCAGGCTCAGGCTGCTAAGCTCTACAGGGAGCTACGTGCCAATGTGGTGGGCAATGTGTGGCGTCAGTACCAGGCCACAGGGTTCCTGTGGGAACAATACAGTGACAGGGATGGGCGAGGCATGGGCTGCCGTCCTTTCCATGGCTGGACCAGCCTTGTCTTACTGGTCATGGCTGAAGACTACTGAAATGGAGATGAAAGGAAAGCCAGGCCATTCATGCCATTCTTAATCTGGAGACAAGGTCTCTGGCTTTTGCCCCGAGTCCCTCAGATACCAGTAATTCAAACCTTCCTCAGCTCATCTCAGGTGTCCCTACTGTCATCCCACAGAGTCCTGGGATGAAGGTGAACTCAAGAGTCTATTTTTCTAAATAAATTGGAAAAAAACATAACCAGACTCATTGCTTTTGTCAGTTTTGCTCACCAAGAGGTGTTAACTCAGTCCAGGCTTCAAGGCTACCTGCCATCTTCGGAGGAGATAAATGGCCATTACCTATTCCCTTTAAACCCAGTCAGGGTAAATGTAATGTAGTGAGTTGAGTTCTAGTCCACCCAAATCCACAAGCAGCTGGTTCAAATCTCTTTAATGAGATCAAAGGCTCCTGTGTATGTGTTGGAGGTGGGTAAAGCTAGCACAGTCCCCCAGTACTGCCCCTCTCTTCAGGACTCCAGCCCTTTCAGGCAGATTCTAAGAGGGGCCAAGGAGGACTTAAGGAACTGGGACCAGGGCTGTTTCTAGTGGACATGTAACCACCCACCCTCCCAAGACTACTTATGGGATGTCCCTTTCACTGGAAGCCAGCCCCACAGGAGAGACCTGGAGCATGGGATCTGGAGACAGTATACAAGGAGACTGTTCCCCCAGATCTGGTGGGGTGGCACTAACCCTCATTTCCTTGACTGACTCACCTTCACTGGAGTCAGGACAAGGGCAAAGCTCTATACCTGAGTCACCAGTCAGGCGACGATAGCGGCAGGAGGGGGGAGTGTGATCAGGGTTCACTCCTTCCCCAGGCTCACCCTCCTGATGAGGGGGGGCACTCTGGTGGGAAGAAAGATCTTCCACAATTGTCCCCTCGCAGTGGGCAGGGCAGTTGGATGCAGAGGAGCAGCAGGTGCATTCAATGGAAGCAGTCAAGGGGTGCCCTGGGGCCATAGTATAAGGAGGTGGTGGTGTGCCTGGGCGATGAACCACATCCTCATAGGCTGGAGGTTTGAAGGCGCTGAGGAGGCCTGCAGAGGAGAGAACAGCATGGGTGGTTGAAGGCAACCAGGGAAGGAAGAGTGATTTCTCCTACTAGGGAAAAGGGTACTTTGAAATGTCTGCAAAAGGGAATGTGGGATGATTCGGGGTCCTGGTTTGGGAAGGGCTACTGGTAATGAGCCCAGAATCTCAAGTCACTCACGAAGGTCAAGTAGTGAACTGGTAGGAACAGGGCCAGCCCCGTGGCATGCCCCATGGTAGGCCAACAAGTTGATCTCACGCTGTCGCTGCTGTTGTTGCAGCCTGAGTTTAGCTCGTCGGTGGCGGAAGGCGCAACAGCAGCTAAAGAGGATGAGGACAGTCCAGAGCAGCCAAAACCCTACAAGAGGCAAGGAGGGTGTGTCTCAGATACTTCTCATGCAGAAAAGGGTCCTTCAAGGCTGGAATTCTGAGGTCCAAGGGAGGGTGGGCAGAGGGAGCTGAGAATTATCTTTTTTGGAGACTCACACCAGAGCTCATAGTAGTAAGTGCAGCAGCCAGTCTCCCCACAGCAGTGACCACTCTCACAGAGGTAGGGCTGGTTGTTCACTCCTGGGCACAGCTCTCGAAGCTGGGGGCAAGGAGGCACTTAGAACCAACAAATTATAGCCCAAGACACTGTCCACCCCCACTCCTGCATGCACATACACAATCCTACCCTGTGAGCCAAGGTCAGCTTGGAAAGATGGCAAGAATGAGGGATGCTGAGAGGGGTATTCAAATATATTTAGGGCAGTCAATATGGAAGAGGACTTGGAATAGTAAGAAATCAGTCTAGAAAACAAACACAAAGTGGACATACAAAGAGGGAGTTTTCAGCTCTGCATATCCAAGGCATCTCTCACTTAAGCCTGGCCCTCTAGGGTGCTTTTTCTTAAGGGAGTGTTTTGGCAGAAGCCAAAAAAATGGTCTGAGCTACTTCAAAGTCTCAGACAATGGGGAGGGATTTAAAGCCACTTCCAAATCTAAAATGCTTTCATCATCCCCCATAGTCTGCCACCCCATCCCCAACCCCAAGCTGGATCTTTCCACCCCTGGGTCTCAGGCTCCCTAGGGTAAAGGAGGGGCAATGTGAGACCCAGAGCAGTGCTCCCAACCAGATGGGATTGCTGTGGATGATAAAGGATGGCATCCAGGGCGCGAGTCTGGGTTCCAGCTCTTCTCCAAATTGCTCCCTCAAGAGAAGACGCTGCCGGACTCTGTTGTGACAATAGGTACATAGAAAAACATCACAAATAACTGTTGTAAGACAGAGAGATCCTCCCTGGGGCCTCACTAAGCCTCTGGTCACTGAAGAGCCACTGCAAGCTTCCACTGCAGCCATGGGATAATATCTATAAGGCTGCAGGTAAAGTCAATTGCGTCTACATTACAAAGTTTAGACAGAGTGGAAGGGACATGTTTAGGAACTTCACAGTACCTTTGGCTCTGTGAGTTCCTCCCCCTCCCCCCAACAGGAAGGGACAGGAAAGAGGAATAAATGGTTGTCGTGATAGGCTTTTGGAGCTGATGGGATACCTGCTGTTGCGGTGCCCGAAGTGCTCCCCAGGCCTCCTCGCTGCCGTTCCCGCTGCTGGCCCGAGCCATGCCTCCACCTACAGCCCCCTGAAGACCATAGCTTCCTCTACCACCAGCTGCCCCGCCCCTGCCACCTCTGCCGCCACCGCCATGGTCCCTGCCTGGCCCATTTTCGCTGCAGCCACCATCACTCCGTGGCCAGAGCTTCCATCCGGGGAGAGCTCCGCCAACTAGAACCTAGGCTGCCCCGTCCAACCAATCATCGTCATCCATCGGCAGGTGAGCCAATAAGAGCAGACCAGAGGTTTCTCCCTGAGACCAATCCACAGCAGCGCCTCCATAGCTCTCCCAGACAACAAGAGCTTGCAGAGACAAAGAGTTGGGGTAGGTTCTACCCAGACCTTGACTGACAGCGGTAGTAGCCAATATGGACAACAGAACAGGTTTGACTTATCAGCCAATGAGTGACCGTCCAGAAGAGCAAAGTTCTCAATGATTGGCTTGAGCCATATTTTCCGGATGACGCCAAAAGCCCGAGCGAGGCAGGTAATCATCTGGAAGAGGCGAGGTTCTGAACGTGTACCCGAGTTCAGGCGCAGCCAGCTGGGCTTCTTTTGGTCGTTTCCAAGCCGCAGGCAGGGCAAGATGTGTTTACCGAAGACTGGTCTACCAAATATCCCTCTTCCCCCAATTCTGTACAAACTGAGGCACCGGATGAAATTTAATAGGATGGGGAAAACAGTGAAAACTGGGCGGGGGAGAGGGTGCAGAGTCTAGGTTTGGTAACGGCTTTAAGTAGCTAAAAGTGGGGATCCAGGGCCCTCGGGTCCCCCCAGCCGCATCTGCAGGTTGATGCGGTAGCACTGAAGGCTGCAGAGTGCTTGGCCAGTGCGGGAGCAGGCGTAGCGGCGCGGGTGGGGGCAGCCGGGGACCGAGCAGCGCCGAGGAGGGCTTGATGGGGCTGGCCGCTGAGACACCGCCACCGGGGTAGGAACGCCAGGTGGGAAGGAAAGGGTGGATCCCTGGGCCCCACTGCTGTAGCGCACCATGGGGGCCGGGGTCGTGGCCCTCCCTCCCCGCCGCTCGCCCCGCGCAGCGCCCCGGCCTCCCCGCCCGCTGGGCGCTGCAGTCTTGGTGAGGCGCTCGATAGTCTGGTTCTTGTGCTCCTCCGCCCGCCGCGCCGCCTGCAGCCTCCGCTTCCGCGCCCGCTCCTCGCGCTTCAGCAGCATCTCCTCGGTGAGGGCAGGGGCCGGGCAACTCCCAGCCACGGGCAGCGGAAGCATTGGGGAAGGCTGACTCCGAGCCTTCTGGAGCAGAGCTCGCTGGGGGCGAGAGAAGGGACGGTGTCGTGGTCCACCAGGTCTCGGGAGGGAGAAAATGGGACATGGAAGATAGGGTCCTGAGAAACGTCAAGTCTTGGCAGAAGGGGGATTAATGGGGACCTTTTCTGGGGTCCTCCCACGTCTGACAATCAGCTTAGGTCCTTGACTCTCAAGGGAAACATCAGTTATGTTATCTGCTTTGTCCTGTGTACCAAAACTCTACCACTTTTCGGCAGGTTTTTGTTGGGTTTTAGTTTTTTTTAAGTCTCAATAAATAACATCAATTGGACAACTGCTCAAGCCAAAAAACTCAGAATTACTCTTGATTCCTTTTTTGCTCCAACCCCCTCCCAACAAATAACTACTTCCAAAATATAGCACTCACCCTATTTCCACTATTTTCATTTTGGTTCCATCCACCACCATCCCTCAGCAAGATACTTCAACAGCTTCCCAGCTGGTCTCCTGTCCCTAACCTCCACTAATACTCATTCTCCATGTAGAAGTCAAAGAAATCTATTGAAATGCAAATCAAACATGTTACTTCTATGCATACAACCCATCAATGGCTTAGCCACATTTTTTTCTTCTTTACCCTTCTTGGCATGTTCCATTAGGGCCTTTGGGCCTGCTGGCGTTGCACTTGGCCTTCTGGCATTTGAAGAATGTTATTTCTTCAAAGAGGCACTCTTTGACTATCCTACCTAATGTCTTTTTCCTGTTACCTATTTCATTACTCTATTTTCTTGTCATAAACAGTGCCCCTTTAAAAAAAAAAAAAAACGTATTTACCACCATTCCCCAAACATATCTTAGAATACCAGCTCCATAAGAACAGAAACTATTTTTTTCTCTCCCATTGGTAACCCCACTGTGTAGCAAAGTGCTTGGGACATGGCAAGTTCTTAATATATATTTGGTGAATGAATGAGGAATTAACCAACTTACCTGTCGAGCAGTGAGCAGCCGTTCATTGATCTCCTTCTTGAGATCTCCATTGTCATCCAGCTCCCCCTTTTCCAGGGCATCCAGCCACCTCTGTTCCTCCTCTTCCTCCTGACCCCCTAGACTCCCTGACAGGTCCCGAAGTGGGGACGGGGACAGATTACTGTCTTCATCTGGGAAGTAAAGTGGGAGAGATAAAAGTAGAATTGTGGGCTGGTGGAGTGGCTCAAGTGGTAGAGTGTCAGCGTGAGGCCCTGAGTTCAACTCCAGTACCGCCAAAAAAAAAAAAAAAAAGAATAATTGTTCAGATGGGGGATGCCTAATTTGGCCAAGTTTACCGGGACGTTCAAAATTCTACCCACCTTAGAACCAACCCCCTTCCCTTAGGCAGGTGTAACAAGAAACCCAGCTTCCCCACCTCCAGATGCTTCTCACCCAGCCAGGCTCGGTATTGCTCCAGGGGTACTCCTTCCATTGGTTCCTCTTCATTATCCACAACCATCAGGGGAGAGGGTGAGCGAGGCCCTTCAGGGATCACAGTGAAGGTAGGAACACTGCAGAAAAGCATCACTCTGTAAAGTAAGAATGTATCTCCTCCTGCTCAATAGCTACATACAGCCTTCCCTACCTCTCTTGGGTTCTTGCTGCCTTGATTTGGGGACCATGAAGGCAGTGTCCATACACTGTCTTCTAGAAAGCCCAGCCAGCTTCTAACATCTATCTTCGTCTGCTACTAAAGTTACCTAAGTAAAACCCCAAGCCGCTTGGCCTCACCTCTTGGTGCCCAGGACCTGCCCGCCCAGCTTGATTTTGAGTTTTAGCTGGGGCTTGGCAGATGCCGACTGTGTGGGCCCAGCTTCCTCTTCCTGATGGTGTTTCTTCTTGTGTTTTTTCTTGTGCTTTTTGTGCTTTTTCTTGTGCACTCCGTGGCCGTGGGCACCAGCCAGACTCAACTCCAGCGCTTCCCCTGCGGAAGAAGAGCCGGTCAACGAAGTTCCACCTAACAGTGGCAGGGGAATCCCTGAACAACCCAATAGCCCTGAGAAGCCCCACTCTGCCCACCTTACTAACGGTTACCATAACAACAGTACCGCCTTTCTCCTTCCCACCTGTGGCGAAGTGCCCTGAAGCTTCGAGGAGCGAAAGGGGCTACTTTTTCAGAAGGCCTAAGTTTGATCGATCCGCACTTACCCGGCTCAGGGGCCTCCATTGCCCCAGAGGTGCTCCCGCGCCGCCACAGCTTACTCATGGGGTCTTGCAAGGAAAGAGGACTGGAAATAGTCCGGACACAAGCACACATGCCTTTTCCGCCCCGCGGAAGTACTGACTCCGACAAAAGAACCGGCTACTTCCGGTACGTCGTAACCATGCCTGTGCGGGGCACGCTTTACAGTCAAAACCCTCCCTGAGAAACAATGATTCCTCCAACAAAGGTTCCATCCAAATGGGACTTGACTCTCCTCTCTGCCTCCCACGCTGGATTCCAGAACTCAAGGCGGGCGAGCCAATTATTACACTCAAGCCGGGTAAACGTATACTCCGGACCGAGTGCAAGGGCTAGGTTAAGAGGATTCACAGGTGAATATGAACACTGCCTCTGTTCTAGAGAAGGTCACATTTCGGTGGAGGAGTACATAACCTGTATTGCCAGCAAATGGCAGAAATGCGTAACAGCGCCAGTGCCCTTAGAGCAGGGTAAATGGTATTTAAACCTAAATTCTCATCAGTTGTGAAATGAATAGGTGAATTATGGTGCATCTATACAATTTCAAACACTATGTTACTAAGAAAGGTTGAATGAGTGAGAAATAATGTGGGCACAGAATTTATTTTTAAACATTTTATTAGCACATATTAGTTGTATAGTTGTACAGGGGATTTCATTGTAACATTTCCACATATGCTTACATTGTACCTTAGTTAGGTTAATCCCCCACCTTTATTCTCCCTCATCCCCCTCCCCGCTACTTAAATGATTTCAACAGGTTTCAATATTCTATTTTCATACAAACATATAAAATACATCAACCATATTCATCCTCCTTTACCATATCCACCCTCCCCCTCCCAGCTAATACCCTCCCCTTAACAGGACCTGTTTTGCATTCCATTGGCACAAAATTTAGATTTCAGTGAGTAGTAACATTGCAAACAATATAGGTGTTCTTCAGATGGAACATCAAAATTAATTTCGTATATCCCTACAGTGGAAAATTATGGTGCTTTCAAAAGAAATGTGGTCCAGAAGGCCTTATTTTCGCCCAAGAAATTGGTGAGAGCAATTTCTGATTGGCGGTTGGGAAACAGTGGAAGGAAACATTTTTCATAATGTATCCTTTTATGCTACTTGAATTTTGTATAGAATATTGGCATATTTTGCTCTTTTAAACATATGTATGTTTTACCTAATTAAAAAAAAAACAAAGTAGATCTGTATGTTGATAAATAAGACAAGTGACTTTCAAGATGATATGATTGCATTTTAAAAGCATAATATGTGAGTATATACACAGAAAACACAGGAATGTATACTGTACTGTTACTGTGTTATCTTTAGAAGGTGGAGTTGAGGAACTTTCACTATCTAGGTCAGTAATAACCTTTCTTACACCTAGTGTATATCACATTTGTAATTAAGAAAAAAACACCTCTATACATATACTTAAATATATATGAGTGTCTTTTCTTTAAAGGAAGAAAAGAACTTACTCAAGACACATTTCAATGATAAATATTACTAAGAATCAATGAACAGTTATGTATGGGAATTCAGTAAGAGTCAATGTAGTATAGTGATCAAGATTCAGACAGAATGGACTTTGGAGTCAGGCAAGCCTATCATCAAATCCCAGTTCCACCATTTATTAGCTATGCAACCTTGGGCTCAAAGTTATTTACACTCTCTGAACCTCAGATTTCCAGCTTTGTAAGATTATTCCATGAAGTAGGATCTACATCATAGAGCTCACTCAATGAATAAAACAAATCAAGACTGAAAAGTACCTAAGGTAATATTGGGCACATAAAAGATGTCTTTAGCAAAGAATAATAATAATAATAAATGACTCGTAGGTTTCTAATCCAAGTATTTAGAGAGAAGATGGTATTTTCAATAAGGAAGAGAAACAACTATAAGAAAATCATTAGTTTTCCCTAAGGTGAATTTAAAGTGCTTGAGAAACACCCAGCTGGTGCGATAGACTAGCTGAGAGAAGTGAAAGCCAAACGTTTGAGTGGAAATGTCATCAACATAATAATGGAGGTCCCCAAAGGAAGAGGGGAGATGAGACACTCCAAATACAGCAAGTAGACTAAGAGCAAAAGGAGGGAAAAAAAAAAGAAAAAGAAAACTCAGCAAACACCTGTTCTGGGCAAGGTGGAAAGGGCCAGGCAAGACTGAGAAAAGGAGGTCAAGAGAGACTCCTGGAGGCTGTGAACTGCTGTGTATAGTCTTACAGAGGCCAGGCCAAGCTCCAAGGAGTTGATGCATTTTGGAAAGCTCTGAAATCAACTAGTGTTGGTGGCTCACGCTTGTAATCCTAGCTACTGAAGAGGCAGATATCAGGAGGAGCCAGGTTCGAGGACAGCCCAGGCAAAAAAAGAGACTCTATCTCAAAAATACCCAACACAAAAAAGGGCTGGCAGGGTGGCTCAAGGGAAGAGTGCCTGCTTATCTGGCAAACAATCATGAGACCCTGAGTTCAAACCACAGCACCACCAACAAACAAACAAACCTCTGAAAACTACCTCTGTATCCTCAGGAGTTTAAGTGAAAGATCACTTGTAGTCAGTATTGGTAGAACACATTAGTTTATAGCCTACATTCATATCCTTCTCTTCTTTGACCTTCCTGGCAGTTCTGCAAGGGAGGTACTATTGTTCCCATCTTATAAATAAGGAAACTGAGGCTCAGAGAGTTGAAATGCTTTGCCAAAGCCACACAGTTAGGGAGTGTAAGAGCTAGCCTCAAACAGAGGCTTCCTGGTGTATGTCTGGTGGTGTTTCCGCTACATCCTGATGCCCAGCAGGGAGGAAGCAGCAAATGGCTTCATTATTTTGATTTTAGTTTTGCTTTGTCTAGTGTGGGAGATTTGAACATGTTTATAGGTTGAAAGGAACTCTTCCTTCTGAAAAAGTTCTTGTTCTTGTTTTTAAAAATTTATTTTGAAATATTTTCAAATTTACAGAAAAATTGCAAAGAACTCTTATCTTCTTAGACCAGATTCTGCAATTTTTAACATTTAACTGTACTCATATTCATTATAATTATTCTTTTTCTGATCAATTTGAGAGCAAATTGCAGATGTGATACCATTTTACCCCTAAATATTTCCAGGTGTATTTCCCCAAACAAGTACAATGTTCTGTAAATTTCCTACAGCTCTACAATCAGGAAATTAACCTAACAAAAAACTACCATCCAATCCACAGGCACCATTCAAATTTCACTAAATGTGCAACCTCTCGTTATCCTGTCTAGTCTATGATCCAAATCTAGTATCATGTATTAACATTTATTTATCAAGTGTCTTTAGTCTGTTTCAAAACAGAACATTTCCTCACTCTTGTCTTTGATAACCTTAATACTTTTAGAGTGTGGGCTTTGATTCTGTAGAATGTCCTTCAACCTGGGATTGTCTGGTGTTTCCTTGCATCAAGACCTATAAATTCTTAGTAGGATTATCACACGCACAAAAATTATGGGGTGTTATTAGTGTATCACATCAGGAGATACATGATGTCTGCCCATCCCACCACTGATCATGTTAACCTTCATCACCTGGTCCAGTTAGTGTCTGTCAGCTTCTTCCACTGTATGTCATCATTTTTGCCTTTGTAAATGATAAGTATTTTATGAGGAAATACTCTGAAACTACACTAATATCCTGTTCTCCATTGAACCTCCACTTACCAGGCTTAGTATATTGATGAATAAGATATGAATTAACTGTACTATAATTATTGTCACATGGTGACCTGTTTTTTATTGCTGCATTTATATGCATTAGTTGGCATTCTATTGTAATGAATAGCTTTCTTGTGTTATTTGCATATATATTTATATAAGTATGGATTCCTACTTCAACCATTTGCTGTAATTCATTCTATCATTATGTGTTTATTCTTTTTTTATTTTTGGCAATACTGAGTTTAAACCCCGCTTGAGCCATGCCCTCAGCTCTTTTAGCTTTAGTTATTTTTGAGATAGGGTCTCACTTTATGACCAGGGCAGCTGAGGCTGCAATCCTAGTTATGCTTCCTGAGTAGCTGGGATGATATGATGTGTCACCATGCCCAATTTTTATTGGTTGAGATTAGGTCTTGTGAATTTTTTCTCGGGTTGGCCTCAAAGCATTATCTTCCAGTCTTCATGGCATGAGCCTCCTTTGATCTTTAAATTTGTTGAGATTTGGTCCGTGGGCATTCCTGGCTGGCCTCCTTGTCCTTTTGACATATCTTGATCATTTTTAGCACTTAAAAAAAACTTTCCAACACTACAAAATGTTCTGAGCTCATCTTGTACTCTTCCCAGATAACGAGTGAGAACCAAGTCAGGCCAGGTAGCAGGAACATATAGCTGAGGTTGTAGCAAGGCCATACTGGATTCATGCCACAGGAACTTGCTAGTGAGGATTTCCTGCTGCCACCACCACCCACTCCTCAGGGATTGCTGGCACAGTTAGCGTATCATGAACTCTCCCTGGGTCTTGTGTGTATGCCAAGATTCAAAGTCCATTTGGGAGCATTCCAGTTGTTTGGCTTAGGTCAAGTGCCTACCCCTGGAGGAAAGATAAAATTTCTCAGGTCCCATAAAGGGCTAAAACTCATCCTACCAATATTCTCCTGTGAGATATTGTGCAGAAATAGGAAGACAATTTGAATCCTGCATGACCCTCAACTCCTTCCCCAAATACCTGCTTTATAGTCAAGAAGATACAGATATAGAAATAAACAAAGTGAAAAAAATTGGTAAGACTTGTTTACTAACCAGTGACGTGCTGGTAAATGTTTAACAAAAGCTCCCTAAGCATGATTTGTAATGTCTACCTATTTCTTTCTTTATTAATGTTTCTATTATTTGGCAATACTAGGGTTTGAACTCAGGGACTTGTGTTGGTAGACAGGCACTCTACCACTTGAGCCACTCTGCCAGCCCTTTTTGGTGTTGGGTATTTTTGAGATAAGGTTTTGTAAACTATTTTTCCAAGCTAGCTTCAAATCATCATCCTCCTGATCTCTGTCTACCTATTTCTGTTGTGTAAATACTCCCACATGACCAATTTCAAATGTGACGCCACTGAACAGAGTTGGGAAGAGACGTACACTAGCATGCCGACATGTAGTAGTCCTACCATACAGATGCTATAGATGTAAATAACCTCAAGAGATAATAAAATAAAGGAAAATAATCAGGAAGTGGTGACTTTCTAGTAATTTCAGTATTAAACTAAAAATACATGCTTTAATATAACTTATATGGTAATAATTTTATGTCATTTAATTTGTGGGGTTGGGGACTAGATCTTCACATAGGTGCTCTGCCACTTGAGCCACACCTCCAGTCCATTTTGCTCTGGTTATATGTCATGCAAACTGTTTGTCTGGCCTGACCTCAAACCATGATTCTCCTCAGCCTCCCAAGTAGCTAGGATTACAGGTATAAGCCACCAATATCTGGCTTTGTCACTTAATATAAAGCATAGCTGAAGTCATAGAGCTCTTTTTTAGCAAACACAAGGCCCCGAGTTCAAATTCCAGTACTGCAAAAAAATGCATTTAAAACAGTGTTTAACAACTGACATGCACAATTCCGAAGATTCAGCTATCATCTCGTATAAGCTGTTGTGAGGCTTGAACATGCTGCTACACCAAATTGTCTCAATTTGGGAAATGGAATTGGTAGTGAGGAAGACATACTTTTATTCATTTTTGAACTTTATATTGTTTTTAAAGTGGTACCATTAAGTGTGTTTTAAAAACTGCACGCATAGCTGGGCGCCAGTTCATGCCTGTAATTCTAGCTACTTTTGGGAGGCTGAGATCTGGAGGATCATGGTTCGTTCAAGGTCAGCCCAGGCAAATAAGTTTGCAAGACCCCATCTCCAAAATAATCAGAGCAAAATGGACTGGAGGTGTGGCTCAAGTGGTAGAGCACCTGCTTTGCAAGTGCAAAGCCCCGAGTTCAAACTCCAGACCCATCAAACCAAACCCAAACTGCATATGTGTTTTCAAGCATTTTTTCAAATAAAAATTTAATTAAAAAATAAGCTCCTAGAAATTTTGGGCTTTGTTCCTCCTTCGTGGGCCAACAGCAGTGTTGACTGGCTTCACTGACCTCAGCCACAGCCCCTCCAACTGCTTTACATGAAAGGCTGCCAAATATCATCTCTAAAAGATAACTATCACTCCTTTCCACACTTTCAACCACAATGCATACAAAATCTCAGGCTGGACTTGAACTTACTCTCCTTTGAAACATCTTTCATCACTTGCCTGCATCTCAGACCAAGATTTTCCAACCCTTCCACAGAGCCTGTGTTTTCAGAAGGGCAGAGGACTGAGGGCGAGTTGGAAGGATACAGTGTGCGGCTCCATCACTGCCTCCATCACAGCACTCTGATTCAAATCAATTTCACATATCCAGCTAAGAATTCTCACTTGGAATAATGGACTCTGTGCTTAAAAACAAACATTGGAATGAACTATTTTATTTTAGTCCAACAAGATGGCTCATTTTAGTCAAGCATTTTCAAGTCTGCTTGCTTGTTTTTGGGGGGTTGGGGTAGGTTTGCAAAGCAGGTCCTCTGCCACTTGAGCCCTATTCCAGGCCTACCCACTTCTTTTTTGTTTATTTATTTCAACCAATGTTTATTGAGCACTGGGGATAAAACAGTGGACAAGACAGATTGTCCCTCCCCAGAGAGCTTACAGTTTAGAGGAGTGACAACTGATACTTAGAGAAATTAAGAAACAATGCTTTCCCTGTCTCTCCCCTCACCCATAACCACTGAGGTTTATCTCAGATGCCATGTCCTTTACAAAATCTTTTGATCTGCCTTTCCCACTGACTAGATCTCCCGTCTTTTTTTTTTTTTTTTTTTTTTTGGCAGTACTAGGGTTTGAACTCAGGGTCTCACACTTGCTAGGCAGGCGCTCTAAAACTTGAGTCACTCCACCAGCCCTGTTTTGTGTTGGGTTTTTTCAAGATAGGATATTTACCTGGGGCTGGCTTTGAAATGTGATCCACCTGATTGCTGCTTCCCGAGTAGCCAGGATTACAGGCCAGAGCCACCAGCACCCAGATCCCTTCTTCATTTTTGTGTGTAGAGAATGTTTGTTGTTTTTCCTTCCATCATTCATTCTCCCCCTTTTTTGGAACATTCTTTGGGGGAAACCTCTCCCTCCCTTCTTCTCTCTCCCTCAGCTCTCTGGGTCCCAGTTGATCTCCAGGAGGGCATAAGTGACTCAGGGCTGGATAACTAGCATCCAAAACTCCCTTAGCTGTGGTGACTGGTTCAAGTTTAGCCAACCTTTGGCTACAAGGATTGCTTTGGGATGGTGAATTATCCCAAGTGATTCACAGTGAATCCCAGATTTGTAGAAGCTGCAAACTGCAGATGTTCTCTTTTTAGTTGAATTTAAGCCTGAAAAGATGTAGACCCAGATTTTTGGCAGCATTTTTTGGTATGTTGTGGAAAGCTAATATGGAGGAAAATAGAGCCAAGTAACAGAAAGAGACTGGGTCCTTGTGATACTCAGTGCCTGGGTCAAGTCACACCTAAAGCCTGTCCCCTGGACAGTTCAATAAGCCAGTAAATTTCCTCTTTTGCTGAAGTAGTTCACTTCTTCAAAAGAATATTGAGTAATTTGCCCCAGAATGGGACACCAGGAGTCTTAGCTTAGTGTACTCAGACCTTAATTGCCTTTAGAAGATGAGGGCTTTCACCACCTCAATATTGGCCATCTCTCAGCTGCTTTGCTGGGTGGCTGAGACACTTCTAACTTGGACTCCCTCAGAGTTAAAATGTATCTGGCTCCAGCCCATCTCCTACGCAGGAGCCCCACCCTCTTTCAAGTTCTTTCAAGCCTCCAGGACACCCTGCATGTAGAATCCAAAAACTAATACTCTGCCATTTCCTTCGGTCTTACTGAGCTCTCTCAAGGAGAGGAGGGAACCCTGTTTCTGAAGAAGCAGGGAGTAGTAACCAACCCTGTCTCAGCCACCTAGCAAAGCAGCTGAGTCCAGAGAGCTGAGGCTGCTGGTGTCCCATTCTGGGGCACAAAGGTGCTTCACCCGTTTTGGTTTTTTTCCCCGCTGTCTGTATTCATAGCTCCATTTTATGGTCACTTTGTGCTAGTCGTTATGCTGGGCATTTTACAATCATTCTCACAACTTGAGGAGAAGTGATAATTACAGTATTACCACGGCTCCGCTGTCAGTAAGTGAAGAACTGAACTGAACTGGGGTTTCAAGACGTGTGTAAGCACCCCTTCATGAATTGCGGCCCCTATGGCTGGGCGGATAGCCAGGGAATCCTAAGGAGGGGAGAAAGACGGAGAAGAGGCATTTGGAAATATAAGAGGTTGAAATCGTCTCCTCGGGAGGCTGCCTGGGAGTGAGAGGGGGGCGGTCCCGAGCCAGGAGTGTGCAATGCAGGACCCATGTGACCAAGGGACTTTCCGCACCTAGGACTCGGACTTGACAGGTGGGGGCGACTGGTGGGGCGGGGCGTTTTTAGGCCCGCCCGGTGCCCAGGTGAGGCGCCTGCAAACCCGGGCCGGAAGGGAGGATGCGCCCACACTTTGCTTGCGAAGTATTGGGTGCCCTTGGCTCTGGGACTGTCGGGCCTGGCTTGCTTGGCGTCCGCGTACTGGCCGGGCGGGCTGGGCCTTCGGCGGGGGTGGATGAGGAGGGTGCCGCGCCCTGCCCGGCCCAGGTGTCGTCTCCGGGGGCGGGGTTTGGGAACCAGGCAGCTGGAGATTCCCGCCCGACTGGAGGGCGGACGGGCGTCGAGGGAGCCAGCGACAAAGCCCGGGAGCGCAGGGAGCGCACAGGGCAAGCAAAGACGCCGGACCGCCAGCATGTTCTCCCGAAACCACCGGAGCCGGGTTACCGTGGCCAGGGGCTCCGCCCTGGAGATGGAGTTCAAACGAGGCCGCTTCCGACTTAGCCTCTTCAGTGACCCGCCGGAGGTGAGAGACCGCATCCCTTCCTTTCTCTTCCCCGGCTCCCGCAGGCGACCCTAGCCATCTCTGCCTCCCTCCCTCGCCTGCGCACGCCAAGGGGCGGAGACGCCGCGGGCTGGGTCCGCACTGGCCGGAGTTGTTGACTTAAAAAGTGAGGAGCTGGACGTCCGTCCGCACATTAGTCGGATCTGTGCTGCCCCCACACATTCTCCCGCCTGGTTGGGATGATTTGCCTCTGCTTGGAGAAAGTCCGGGTTGGCCTCAAACTGAGGAGCCCTAAGCAAGATTCCGAAAATATGCCTGAACCCTAGCTCCTCTTGGGCACCTCCGGGCCAAGGACGGTGGGCAGTCAGGCGGACCCCAAACACTTGGACTCTTGACCTGGGTGCCCCTAGTTCCCTGTAGCCAGCCCCATCCCACACCCCGTCTTAATCCTCTGGGCCAGCCTCTGTCATCCCTCTAGAACTCCACGCCAGGTCTGCCTCTTCACCGAAGCCCTCCCCAAGGCTCCTCTGTGCCCCTGAAGGGCAGCAAGGTGGAGGAGACACTCCTTTAACTCTTTGAGGTTATTTCCCACACCCAAACCTCCTTTCCTGGGGCCTAAGAGGGGTCCAGGCTGCAGGCTTAGTTTCCTCCCCGGTCCACCGGTCTGCACGTTGCGGGTGGCTGAGCCCTACCTGCATGTCCCTAGGCAGAAGAAGTACTGGAGGGGTGTGGCTGTGCCAGGGCTGAGTGGGTGCATAGCCACCCCAAAGACGCTCCTGTTCCCAAGGTCAGCCTCACACTTACCCCAGGAGAGTCCAGTTCCAATTTCCCCTTCCCTCCCGAGCCTGAAAGAGTTAAATGAGGTGGGCTTTCCTCCCAGCCCCCTCTCCCTCCGGGCTGAGATTCCAGGCCTGGCTTCTGCCCTTTCCCTTCAGGCTGCCCTGAACAAAGGCCCTTTGACACCCATGCCCCGGTGTCCCAAGCTTTCTCTGAGTCAGAAGCTAGAGGACTGGGGGTGAGGGACTTTGTCGTTTCCCCCCGCCCCAGCAAATCGGCCACAGAGGCCAGCGTCGGCCCAGCGTCGGGGAGAAAGGGGTCGGGGACCTGGAGGAGGGGCCTGTGAGCCGAGGCCGCCCCTGGGAGCTGCCCCGCCGGCCTTCTGGGGCCAGCGCCGAGGAGCCGGGGCGGAGCTGCAGCGCGGGCCGGCCGCTGAGCGGAGTGTGACTCCGTGGGCCTGAGGTGGGGTGGGGGGGTGCGGGGCAAGGCTGCAGCTGGCTGGGACTCGGGGGCTGGTTTCCTGTCTGGAAGGGAAGGGGCCCGCAGAGGGGAGCCGGGCAGCAGCAGACAGGCACATCCCTGCCTTTCTCTCTCCCTTCCTCCCTTCTGCTGGAAAAGCAAGGTAATTGTGAACTCAGGGTGGAGCGGGCTGGATGGGGGCCCGAGTTGGAAGGGGTGGCCCTGTGGGCTGGGCCACATTACCGACTCACCCCTTTGTCCCACTCTCTGGGCTTTTCTTCCCTCAAGTCCCCGTTTCTGTTGCTCTTCTTCCTAACTTTCTCAAACTAAGGCAGAGCTTCTCTCGGATTGCTCCAACCTTCTGACAAACCCCAGGATTCCGTAGAATCTGCATGAGGAGTCCCCTCCCTGCCCCCTTCCAGCTGTGCCTGCCCCTCATTGCCCTCTGGGCACACAGATTCTCTGTCCTCCGGGCCAGGGATGTGGGCGGGGGCTGGGGAGGGGCCTGAGTGGGAATGAAAGGGCCTTTTTCTTCCACAGCTGGGAGAACAGCTGCCACCAAAGCAAGACTGGACACTCTGTACCCAGAGCCCCCTCTGCAGCTGGCCTCCCCTCCCAGGACCCCACTCATCCTTACCTCACTTTCCTTTCCTCCGCTGCCTGGCTCCTACCAAGGCTTTGCAACAGCAATAGGAGAGAAAATTGTGTTACTGCAGCCAGAGGGGTCTAACAGAGTTCAGAGGGACAGGGACTTCTGCCTTCTACCCAAGAACTGGCCATCTCAAGACCCGGGGAGCAGTGGGAGGAGGAACTGTGGGGCAGCGTGGTGCCTACCTGACCCCCCTCTGGAGGGGCCGACAAGGGAAGGGGCTCTGGGGGGCACAGAGATGCAGGACAGATTGCACATCCTGGAGGACCTGAATATGCTCTACATTCGGCAGATGGCACTCAGCCTGGAGGTAATGACCCCACTCCTGGACTACACACTTCTTCCACTTGCATCCTAGTCTGTCTGTGCCTTGCCCATCCCTATTGGGGCTGAAGGGGGAGGGCAGGGCCTGCCCAAAGTGCTGAGAGAGATAGGTGGTTCTGTATATCCTGTTCTGGGTGTAGTGTGTTGACTCAGGACCACTTCTGCTGATGAGAACATTATGTTGTAAACAGGGTCTTCATGCCTATTTCTGGAAGCTTTGTGGATGGGAGTAGATGTCTGTTCTAGAGACAAGGCTCCTTTTAGGAAGGGGATGAAGAGAGGAGCTCGATATGGGAGAGGTTTGCAGGAAGGATGTAGCCTCACTAGAAAAGAAATACATTTGTGGAATACATACCACATGCCAAGCTTCTTTCTAAACCATGGGATACCTCAAACAACAAAACAAGAAAGACCCATTCCCATGGGAAAATAGATAATAAACATGGAAACACATAAATAATATCACATGATGAAAATGTGAAAACAGGATATAATCAAAGTCAGATTGGGAGGCAGCATTAGATGTGGAGGTCTGGAAGGATTTGAAGATGTGAAGATTGGAGGAAGGCTTTCTGGACAGAAAGCCTTTGCATAGCAAGAGCAAAGACTCTTAGATGAAAATAAGGGTGGCAAAGAAAGAGAGCTAATGATGACTGGAATATTCAGTTGGAGTCTGATAGGCAGGGCTAAATCATGCAGGGCCTGGAATGTAATGATAAGGCACTTAGATTGTACTCTAAAGTGTGATGTTGGGCCACGGAAGAGTTTTAAGCAGAGGAGAACCCTTAGATGAGTGGAGAATCAGCTGGGTGGTGGTGAGGATGTTGGGGTAGGAGGGTTGGCAAGAGAGTTAGCAAAAGACCACCAGGTGGGTGATCATGTTGCCATCATTGTGTAGTGAATCTGGGGTGTACATTAAAATGTTCATGGTGGGGAAGGGTTGATTTTAAATAATGGTGGAGATCTGATAGGGTTTGCTGATAAAGCGGATTTAAGGATGAGACAACAAGGTTGCTGCTAGGGAGGTTGGGGGCAGGAGTGTAAAGAGTATAGATCAGGAATGGCTATTGCACATGTGCTACCTGCCCTACCCCTAATCCCACTCCCTGGATCAGAGTAGACATTTCTAGTCAATCATGGCACTCTACCATGAGCCCAAAGCACAACCTTGGCATAAACTGTGCAGGTTGTGTCCTTCACACAGTGCCAACCAGAAGCAGGAGTCCTGGTCTTGTTTCAGCTGCATCAGGAAGGACCATTTTAATTTGTTTGCCTGGAGAGGGTCATCTTTTTCTATTTTGCAGAAAGATACCACATGAATTGGGATTCTGACATTACTTAATTTCCTGTGTTGGTGCATCAGATGAAACCTATTTACCATCCTTAGTCCTGTCCACTGTACATGTTACTAGTTACATGTACGCATTTGATTGTAGTTAGTTAAAATGAAATAAACAAGATAGGCATGGTGGCCGACACCCAGGTAATCCCAGTACTCTGAAGGCTGAGGGCAGGAGGATAGACAGTTCAAGACCATCCTGGGCTATGTAGCAAGACCCTGTCTCAAAAATAAATAAATAAATAAAATAAAACAAAACATTTAGTTTCTCAATTGCCCTATCCATATTTCACTTGGTAGATGGTTACTGAACATTTCCATCATTACAGGTTTTGTCTGACAGAGTTGGTCAGTGTAAATGTTTAAATTTTGCATCCTGTCCCCCCCTCCCACATACAGTATAATTTTTCTCCATGGGAAGCCTGCCCCACATCTGGGGCAGAAGAGGGGCTTCGTTTTCACTGTGGTCAACTTTCCTTCAGACATAGGCTGAAGATGTTGTGTTCTCTCCCTCCAAGTTCAGTAGGTCCTCAAAAGAGAGACCATTGGTGTTTCAGGAAATGGCAAGAATACTTTCTGGAGGAGGCCAACCTAAGCTGCAAGTATAGGAGAGGCGAGAGTGGGAGAAAGCTCATTTTTAAAAGCCCAGGTGGAGGAGACATTACCACTTAAGCATCACATAGTGCTGTGAAGGAGGTGGAATACTGTCTACAAGCCGAGGCTCCATGTTAAATGCTCACAGCCTCCCAAATCCCTAAAGCAGAACTTGAACTTAGACCTGGAAGAGATTCTGCCTAGAACAGAAGGTGGTGAGAAGCACAGCAGGAGGTCAGGGGTAGAAGGGAGGGATGGAGAGGGATGTTCATAGAGGGTGTAATGTGTGCTGGGACTTTTGTCAGTGACTCATCCTCCTTTAGCCCCTGGGGATCTGATATGACCCAGGTCCTGCTGACACTCAGCTCCAGGCTCTTTCCCAAGACAGTCCAGGGTAAATGCTGCCTACTGGGGAAGAGGGTGTGTGGGGTGGGGAGGGAGAAACAAGGACCTATCCTTGGGGTGGGGATAGGTGGGGGAAGCACCAGGATTTAGAGTCTGAACTGGGCTCTGAAACCTTTCATCTAAAGGATTGGGAGCAGGTTTTCTGGGGGCACCTCTGGCTGTAGGAGAGTGAACTTGGGAGCCTAGAGTGGTGAGCAAATGGGGGCGGTGTCTGGGTCCTCATGCTGGGCCAATTGGTGTCTCCAGGGCCCCCGTTTTCCCACTTCATACACCAACCCCCACCTTCCGTGTAGGGGTCACTTTGGAGGGCAACCACAATGCGGGAGAGGCTGCCTGGCCTCTAGAAGGGCCGGGACCCCTTTCCAGGTCGATGCGGACGCTCCCTGGGGTTCCCGCTCCGCCGCAACAAGGGCTTGGCTGCGAGGCCACCACCGCCAGCGCCCTGGGTGCCCCTTGGCCGCTCTCGCGGCAATTGGGAGCTGATGTCACCGGCGCCCCGAGCGCCGCGGGCGGAGGCGGGTACGGCTGCGCGGGCGCCCGGGCTCCTCGGATTTCCCGCTGCCCTGGTGCCCCGCCGGCTCCCTGCGCTGGAACCCGCGCGTGCCGCTGTGCGGGCGCCGCACACGCAATGGACAGGGCTAGGGAAGGATCCGTGAGTGCTGGGACTTGGACGCGGATGGCTAGGAGGGGGCTTGAAAACTCAGCAGCGGTCTCCTTCTTGACTTTGTTTGGGGGGTATTTGTGGCAGAAACTGGGTGCAGAGTGGGGTAAGAGTTGGTAAGCAGTAAAGTTTAGCAGAGGTAAAAACCTGCAGATATAGCTAGGCTGGGAGGAACTATGTAGTCTGAGAGGGCTTCCTGGCGGAGGAGCCTTTGGGACTGTGTTGGCCTATTTTGGAAAGGAAGCAGGTGGGTAAGTGCTGGGGTGAAGATTGATGAATGTCTGGCCTAGCACAGAAGCCTGGAAAATAGTGAAGGAAGAATTTTCAGGTAAGCTGGACAAGGCTTTTGAAAGAGGGATTTTAGGGTGCTAAGATTTTGGATACTTGAAAGCTGGGACCATCAGGAACAGAAGCAAGGGCACAGGGTGTGGAGGGGACCTGGTGTGAGGGAGAAGACAGGTTTGGGTAGGTCACACTCATTCCTTTCTTCCCACTGGGTGCCCCCACTTGACTTTTCTCCTGAACCCATCTGTCTTTCATCTCCTGTCTGAAGCCTCCCCAACCACCTCAACCAGAACCGAACAGGGTCTGTTTCCTGTGAGTATGTTTATGCCATGACACGGCACTTATGAAGCAGCCATTAATGTCTGCATCTATTGTTTCCCAGCTGAGTTTTAAATGTAGAACCTTGAACAGCACACAGGGATGGCTCCAGCATTCATTGACTGAATACTACTGCCGTCAAAATAGCATCATCATAGAAACAAACATCACTACCATTTGTGTATACCGTGTGCAAGGCATTGTACTAAGCGTCTTATGTCCCTGTCTCACTGAATCCTCACAATGCTAGGATGTGGGAACTATTTTCATCCCCACTTGATGGGTAGAAAAATCAAGATTTAGGGAAGTTGAATAAATTGCCCAGTGCTTTTTAAGCACCAGGACTATTCCTAGGAATCCTGGTGCCTCTCCTAGGTCCTCCCCTCCGGCCCTTATGCATAGCCTGTCCAGCCTCTCACTTCTGGATCACCTACTTTCCCATTCCTATTCCTTGCTTCTGATATTACCTCCCAAGCTCAGAGGTCCAGAACGTAGTAGATGCCCTGTTTTGGGGTGTGCAGAAGATTTATGGGATCAGTGTAACATCTGTTTTCCATTCCTGGCTTCCAGGATCACAACCACTAATATTTTATCCATAAGTATGAAAATATATACATACATACATATATATATATATATATCATGCATATATGCGATATATGCATATACGGTAGCTTGTACAATACTTTCTTTTCTCATGTTATGTTTTCTGGAGATTGTTTCATATCTGTATACCTGTCTACCTTACTCTTTTGGTAGTACTGGGGTTTGAACTCAGGGCCTCACACTTGCTAGGCAGGCACTCTACCACTTGAACCATTCTGCCAGCCCTGTTTATTTTTTTGCAGTACTAGGGTTTGAACTCAGGGCCTCCACCTTGAGCTACTCCACCAGCCCTTTTTTGTGATGGGTTTTTTTCAAGCTAGGGTCTCTCGAACTGTTTGCCTGGGCTTCAAACTGCGATCCTCCTGATCTCTGCCTCCTGAGTAGCTAGGATTACAGGAGTAAGGTACTGGCACCTGGCTATCTTATTCTTTAATATGTGTAATATTACATGGTATATATATATATATATATTATATATATATATATATATATATTATAACTTATTTAACCAAATGTCTTATTAAAGGGCTTTTTATTTTGGTGTTTAAAACAATGTTCACTGAATATATGGTTTTGCCTAGTTAAATGTGTTAACTATATATGTAGGATATATAGGTAGGACTTATGAATTTGTAGTTTTCATATTCAAATTATGTTCAAAAGATTCAGAAAGAATTTGTATTCCTAACCATCAAATGCACAAGGACATCTGTATTTTAAAAATACAGATAAATAAAGATTTTCTGGTTATTCCTGAGCAGTTTTGATTGAGACCCACTGCTTGCTCTTTGTTTTGTTTTGTTTAATTTTTTTTTTTTTTTTGAGTTATGGTCTCAGTATGTACCTCAGACTAGTCTTGATCTCACTGTGTAACCTGACTGGCCTCAAACTTGTGATCCTCCTGCCTCAGGTGGCATTACAGGTGTGCACAGTTGGCTCAACACCTGCCCTTGGTCAGTTTTTCCTAAGCAATAGCCTACTTGGGGCCTGGGGAAGGAATATTCTTCAGCCTGTAACATGACTGACATTTTCTTTCCTCCTTCCCTGACCCTGGCTAGGACACAGAATTGCAGAAGAAGCTAGACCATGAGATCCGGATGCGTGAAGGGGCCTGCAAGCTGCTGGCAGCCTGCTCCCAGCGAGAGCAGGCTCTGGAGGCCACCAAGAGTCTGCTGGTGTGCAACAGCCGCATCCTCAGCTACATGGGCGAGCTGCAGCGGCGCAAGGAGGCCCAGGTGCTGGGGAAGACAGGCCGGCGGTGAGCAAGGGGGAGATAAGGCCTCAGTGGGAGCAGGAGTCTTTCTGGGTGGTAGAGGTAGAGCAAGTACATGGAATCTGCAGATGACCTCCTCATGAAGGCTTGTGAAGGGCCTTGGAGACACCTTGGCATTTCACCACTCACTACAGTGCACAGAGTAACTAGGGCTAGACTTAGTAAAGCCAGTGTGTCTGGTGGAAGCTGGCAGTGTGAGGGATAGCAAGTAATGCAAAAGCACTAATTTGCTAAGCCCTTCCTGTGATCTGATAAGTCTCTGTCTGGCTTCTAGAAAAGTAATTTTCTCAAAGCCAGTTCACCAAATGGCCAATTTGTTGAATGGCCAATTTACCACAACTTGGTAATCATTTGTTGCACCTGGGGTTCACCATCAGAGGCAGGAATTGGGAAAACAAATAAAACAACAACAACAAAAAAAACACTTAAAGGAAAGCTAGCCATTCATATAAATTAGATTCTGCATTCTAAAAGGGCCCTAAAAAAAGTGTCTAAAAGCTTCTGACACTTGACTTTGCTGATCTGACAAATTCATTGGGAAGTGGCTCAGGTGATGCTCTGGTTAACTAAAATACTCGAGAAAATATTTGGCAAATAGATCATTTTGAGAATTGATCATTTAGCCATTCGGAGAATTGGTTTCTGGCAAAGTGGCCTGTTTGCCTCATCGAAGCTGAGTAGGGAGATGGTCCCAGTCCCTCACTGGCATGGTGCCCATCCCAGCCATGAAGGCTGACACAAGGGGAGGTTACCAGGAGCTCACCCATGAAGCCAACAGAAAGTGAAAACACACTCTACAGCTGCCCCATGCAGCTAAGGGGGAAGCTGGCAAGGGAGACAGCTTCTTCTGTGGCTGTGCTACCTCCTGAGAGGTAGCCAGCAACAGGGTGCCCTGACCAGGTAACCACACAGCCCACACAGGGTGATGTGAAGTCCACTCCAATCCCTGGCAGCCAAACACAGTGCTATTAGTGCAGCATCATTTAGCTGAAGATCCCACAAGTCAGAAATTATATTAGTGCCATTTTAAATGAGTATGGCCATTAGGAGAGGGACATGGGCTCAGTGAATTCCAGTGATGGGTTGGGAGGGGATGGATGCCTAGACTTTAGAGAGCCTGAGACACTGGGAAGGCACTGCATTTATGGCCAGGAGGATCAAAGAGAAATCAAAGTTGGAGAGAAGGACTGTGGAGGGAACTGTGGTGAATAGCAAACAGATGTTCCCTACTGTGCTTTTTCCTCTCATTAAACACTGGTCAAATCATTTTCTGACTGATCCCGTTGTCCTTTTATATCAAAGAAGAGATGAAGCTGGGAGTGGTGGTACACATCTATAATCTCAATACTTGGGAGCTTGTGGCAGGAGGATCTCAAGTTTGAGACTAGCCTGGACTACATAGTGAGACCCTGTCACAAAACAGCAACAACCAAAAAAAAACCAAAGATGGTGGAAATGAGCTGGGCACTGGTGCTCACGCCTGTAATCCTAACTACTCAGGAGGCAGAGATCAGGAGGATTGTAGCTTGAAGGCAGCCTGGGAAACTAATTCTTGAGACCCTATCTCAAAAAAAAACCCTTCACAAAAAAAGGGCCGGTGGAGTGGCTCAAGGTGTAGGCCCTGAGTTCAAGCCCCAGTTACCTACCCTTCCAAAAAAAAAAAATGATGGTGGAGATGAACGACCTCCCTATTGTTACAAAGTACAAAGCCTGGCGTCTAATGGGGAAGAACCCTTGAGATGGAGTCTCTCCCTGGGCACTTGGCCCTGGCAGGGGTCTAGAGAGATGGTCAGGGAGGGTGCTTGGAGGTGCCCTGAGCTTGTGTATTATGTATATGAGTCAACATTGCTCAAGTGTCTTTCAGCTTAGCAAACCTCTGGGTTTGACCACCAACTCTCCTTCACAGTCCCTCAGCCCTGATGTCATTGATCAGTCTGGCTAGGGATTTGGGGGCTGGACCTCTGGAACCAGCAGGCTCCTAGAGCACTTGGAATCACAGCAAAGGGAAGAGCAAGGGGAGGAGTGTGTAGAGACCAGGCTGAGACCTTGTGCTCTACCCACAGGCCTTCTGACAGCCGGCTGTCTGCTGAGCGCTCCCCCTGTCGTGGTAGGGTCTGCATCTCTGGTAAGAAGCACATCTACCCCAACTGCTGGCACCCTTCACCTGGCCATGCGATCTGCCGTATCTCAACACTTATTTCTACCTTTCTGCACCTTAGACCTTCGGATCCCACTCATGTGGAAGGACACAGAATATTTCAAGAACAAAGGTGGTGAGTTCCACACCCTGGGACAAATGCAATCCTTGAGGTGAGAGGCTTTTGTGGGGCACATTTTTTTTTTTTCCACTAGTTTTGTCCTTTGTCCCCAGACCTGCACCGCTGGGCTGTGTTCTTGCTACTGCAGTTAGGGGAACAGATTCAGGACACAGAGATGATTCTGGTGGACAGGACCCTCACGGACATCTCCTTTCAGAACAATGTGCTCTTGTGAGTGCCTCACCCCTGTGGCTGCCTCCTTTCTCCACTGTGCCCAATTTCCCATGAAGCAGTTCTACTGGAGGGAAGGGCAGGAGGCAAATGGGCGCCTGGCCTTCCTTATGGAGCTGTCTTGTACCTGCACCCACCTTGACCTCCCCTTCACCTTGTACCTCCCTGGTCCACCCTGTGACCACTTTCCTCTTCCTCCTGCACCTCTGTAGCACTGAGGCGGGGCCAGACTTTGAACTGCGGCTGGAGCTGTATGGGGCCTGTGTGGAAGAAGAGGGTGCCCTGGCTGGCGCCCCCAAGAGGCTTGCCACCAAACTCAGCAGCTCCCTGGGCCGCTCCTCAGGGAGGCGTGTCCGAGCATCACTGGACAGTGCTGGGGGCTCAGGGAACAGTCCCATCCTGCTGCCCACTCCGGCTGTGGGGTAAGACCTTACACCACCACCACTGCTCTCAGTTACTGTGTCCTGCCCACGGGTGGCTTTTGAGCCTTGTTAAGCATGCAGAGCCCACTTTGCACTGATGCCAGGACATGCAGATGAACATGAATGAGCAGTGGCCACATGGCATTTTGGCCATACCCTGTAGCTAGGCCTAAGCCAGTCCTCAAGACCTGTAGGAAGGTAGAGTTAGGCTCTGGGGTATTACCTGTTTAGCACCTGCAAATACATCTTATAGATGTCTATACAGCAGAGCTCTCTAGTTGAAGTAGGGTAGCTTAGGCCTGTGGTGGGGCCTATACCTGGAGGCACCTCATAGAATCATGGCATAAATTATAGGCAAGTTTCTTAATATCTCTAAGCCTTAAGCTACTTCATGTATTAACTGAAGATGCCACCAACTTCACAGAGCTATCAAGAGAATAGTTGGGGTAGTATAGAAAGCCCTGGTCCTGGCACTTAGCAGGTCATTTAATGTTCATTTCTCTCCTGATGGGGAAGCAAGCTAGCTTTCTGTGGGGCAGCCTAACAATGTGGTAGACCTGCTTAGACCTCACAGATCCTGCCATATTACTCACTCCTCACTCTGCTGATGTCCCTCCTCTTTCCCCCAGGGGTCCTCGTTACCATCTCTTGGCTCATACCACACTCACCCTGGCTGCAGTGCAAGATGGGTTCCGTACGCACGACCTCACCCTTACCAGCCATGGTATGTGTGCATATGGGGACACTGGTCATGGTAAAAGGGGCCGTGGGATAGTCCTTCTCATTCCCTACCCTCACCCTGCACTTCCTCCTCCCCCAGAGGAGAACCCTGCCTGGCTGCCCCTTTATGGTAGCGTGTGTTGCCGCCTGGCAGCTCAGCCTCTCTGCATGACTCAGCCCACTGCAAGTGGTACCCTCAGGGTGCAGGTGAGGGGGCCCTAAGGAGTGGAAGGGGATAGGGAGGTGGCAGAGTTGAGCTGGACCACCTAGAAATAGAAGGACTGCTGGAAAATGAAGATCTGGGTGGACAAAGGGGATGGCAAAACAAGGGGAGGAACAGACAGGAGGGTGGGCAAAAGGGCAGATTGTCAGTGGGGGACTGTGAAGAAGGTGCTGGGGGTGTGACTCCCCCAGGAAACACTGAGTCATTTATGCAGCAAGCTGGGGAGCTACAGAATGGAACAGGAGTATATGGAGTCCTGAAAGGCACAAACCTCTTCTGTTACCGGCGACCTGAGGATGCAGACACTGGGGAAGAGCCGCTGTTTACTATTGCCATCAACAAGGTGATGGGTCCCCTGGTGGTGAGGCCACTGGGTACCAGGGCTCAGCTCCAGGCCCCAGTTGGGTGGGTGAAGACCCCAGAGACAGGGACGATGACCTCCTCCTCTTAACAGCTCCACACTCCACTTCTGGGCTAGGGATGCAGAGGGACATTCCCACCACAGCATCACTAGAAAACTTATCCCACTTACTCATCATCTTCAGCCCCTGCCAAGTCTGAGAGTTCTCCCACCAGTTTAGAACTTTGCATCTTTCTTCAGTTCCCATCAGCCTCTAGTTTGTACATGCCTTCTCACTCATCATTTTTCTCTCTCTTAGAGTCCAATCCAATTGTGTTTCTTTGTACCCTCTTTTGTTGACTCTTGGGTTTTTGTATTTTAGTTTTGCTTTGCTTTTTGTGGGGTTGGGAATCAAATCCAGGGCCTTTCATATACTAGGAAAGCACTCTACCACTGAGCCACACCCCAGCCCCCTGCCTATGTGATGGGAAGTATTGGGGGACCTTGGGCCTCGGCACTCTTGTCAACCTCTTTGCCTTCCCTGCCTTGTTCAGACCCTCTTTCCCTTCTTAACCTGCTTCTCCTTCCTTGACTCAGCCTGATGATCTCATCTCCAGCCCTTTCTTGCTATTCTTTCTCATTCTGGTTGGAGGAGGCAAATGAGAGGGCTCAGAGAAAGCCCCCAGACACTTCTAAGCAGGGGTGATTTAGCAGTCTGATGTTACTGCTGAGTTCCCTGACCAAGGTAGAGGTGGAAGCAACCCTCTTCTTTTTCCTGCAGGAGACTCGGGTCCGGGCAGGGGAGTTAGATCAGGCCCCTGGGCGGCCCTTCACCCTCAGCATCAGTAATCAGTACGGAGATGATGAGGTGACACATACCCTTCAGACAGAGAGCCGGGAAGCCTTGCAGAGCTGGATGGAGGCAATGTGGCAACTTTTCTTTGATATGAGTAAGAGAAAAGGACACAGGGTTGAATCTTTGGGAGGGATTGAGGTTTCTTATTTTTACCAAATGGACTCTCTATGAAAGGGAATGTATCAGTAGAAAGTGCAGCCTGGACCTCCCTTCCAATCAGTGCTATTCCTGCAGGTCAGTGGAAGCAGTGCTGTGATGAAGTCATGAAAATTGAAATTCCTGCTCCCCGGAAACCCCCCCAAGCACTGGCCAAGCAGGGGTCCTTGTACCATGAGATGGGTGAGTAAGAGGAAAGTGTACTCGGGGAACCTGATGAGAATAGGGTTGGGGGCTTCAAGGGAACTCAGATAACGAAAACAGAAAGCATACTTTGGGCTAAGGCAGATCTCTGAGGACATAAGTCCCACTCAGCCCTATTGTATTCTTTTCTCCTCTCCAAATCTTCTTAGAACCACCTCCACCAAAGTTCAAAACAAACCCCAAAGTACCAGGTTCATTTCACGGATTTCTTTTCTAATTTCTTCTTTCCTGTTTCCCTTTCTGCATGTGGACTCCTGTCTTTTCCTCTGACCCCTCACTTGCCTGGCACCGCTTTCATCTTTCTCCTCTTTCTTGGTTTCTTCCACTTCTGCTTCCCTCCTGTCCTTGTATGCAGTCTTAGCAGAGCCTATGGCCTCAGGGAGCCCAGGTGAGGGGCTGCTCCTGCAGGACAATGCAATCTCGGCTGAGATCCAGGCTTTGCTTTCCTATTACAGTGACAGGTGATGGTCAGGGCTGGGTAGGCCTGGGGCCTGAGCTCTGACTAGCCCCCTCCCCTCCACCCCTTCCTGGTGCCACAGCTATTGAGCCGCTGGATGACATCGCAGCGGTGACAGACATCCTGGCCCAGCGGGAGGGCACAAGGCTGGAGACACCCCCACCCTGGCTAGCAATGTTCACAGACCAGCCTGCCCTGCCTAGCACTTGCTCGCCTGCCTCAGTGGCCCCAGCCCCAGCTTGGACCCACCCCCAGCCCTGGGGGAGACCCAGAACCTTTTCCTTGGATGCTGTCCCCTCAGACCACTCCCCTGGGGCTTCTCGCTCGGTTGCCCCCCTTCCCCCTCAGCAATCCCCCCGGTCCAGAGGTCTCTGCAGCAAAGGTCTACTCCGCACTTGGCTTCAGTCACCAGTGTGAGAGAAAGGTGTTGGCAACAGGATCTGGCCAGAAAAGAAAATGATCCACATGCAGTTGGGCCCTGGAAACAGCACTGCCTGTACAAAGTTGGCCAGTCTGGCCTTCTGTTCCTCGGCTGGACTAGGAGTAGATCAGGAGGGGAACAGAAGCCCTTCTTAAGTTGTGGTTGCCATGGTACTGAAGGGACCATTATCAGAACTGGCTGGGACCTCCTAAACCCTTCCTGGGAAGAAACTGGAACAACCCTGCCCTACCTCCCTGCACTAACCAGCTTTGAGGATGGCACTGAAAAAGCCCTGGGAGGAAATGGACCTCCTTGTGACTCCTATACCTACCATTAAAGTTATTTAACAGCAGCCTTCACCTGGTTCCTTAGGAAAGGATGCCTCTCTCTGCATGGTCTGGACCCACCCTGTCCCTACTCCCTGGAGCCTGGTTCACCATTTAAAAGTATGATTGTGACACTGAGTAATAAGACAAGGGCTGAGTGGCAGGGATACTTTATAAATAGCACAGGGAGAAAAGGAAGGCTGCTCTTCTCTCACGCACTGCTGAATCTCAGGATCTCAGTGATGTCATAGCCTGTCACAGCAAAGGAGCTGCCTGAGGGATCACAGAACCGAGCACCACACACCTGGGTGTCAGATACACACTCACTATGACAGTGTTCCACCTGGAGGAGAAAAAGGCTGGTAAGGGCCCCTGTCCTATGCTTGAGTCCCCAATCCAACCCTCCCATAGTACATACCTCAATGGAACCACTCTCTGGGTTTCTGCTCAGCTTCCAGATTTGAACAAAGGTGTCCTCAGCTGCGGAGAGTAGCTATAAAACAACAACAACAACAAAAAACATAAAGGAAGAGATACCCTGATGGGATGGGTGTAGACTGGAATCCCCAGTCCAGGTACCCCAGGGAGGGGATACACTTGAGTACAGAGACAAGCCCATGGTGTTCCCTTCAACATCTCAGCACCAGGAAAAGGTATGTAGGATGCAGGAGGAGACTGACCTTGCCCACCTCTGGAGCAAGGTCCAGGGCACAGATGGCCCGGGCATGGGCATTGATCTGGATGTGTAGAGTTCCTGTAGTGGCTTCATACAGACGCACTTGCCCGTTCCCATAGCCTGCTGCCACAATTCCCTGCCACAGCTGCACAGAGGGGCATGGGACCCTGTAACAGTGACATTCAACTATGATTTCTCCAGATCTGCGTATACTTCCCACCCTGAAGCTACAGCAGGAAGGTCTCACTTACCCAAATCCTGGAATGCGGGTTAGTAATGTGAATTCAGGCCCAGACCGCCAGACACATAGCAAGCCGGAGTCATCTGCTGTCACCATATCAGTCATAGTGTCCTGAGGGGAAAGGTGGGGATCAGCTCTTCCTTTCTCCCCTGCTGAGGTCTTGAGTACAGGACAAGAGGGGAAGGGAGGCCATATTTGCATCTTTGCCTTTCAAGGAAAAGGGTAAGATGTGGATCCTCACCAGCTGGACCTTCCAGAAACTTCCCAGGGTTCCCTCAATAAGCATGGACTGCTTACATCACATTATAAAGTCTTACAACTTCCATGTCCTGTGCCTCCATAATGTATTAGAAGGGGGTGTGTGATTTGTCTTCACTAGATGGATGATGAAACTGAGGCCACAGTGTCATCACTTTTTGGAAATCTTGCAATGACCCAGTCACAGTCACTACCAGGCTCTGGTACTGCTGACCTGACACCAGGCAGCCAAAGAAGCCCATAGCCCCAGCTCTGTGCCAAGCACTGTGGAGGATACAAATTAGAAAATACCCAGCAAGAAGTCTGGAATCCATTTGGAGATTAAGAGTTATCTTTGAGGGAAGGGTCAATTTAGGGTTTGGCTAAGGGAGGTCAGTGGGAGCTGGAAGGCTTCCTGGGAGGGATGACACTGGAGCTGGACCTGAATAGGTGGCCTTGCTCAAGCCCAGAGAAGAAAACTGCATGCATCAGAGCTGGAAAGCATCTTAAAAACCATGTGTTCCAACTCAATTCATATCATCTTTAAAAAGTCTTAGTGAATTATAAAATGCCACATAAAGTACCTGTTTATCACTGGACCTGAAGTTGCTAAATCTAGAAAAGTGCAGACTTGCCTAAAGTCACCCAGCTACTTAGTGGCAGAGCCAAGACTCTAACCCAGGTCTGCTGATTCTCAGGATGTGAAAGGCTTCCAGGCTCACTAGGATGGGTAAAGGAAGTCCACTCACCTGTCCCTGAGCAGGCTTGGTGGCAATATCTGTGATTGGTGTCTGGTGCACAGCCAGCTCCTCACTCAGTACAATGTTGGGACCCTTGGCTGGGATGTCAAATACCAGCACCCGGCCTGACCATGTTCCTGCAGCCAGAACCAGTATTCCATTGATGGCTTCCTGATACCAGGTCTCCAGTCACCATGCTCAGCAACCCGTCTATCCCAGAAACCTTAGAAACAAACCTAGTATTCCAACAGCCCTGCCCCTTCATTTACTGCCCTCATCATATCCCTCCCTGACTCTCTGAAACCTTCCATGTCTTTTTGGAGTCTCAGATTCCCTTCTCTACCACACTTTCCTCTAATCCCTCATAATTTCCTCAGGCCCTCAGCACCCTCCTGGCTGAAGCCCACATCCCTAAACCCCACATCCCTTAACTGCCCTGCCCTTGGCCTTCTCACCCACACAGATGAAGTGGCCACTGGCAGAAATTCCTCGAGAAAACGCAGCCTGTACTGAATATGAAAAAAGAAAATGATCAGAAACAGACCCCCCACCCCAGTTCTACCCCACTCTCTCAACCCTCACCCCACCTGGTCTTGCAAGTAAGTACCTGAAGAGGTATCTCCAGAATCCAGTGCATGCCAGTAGACCATGACGGAGCCATCAGACTCGTACATCTGGAAGACGGGGGCAAGGGTGGGGGCATGATCCAGCTGACCTTTGCTGAACTCTGTGCTGAGCACTTCACATATCCATGTTAGCTTTAGTCCATTTAATCCTCAAAACTGTTCTAGGAGGTAGACACTATTGTCATTTCTATTTATCAGAGGAGGTCTCTGCCCAAGGTCATTCAATTAGTAAAGGGGGCAGATGTTGGACGTGGCACTTGGGAATGGGAGAAAATGGAATGAAGATGAGAAATACAGAAAGAGTGAGCAATGCATGGAGAAAGTCTGGCAGTGTTTAGAGGCATGTGGGAAGGGTCTGGGGCGTTGGAGGGGAGTTGAGGAGACTGGTTGGGGGAGGGCAGGAAGTTCCTCTTCTTACCTGTATCCCTCGATGTGAGGTGAGTACTAGCAGTACTCGGAATGGAAGGACACACCAGTGGACCTAGAGGAGTGCGGAGAAGAGTAGGAAGAAAATAAAAGTAGGGGACATGAGGTGTCAGAAGAATGTAAATTCACAGGGATAGGACCTATTCCTTGAGATATGGAGAGAAAGGACAGGGGGTAGAGCTGAGGGTTCACCTGAGTGATAAGTGGGGGGCTCACTCCAGCACCCTCTTTGGCATGGAGCTGGCGCTGGGCCAAGGGCACACCCTCAGGGGCAGCGCTGAGAAGCTGGGCGCTTGGTCCATGAACCACCCCAAAATGAGTGAGGTTGCGGGCTGGCTGCTGTAACACACTGAGGTTGTTGCACAGGGCGGCAGCTGAGCCTCGAAGGGGAATGGAGCGCTCCCGGCGGAACATCCTGGGAGAGAGATGCCGGAGTCTTGGTAAGAAGGAGGAGGGAGAAACCACAGTGGAGATGGGGGCCGCAGAGAGTCATCTATGAAGCACTGAGCGAGACCCTTCAGATCGGATGATGTAATGGGCGTGTTCTGAGGAAAGTGATGGGGGGAAGGGTCACATGGTGGGGGGATGTCTGGAGCACTAGCGGAGAGTCCCAGGGCTGAGTCATGGGGTGATAATGGAATCCCAGAGGAGAGAGTGATGATGGCACAGGACCGGGTGATCCCAAGTGTCCAAGCTAAAAAGGCAGAATGAGGCCTCTGGACCCTTTCTCCCTTGGCTTAGCTCCTTGAAAACTCCCCTCTCCCCCCGCCCCTCCGCCCAGGGTCAGAGGTCACACCCGCAGCCCCAGATCACCTTGGCTGACTCTAGGATCGTTCTGTCTCTCCGAATCCGCCGCCACCATAGAGACGACGCACACACGCACGGCGGTTGGGCGGGGCGAATGACAGGAAGACGCTGCGAGGCACAGTTGCTGGGGCAACTGGAGGCGGGGCGAGCTACCCAACGCGCTTCAGGGTTGCCAAGACAACCGTTAGGCTTCTGCTTAGGCCGCGGGTCCTGGAGGCAGCAAAAACACCCGCGTTGGAGGACCTCCGTGGCAATGGCACACGAGGGTTCGGTGAGCTTCAGCTCAACTGGGGGTGCGCCGGAGCTTGGGTTGGCCAGTAAGATCCGTGTTGGGAACACTAGGCCAGATCCGCGCCTTCCAGGCCTTCAAAATGACCAAGGAAGCCATGTCGGTACTTGGGCAGAAAGCCTACATCTGCACCTTGTGCCACAGGCTTTACTCACATTGGGGTTCTGAGGGAAAGAGTCAATGGCTGGTGTAGAGCCGAAGAAAAAGAGATGAATTTGGAAACAGCTGATGCATGTAACAGTTCTCTTACATTGAGGTACCCATTTCATTGGATAAACCAGAATTGGTCAGGCATTTGGGGAGAGGTGTTGATAGATAAATCATCTATTGTGACAACTGCAGGAGGAAGAAACAGATTATACAACCCTGCGGCTGTACCTGAAAATCAAATTGTTTAAAAGCCAAGAAACTTTAAAATAAACAGACCTGGGGCCAGTAGCTCACGCCTGTAATCCTAGCTACTCAGGAGGCAGAGATCAGGGGGATTATGGTTCGAAGCCACCCCGAGGCAAATAGTTTGAGAGACCTTATCTTGAAAAAAACCCAACACAAGCCAGAGCTGGGGAAGTGGCTCAAAGTAGTAGAGCACCTGCCTAACAAGCCTACAAGCATGAGGGCCTGAGTTCAAACTCCAGTACCACCAAATAAATAAGCAAATAAATAAAAAACAGATTTGAAGAGTCTTTTTGCAAGAATATCTCTATCCTCTCTGGTTAGACAACGTATAGGGACTGTCACTGTCACGGGTATCAAGTGAGAAAGTGGGAGAAGAGGTCTAAGGAACCAACTCTTATCCCAGTGCTATCTACCCCACTTCTTCCAGGCTTGGGCTTGCCACACAGCTGTTCTTGTAGGTGGAAAGGGGAAGTGAGGGATAAGGGATTTTGAGCTCAGTGTGAGGTGCAGAAAACATTTTTAATAAAACAATTAATTTTGGGGAGCCTCAAATATTGAGACTAAAAGGTTGTGTGGGTGGGGGAGTAGATAAAGGTTTCAGAAGATCATGTTTGGAGATAAATTTTGGAAGGAACCAGGTTCAGGGAGATTTGTGGGGATGTAAGGAGGCTCCCAAGAGACAGTAAATTACCATGTCCTTAAAGTGATTTTGGGGGGGGGGCTAGTCTTTTTTTGGTATGGATTTTCTTGATTATAAGGGATACAAGCTCATTGTAGAGGACTTATAAAATAGAGAAGAGGATAGGAAAGAAACATACCTTCTGTAATTGTTGTGGTATTTTACTTTTCTTCAGCACATGTTGGCCTATATATCTGATATAATTCAGATGCAATTTTGCATCCTGTTTATTTCACTTAACATTACATCATGAGTATTTTCCTATGTCATTGCAAATTCTTCCTAAAAATTACGATTTTTTGTTTGTTTTTTTGGTGGAACTGGGGTTTGAACTCAGGGGCTCACACTTGCTAGGCAGGTGCTCTTACCGCTTGAGCCACTCAGCCAGCCCCTAAGGAGGACATCTTTTCAAACACTTTTTATTCATCTATAGTTTCTCTTTTGTGAAATATTATGTCCTTAGTTTTGGGGTCTTAAATGATTTTCCTCTTTTACATGAGTTTTTAAATATATTTAGAGATATTCTTTTTTCATATTTGTTGCAAATTTTTTGGGGGTAGGCAGGATAAAGTCAGACTCTGGAATTAGACAAACCTGCTTATGAATTTTGACTATTCTACTTCCTAGTTATGTGATCCTGGGCAAATTAAATAAAATGGGAATGGAAATAGTAGGTAAAAAGTGTAGAGGAGATTGGTTACTGGTGGCTCACACCTGTCATCCTAACTACCTGAGAGGCTGCAAATAGTTCTTCAGACACCCATCTCCAAAATAACCAGAGCGAAATGGACAGGAGGTGTGGATGCTTTGCAAATGTCAAGTCCTGAGTTCAAACACCAGTCCCTCCAAAAAAGAAAAAAAATATGCGGAGGAATTAATTGTAAATAACACCAATAATTCCATCAGGCTCACTGACTCATATATTCTCAACTTCTTTGAACGTTAAGAACTTTGGACACTTTGTACTAGTGCAAATAGAAAGGGCTATGGAGTGAGAGCACTTTATAGCCTAGGCTTACCAACTCTTTGTTTCCAAGCAAGTGATAGCTAACTTCTGCAAAACTTCGGTTTCTTTGTCAGTAAATGGGAACCTAGTGGACTATCATGAAAGTTAAATTATTAGGTCAAATGATAGAAAGCAATGAGTCACATGATAGGCTCTCAGTAAATTGTCCCTGTCCCTTTTCCTTCCTAGAAAATAGCTTGAGAAAGCTTTCTTCTAGCCCATGCTGTCCCTCGGTTCCACTCCTTGGTTTCCTGCTCTGAGTGCCCTGTTTTGTTCCTGCAGAGGCAGGCCCGAGACCGCGGGATGACCCGATCTAAGGCTGAAAAAACACGACCACCCACCGTGCCGGTGCCGCAGGTGGATATCGTGCCTGGGCGGCTCAATGAGGCCGAGTGGATCGCGCTCACAGCTCTGGAGGAGGGCGAGGACGTGGTGGGGGACATCTTGGCCGATTTACTGACACGAGTCCTGGACTCTGCCTTCAAAGTCTACTTGACCCAGCAGGTGGGCCTGGATCCCAGTCTTCCAGAACCATCTCCTCCTTCTCCGGCCCCTTCTTGCGAGGCTGAGACCCGCCCTTGCTTCCGCAGTGTATTCCATTTACCATCAGCCAGGCCCGGGAAGCCATGCTGCAGATTACTGAGTGGCGCTTCCTAGCCCGGGACGCGGGTGAATCTGCAGTGGCCAAGGACCACACCTGGGGCGAGGACAAGGAACCTTTGGCTTGCACCACCGACACGTGGGCTCAGGGCTCGGTGCCTGTGCTGCATGCGCCGGCCTCCGACTGTCTGGAGAACTTCCAAGACCAAGTAAGAGCAGCCCTCAGCCTTCTGACCGAGCCCCCCATTCCGCTCCCCGCCCCCGCCCCGCCCGGTCTTCGGCTTCCTCTGGAGCCTCTGATTCTTCCTCCACGCTTTTACTTCCTTTTTCTCCCCTCAAACCTCTCATTATCTCCGGGGCATTTCCCTAGGACCCTGGGAATCCGGACCAGTTACCTTTGGGAAGATCGAGTTTGAGTAGAGGCTCCCAGGAGCGGACAGAATCTTCGGAGCCTTCTGCAGTGCTGAGAGTCACCCCGGATCTCCATCCCAGCCTGTGCCAGGAGCTGGCTCAGGAATCAGGACCTGGAGGTACTTTGGAAGAACTCGACGGCCAGGAGAGAAGCCATCTCTTGGCTGAATCCTTGAACGCGAGTTCGTCGGCGGAGATAGTGCGTGTTGCAAGCCCTCACCCTTCCCAGGAGTTGTTCGAGGTAGCCAGCTCCCCAGTACAAACCCTCAGCCCCCACTTGTCGCTCGGAGATCTCTACTATTGTGTGCCCCAACCAGACGCGGCAGCGGACCCGCTGAAGTGCAAGACCGAGGGGATGCCCCACACCGCCTCGGGCGTGTCAGTGTCCTTGCCTTCTGTGGGCAGCTCCGCCCAGCTCAGCCCCTCAGCTCCCCCTCATTCGCAGCACCTTGGATGCTTGGATGCATGGTTGAGCTCGTCTCATTACAGGAGGGGCCGCAAGTTGGCCATGCGGCGGTTGGACCCTGCACGGCTTCCCCGACATTGGGTGCGCCCCCTGGCAGAGATCTTGATTCCTGATTCTGAGACTCACCCCTTGGAAGCCTACTATGGGCACCAGCGGGGTAAAAAGAACCAGACCCAGACAGTACCCCAAGTCCCCCGCCCTCGTGCAGACCCCAAGTTCCATGTCTCCCCAGCAGCGTTCTTAACTCTCCAGCCTGGCTTTCCTTTCCGTGCTTTGGACACAGACCCCAGACTCCAATATCCCAGCTTAAGCTTGGGCCAACCTTCACCATCCTTTGGGGCAAAGCTGCCATTCCCCAGGCCCGGGCTTCGCTTCCCTATGCAACCATTGTTTCCTGAAGTCCCTTGCAGTTCCAGCCCCAAACTATGGCCCAGGGCCAAGTGGCCCAGGGGATGGGAGGGGGAGGCTGATCTGCTGGGAGAGCTGTGGGCTGGCCGTACTCGAGTGTGTCCACAGGGCCTGGAACCTGCTGACAAGGAAGGTCAGGATTCTGGAGCCCAAACTGTGCCCCGGGTCCTTGAGGCCACGTCCCAGGTGCTGTGGAAGCCCATGATTCTGTCCGAAGCCATGAAGCTGGCTCCTGGTGTAAGCATGTGGAGCCGGAACAGCCAGGTGCTGCTTAGCTCTGCTGTGTCCCAGGAGGAGGTAAAAGGAGGTACCACTCCTCCATCTGAGCAGTACCCCATCCAGACAGGGGCACCATCACCCCAGGTGACTGGTGCACAAGTAATGAAGAGCACAGCCCCCAAAGTATGGTTGGTCCCCTCCAAACTCATGCCCCATTCTGGATCCTGAGTCTTAGTGGGGACTGGACCTTCCTTCTGTCTGTGGAAAATAAAATACTGAGTTGCCTCAGGAATTGGTCTGTCATTTCTTCTTTTTTCTTTCTTTTTTTAAATCTTTTCTTTCCTTCTTTCCTGGTGTTTGAACTCAGAGCCTCACACTTGCTAGTGAGGTGCTCTACCACTTGAGCCACTCCACCAGCCCTGTTTTGTGTTGGGTATTTTTGAGATAGGGTCTTGCAAACTATTTCCCGGGGCCTGTCTTTGAACTGCCATCCTCCTGATTGCTGCCTCCTGATTATAGGTATGAATCATCAGTGCCTGGCTGTCATTTTCTTTCAAAGGTGTTTATTCTCTTAGTGAACCTCACTAGGGAGAGGTTGCCCTGCATGCCTAGAAGACAGAGCACTGACTCCAGTCATCACCCCATCACCACCCTTGGGAGGCCCTTCTTTAGGTCTGAGGCATTCATTCTGGAATGTTGTCCCCCTCACTCCAAAGAAGCAAATATAACAGATGCAAGTGGAGTCTGGCTCAGTAGGGAGAACTTTCTCTTTTTAGTACAAAAGGAATGGAATGGCCCCACTTAAGCATGGAGTGAGTGATTCAAGACTGATTTGTGTCCCGGTAACTGTTTAAGTCAGTTCCCCTTGACTGAAAAATCCATTTTTTTTAGTGGTTGTTGCTATTGTTTGTTCTTGTGGTGCTGGGGATTAAATTCAGGACTGAGCTACATCCCCAGTCCCCAAGTGTTACTTTTGGAGACTGATTTGGCCTATGCAGAGTTCAAGGAAGACCTGACTCTCTTGGGTCAAAATTTAGGATACAAAATTTCAGGAGGAGGAACATACTCCCAATTTAATATGGGAGACTTAAACCGACTCTGGAGTGAGGATGGGGTTTAAACTCAGGGCCTGGTGCTTGGTAGGCAGGAGCTCTACCACTAGAGCCATGACTATAGCCCAAGCACCTTCTTAAAGTTTGTCTTAGTTTCCATTCCTGTCTCATTGCTAGTTCCCACATACACACCTTTGTCCCCATGGCACTTCCCAGTGGCAGGCTGGCAGGCTATGTTGCTGTGGATTCTACTCAGCACCCTGGTCTGGGAATCTGTCCTCCTTATTCTGGTCCTTCTGCTTGGACAATGTGTACAGCTCTGGCAAAAGTGTCATTGCTGGGACCTCCACAGCCTCTCCACAAATGTGACTGGGAAGATAGCAGTAGTAGTGCTAGACCCAACAGTGATGAGTGCTTCCCTTACCCTGACACCTCACAAAGGGCTACATGCCCCAGTGGCCTCAACAGGAAGGACAGAAAGGAGGACCAGGACCAATGTTGGCACCCAGGTCTCTCCCTCTGTTCTATCACCATAATGAACTAGAGTGCTCTGTAGCTGCCCACCTTTAGGTATTGGGAAAGTTGTGTCCTGGAAACTGGGCTGTTATGGAGCCCATGCAATCCTCATCTCCAAAAACTGAGAGCATGACCCTGGCCTAGATCCAGGAAGCCTCAAATAATGACTGCCTTCTACTTGGCAAGGTGGACCTCAGTTTTGTGGCCTCTTCTTGGCTCTTTGCCCAGTAGCTTCTGCAAGAGGGTTCTGAGATACACCTGCTTTAATCAGTGGTATGTGCCTTGACATGCTTCCCAAACACATTTCATGACTCTCCTTTTTAGTTCGTGTGCCCCAAAACAGGCATCCCCAAAGCCTAACCTGTGCATCTTGTGAAACACTATAAAGCATACACACTCTTAAAAATTCTATCTTGAGTTATAGCCTCAAACTTCACTGCCCCCATCTGCATGTACTTGCTTTTGTTGCATTTCTACTGAGTCCCAATATGCCTCCTCCCCACCAAGACCGTGCTTCCTTAGGGTACTCCCTCTGTCACCCACCATCTATGTTCTCATTTCTCAGGATATCCTAAGACACTTACCCCAGAGGGTCTGGATCTCACCTTTGCCCACTATGTTGGGCCCTTTTTGCTTTCAAATCTACCCCAAGGTAAAGAAGGATGGATGCTCACCTTCTCTGCTGCCTCCTCTTTCCTGTATGCTAGCTTTCTGATTACTTACTGGCTTGCATCACCACCTCCTGCCTCTGGCACCCTGCTGTTTGCTGAGGGGTGGCCCAACAAATTTCATGTCATACAGCAGGGGAACCCAGGTGGTACAGGTTAGGTTAGGAGGCTGGTGGCAGAATCTATTAGACCCCAATACAATCAGCAACTATGAGATCTCATTCCTCCTTCCCTTGTCTGTGAGTTCCAGCCAGACCAATAGCCAGTCATTAGAACAAAATCTTCTTGAGGGAGGCATTAGGCACTAGAAACAAAAGAAAGGGCTGAGTTCTTACTCTCAAAGAGCTCAGGGCTAGACTGGCCTTGAATAAATCTAGGAGATGGTTTTTATGGCTTTCACCATGGAGTTCAGCAGCTGGAAATACTTGTTTATCCCCAAGGGCTGAGGCTCTGTAGTGTGGAAGTTAATAAATCTGTGTGGGCCAGGCCAGAACCTTTAAGGAAAAGAGTCTCAACTCACATGACTGAAACAAATGAATGAGCTCTTAGGGAAACCTTTTTGGCCTTGCTAATTATGACAGCTGATAAAGGGCTCTAAGCAAGCTGTAATTAGAATTGGCCTGCCCAGAAATTCAGACTTAGTTTCTCTTGAAGAGTTTTTTTTTTTGGGGGGGGTTGTTTGTGAAGGAGAAATGGGAAGAAGTTGGGAGAGACTGGGAGACTCAGTAAACAGTGATCTAGGTCTAAATGAAGGAGGGATGATTGATTTGGGAGCATCATAGAGTGCTGCGAGATTGTTTTCCCAAGTTTAAACTCTCTCGTTTTGAAAGTATACATTCTCTTTTTGTACTTAGTGGCTACTCTAGATTTTTTAAGCCTACAGATTTAACAGCACCTTTAACAATAATTTGTAGCTCTTAGAAGTGTTTTTTGTTTTATTTGAAGACAGACTATAATTCAGGGTGGGCTCAAACTCAAGATCCACTTGCCTCAACCTCCTCAATACCGAGATTACAGGTGTGAACCACAATGCCTGGCTGATTTTAGAGTTTTTTGGGGGGGAATTTTAGCAAGGATTGATTTTATTATAACAGGACAAAAATAGGGAGAAACTTAAAAAGACAAGTGCAAGGGTGGGAGATAAGCTCCAAGTTCTTTTTTTTTTTTCCCCCTCACACTTCCCCATTCACAGTAGAGATCAAGCACAGGGCCTGGGCCCAGGTGTGTATGGGGTAGATTTACTTTGCCTCCTCTTTCTACACAGTAAGAACACAACCTGTGGTAAACACCAGGAGGCCTCCAAGTTCACTTTTCTAACCCGGTATTTAACTAAAAATATTACAAATCAGATATATTATTATTTTAAATAGTTAATATATATGTTGATTTGCCCGTGTGTTTAATATTAGTTTTTTTGGCAGTACTGGGGGTTGAAATCAGGGCATCATGCTTGCTAAGCAGAGGCTCTACCATCTGAACCACACTCCCAGCCCTGTTTGCTTTGGTTATTTTTGAAATACGGTCTCACTTTATGCTCTGACTGACCACAGTCCTCCTATTTTGGCTTCCCTTTTAGCTGGAGTGTCAGGCATGCACCACCACATCCAGCCATTGGTTGAGATAGGGTCTCAAGAGCGTTTTGCCCGAGCTGGCTTTGAGCAATGATCCTCCCAATCTCTGTCTCACAGTAGCTAGGATTATAGACTTGAGCCACCACATCTGGCCTATGTTTGTCTTTTTTCTTTCCTTCCTTCTTTCTTTTTTTGGTGGAATTTGGGTTTGAATTCATGGGCTTACACTCGCTAGGCAGGTACTCTAGCACTTGAGTCATGCTCCTAGACCTCCTGCTCTTCTTTCTTGTGTCAGATCTTCCATCTTGGATTATTTTCCTTCAGCCTGAAATACATTCTTTAAGAGTTCCTTTGGTGAGGATTTATCGTAGGCAGAATTCTAAAGGACCCCCAAGGTTGCACCTCTTGTATATATACTCTAAAAACCTTTCCCCTTAAGTGTGAGCAGAAGTTGTGAATATGATGGAGTTTCACTCCTGTGATTATATTATGTACCTGGAAAAGGGATTTTACTGATGAAACTGAAGTCTCAAGTCAGTTGACTTTAAGTTTATCAAAGAGGAGGTTATTTTGGGTAGACCATCCTAATGAGAAGAGCCCTTTACAAGGGTTCAGCCTTTTCAGGAGTCAGAGCAATCCTCCTGTTTACTCTGAAGAAGACTAGAAGGCAGCATCTAGGAGCTGAGACTTTAGTTCCACACTCACAAGGGACTGACTTCTGCAATAACCAGTGAGCACGAAAGAGAACCCCAAGCCTCAGGTAAGATTGTGATCCTGGATATTATTTTGATTTCAGCCTGGCAAGCCCAGGACCCAGTTAACCTGAATTCAGACTCCTGATCCACAGAAAATGTGAGATAATAAAAGTGTTGTTTGAAACCACTGAGTTTGTAGCAATTTGCTGTGCAGAGACAGAGAACAGTATAGGATCTAATGATAATCAACTTCCTTAGTTATATATTTTTTAATGCACTTATTTCATCGTTTTTGAAGTATCATTTTGCTGACTAAGGAATTACAGGGTAACAGTTATTTTTTTCTTCTTCTATTGAAGATAATGTCTTCTGGCCTTCATTGTTGTTGAGAAATCTGATATTCATCTAATAGTTACTTTGCAGAGAATCTGTCTTTTCTCTCTTGCTCCTTTTAAGATTTTTGTCTTTGTCATTGTTTTTCTACAATTTTGCTATAATAAATCCTGATGTGTGTTTCTTTTTATTTATTCTGATGGGAATTCCTCAGATTTCCTGAATTGGAGGATAAATATGTGTCCTCTTTAAATAGTTTTCTTCTTTCATTATAGAATTGCAGTTTAGATAATTATTGGATTTTTTTTTCACTTTATCTCTTATGTCTCTTGAATTTTCTGTTTTCTTTTCTTTTTTTTTTTTGCAACTTTGAAACTGCAGTGAAGCAGATGG